TAATTAATTCCACCAAAATCAACAGATAAACTTTGCTTTGTCTCTCTGTAGATCGGCTCTGGTATAGCCTGATCTTTTTGATCTATGCACGTATACAGTAATAAAAGGAAACAATGCTCCTGCTGCTTGTCTCTCGGCAGATCGGCTCTAGTAGCCTGATCTTTTCCTCTGTTGCCATGTGAAACAAAAGGAAAGGAGGTTGCCGAGTCAGCTACTGCTCCCTGATGATGATCTTCAGTACACACGGCAAGTGTTCAGATGGATTCGGTGACGACCAAATAACCTCGCCGCCGATTAGATTAATCCGGCGATACTAGATTAATTTCGGCCGTTTAGCCGAAACTTGGATTTGACGAAACGGTAGCTACTAGATTAAACGAAATTCGGCCGTGATATGGCCGATTAGATCGTTCCCCAGTGGAGTCGCCAAAAATCGTGTTGGCAACTTTTTTGACAAGTCGACAAGCACGATCGCAACACCTAAACGCCTTGCGGTGATATGGAGTCGCCAACCACCTCGATCTAGCCAAAGGCCAAATTAAGATGGGTTTCGGAGAAAAACAACTAAACCGGCTAGCGGAGCCGATTTAGAGATCAAAATCAGCCTCTAGGCCGATTTAGATCGATATGAGGATAACTACCCGTCTCGTGGGCAAAACGGAAGGTTTTCAGGACAAACCTACAAAGAGGTGTCGCACTCTCGCAGCGGCGGCGGACGGTTTACAGCGCAAACCGACAAAGATGGACTAAACTAGGGTAAAATAGAAAACATAGTAAAAGAACGATTCAAGTAAGTTGTATTCGGGGGTTTTACAATGAACCGGCGGCCTTGTCCCTTAAATAGGGGGTTGGTCTTGCCCTCTACAGGCCCTTCTCCACGTCCAACTCAGGATAGAAACTAAAGGAAACATGAAACATGCCTTCCCGAGCAAGGAAACCCGAGACCCGACGAAAACAGACTTGGACTCGGACCCTGCCTGTCAGACCGCCCATATACCTGCGGTCAGACCGGTCCTACTAGCTGGTCAGACCGCCCACACACCTGTGGTCTGACCGGCCCTGTGAAGGAAATCTGTCACTTTCCAAACTTTGGCAATCTTCCCCTATTTCGTCCATAGGTGCTAAATTTGGGTGTAAACACCATTTACCATAAATTTATATACCAGAAGCCTTTCAGCTCCTCAAGCAAAACCCCTCGAGGCAAACCAGATTTGTGTGGTGAATTCGTCCTAAGGCCCTCACCTCAGTTTGAAATTGCTTCTCGCGTTGCCTCATTCCTTGAAGCTTCTTTACAGCTATCATTTGAGAGTTTGGGAGTGATCCTTTGTACACTGAACCAAAACTACCTTGCCCCAACTTATCTGAGAAATTCTTTGTGCAGTGCTGTAAAAAAGAGTAACTGTATAGGATGAGAGAATCATCATTGGAGAAAGCCTTTTGAGTTGCATTCCTTTTTCGAAACGTCCAAATTATTGCACCAAAAGCACATAGTGCAACAAAGGTACTTCCCAGCACTGCAATTAGCCTCATATGATGTGTCTTATGTTCATTGTATTGAACTTGAAGATCAGATGCTGCAAGACGTACATAAATATCAATAGCATCAACATTACCAGCAGACAATTGTTTAAGATCCCGGAGCTCACTATTCCAAACAATGCATTCATGTTGATGTGCATATGCAGTACAAATGCAGTTGTTCAGGCATATGGATCTGCACTCCTCCTCGCTTTGAACATTCAATTGCATTGGATTGCCTGGAACTTTGATGTTGGCAATCTTGAGAAATGCATGCTTCTCTTGTTGGCCATTATGTTTATTAGAGTCAACACAAGAGATATCTGTTTTCCTAACACAACCTTGATTCCATGCTCCAAGATCCCAGCTCCTCGAGGAAACTGGCCTGAAACCTGGCAGGCAATAGCATTTCTCATCAAAACCTGTTTTGCAGACTCCAAAAGGCCCACAGACTGAATAAACAGCACACAGAGCTGCAGGTAGAGACCATTGTACTATCCATTCCTCTGATTTGTTGGACCATGTATGGCATTGGAGTTGACCGTTAACGGTAAGAACTATTCTTGTGATTATGGATACATCCTTTGTGGTGTATATAAACTTGAGCTGGTGACTATTATTAATGAAAACATAATTGTATTCAGTATTTAGTGGCATTCCAGGGATCGATGTGAATGCTTGTCCTGTCCAGTTCCCAGACTGCCAATAAACTTTAGATTGATTCCAGAGAGAGACATATTGGTTCAATCTAATTAGATCTACATGGTTGGAGAAAGGACCTGGTGCAGGATCTTCTGGATCTTTCCAAGAAACACGATCCTGGTATTCACCGGTGATCTTATTGATCCCAAATCTCTGCCCACTCAGTATTGTGTCTGTTGGGTGATCAAAGCTTTGCCAGATTACATCAGAAGAGTTACCTTGATCCCTCAGAATAAGGTTTCCATTGTCAAGAAGAACTGCAACTATTGACTTTCTTGGTTTATTCCAAGTACCATTTGATGACCATTTTGGTTCTCCAAACTTGTTAAGGAGGACTAAATTTCCATCCTCTGATATCTTGAGCTCTGGAGATGTAGCACTTGTGACAGGATTGTCTCGGTTGGCCACCCAGATAACAGCCTTCTTTGATGTGGTTCTGAACCATATACCAACATAAAGGTTTCCAGTATTACCTGGAGAGAAGAATCCCAGCTCAAAATTTCCTTCTTTTGAGACAACAGTTGTACTACCAGAAAGAGATTGGACTCTTGAGATTGTATCAGTCAAAGCAGAAGTACTTGTGTAAAGATGGAAGATTGATAATATGAGAAAAGAAAAGGAAGAACATATCTTCCACTTGCTGGGAGGGGCCATCCTTTTTGCATGGAAATTTGGATGTGTGGTATTCTTCTAGTTAATGCAAATGCCACAAGGTAGAGAGTTATTTCTTCCCTCTATTGTCATCCTTCTCATTTGACTTGTCTTCCAAAATAATATTCTTTTTATGTTGTTAGTCTAGTTTCCTGTGAATTGACGGATGCTATTGTGCCATCTGGAACAAGCACAACCATGTGTGAGCACTTGATAAGAGTTAGACACGACTTGTTCACAAATAAGTCCAGACACAGAATGTGAAACGGACATCCTCTTTTTTTTGACTAAAGAACGGACACCCTCTTTCAAACTCTGAATTCTTCTCCTAGTTGCTTCTGTTTTACTGCTGTTCTGGTGATTCAAACCAAATAATGTCTTCTTTTAAGCATCATATATAGCGATATAACTCACCTTTAGTAAGTTATATATCATATTTGTCCTAGTAGTAATATGTTCTTCAATTGCAACGCTGTTTTGGCCATTGAAGCATCAGATGTTTTTGGTGGTTCATCTTGTTATTCAAGTGTAAAAGGCAGAAGCATGATAAAGCTGTGCATCCCCAGGAGCATAGATGGTTTATTTGGCAATCACTTTTTTTTTCTTTTCATGTAATTGCATAAAATCTGCTGTGCATCATGCTGTAGTTTCGATTTCAGTTTTACATCTTTCTTAATATTGTTTTTCATGTGATTATGCATCTGTAGTCATCAGTCAGTACACCGGCACAGGCTAGTATTTTTATTGTGATTTTGGAACATCATTATTTATATTTATGAATATTTTAATTTGATATATTGAGAAAACTCTATCTAAACAACAAGAAAATTCCTTGCCAGCACTTTTTTAAATCTTCTGAGAATACAGTACACTTATATTTTTCCTCTTTGCCAACGAAGTTATTACTTTGGGTGTGGATACTTTTGTAATTTGTTGCAGCATGATGCTTATATTTAGTATGGAAGTTTAGTTTTTAAACTCTGGAAATTAAAACCTAATAAATCTTTTTTTTCATGGTTACTTACAGCCTAAGAACATTTTTAAGACAAGATTAGTATGTAAGCTAGCTACATATTCCTCTAGGTATGCTTTAGTTGTATGCCTTAATTCATACTGATTGGGCAGATAGTGTAAATCAACTTGATTAGAACATGGGAATCGAAAATAAATCTAATTATTCTGTGTATATTTATATGTTCAGACCTTGTATACATAGAGTTACTATGAACTGAACTTTGATTTGTTTTTCCAGGCCATGTGCGCCCAGGAAACAGATTCATGGATGCCTTCTGGTTCTTATCTTCATATTGTGTGCAATGCATGGAACGCATGCTTCTGAGTTTTGACTATTACTTTAAAAACTACTACTACTCTGATACTTATTATCTATTGCATGTAGGGTGTAGATGAAAACATTAAATCAAATTTGACGGTCATGGTTTCCTTTTTTAAAGATTAATGTGCTCATGTTTAGCCATTTTTTTATTATTGTGTGAATTTATTTATTTTAGAATTTTTAAGATTAATGTGAGGGCTTCTTATTAGTATAAACAAAGCTTCAGCCGGGATTCTTCTACTGGCCTGCCAAAAAACTATTTTGTAAATTTACAGGATAACAATGGTGTAATTACTCAGATGATGGCATTTGGCCCTTAAGAATTTGAAAAATATTTAACCAGTGCAGATGTTAAAGAAAATATAGCTACTCCCTCCGTCCTAAAATATAAGCATTTTTTGAACCTTGACATGGTCTCCGAGATACTACTTTGACCAACAATATCTATAAAAATAAGATGTTTTAAATAAAAAGAGTTGCATATTATGATTGTTTGTTTAATAATAAATCTAGTAACATCAATTTTATATGATTGCTCTTTTTTAATTTTTTTTTTGCTATTAGTGGTCAAAGTTAAAAATGTTTGACTTGTCACTGTGCTAAAAATGCTTATATTTTGGGACGGAGGGAGTATTTATTCTCAAGTAGCTCAAGATTACCAAATTTAATCTATTCAGATTGTTATGTGCAAGCAGATCATAACACCTGAATTGAAGCACATGTTGGGACTCTATCAAATGTTAACATGTGCAGTCAGGCCTCCTCATAGGTTAAACATAAAAATTCTAATACATGGTGGATGGCTCAATGTGTTAGTTCGTGATAGCTCAATTATGTGCTATTAATATACAGAAGGCATGGAACTACAGAACTACAGAAAAGCATAGCATATGTACAACATGAGTCACTCATATTACTCTCAAATACGTAAATGTCTTTCCCTAATCAAATTCAGGATTTTCTGATTTATGTGCTCTGAAATTGTGAACCACCTGAAGTAGAACTCTTTGTCTGCGAAGAAGCTGTGCTATTATGCATCTGCGAAGTTTGACTTGATGAAACATCTGAGAAAAAATTTATGACATCAGGGCTTTCATCAAGAACCTTCAGTGACCTTGGAACAGGAGGCATGTTGACATCAAGGAATCCCTCTAAAATTTGGACGACCTGACCCATTGTAGGTCTGCCATTTTCATCATCTTGGATACACCAGCAGGCAACCTTGCAAGCTTTTGTGAGCTCATCAGCACTGGCATCTCCATTCAACCTGGGGTCTAACAAGGTCTGCACATCACCTTCCTGGAGTTTGTTTACAGCCAAAGTTGGGAAGAAAGAGGACTTTCCCTCCTCCCCTAGATCAGCATTCCTTCTGCCTGATATGAGTTCGAAGAGCATCATGCCATAGCTGAAGACATCTGCCTTAGGAGTAATCGGCACACCACTGATCCACTCAGGCGCAAGGTAACCCCTTGTCCCTCTCATTGTTGTCAAAACACGGCTGAAATCCCGCCCTAAGAGCTTTGCTAGACCAAAGTCAGACACTTTGGGTACAAATGACTCATCCAAAAGTATGTTATCTGGCTTAACATCACAGTGTATTATGCAATCCCTACATTTTTCATGCAGGTAATTTAGGCCCCTTGCTGTTCCAAGTGCAATTTGATACCTTATGGCCCAGTTCAGTGCCGTTGTCTCACCATGGAACAGCTGCAATTCCAGGGAGCCCTTTGGCATGTACTCATAGACAAGCAGTCTTCTTGATCCTTCAGAGCAGAAACCAAGTAGGCGAACCAGATTGACATGTTGGATGGTCCCGATGGTGCTTACCTCAGCACGGAATTGCTTCTCCCCCTGGCTCAGTCCATCAAGCCTCTTCACTGCAATGGCTGTTGAATCTGGGAGCTTCCCTTTAAATACTGTGCCAAAGGCACCTCCACCCAGCTTCTCTGAGAAGTTGCTGGTGACATGCTGCAGATCACTGTACCGGAAGGCAATCAGTGCGCCCCCTGTAGTCTTGGATATGCGAAGAGTCCTGTCTCGGCGGCATTTCTGGAATACGATGAACAACACAATTGCAAGGATTATCAAAGCTGCAGCAACTCCACCTACAACTGCACCAATGATCATTTTCTTGCTCTTTTTAGAGTCTGGAAGTTCAGACGCTGCAAGCCTGAGGAAGAGTGTGCCTCCTCCATTCCCATTGTATTGGTCTTGGAGGTTAATCAAGTCCCCATGCCAAACAAAGCAGCCACTACTATTGTAAGTGTAAGCATTACAGGAGCAATTATTCAGGCAAGCAACCTGACAGGCCTGAGAACTAGCGGCCACTGCACTCTGAGCATTATCAGGTAGCCTCACACTAACCATGGAATAGAACTTATCAGGCTGAGTCTGTGCAGAGCTTGAGTTGGTCTGGCACTGCAACGGTACGTTTCTCTTGCACCCACCAGTAAAATCCTGGAGGTCCCAATCACTCTGAAACTTCTGGCTGAACCCCTTGATGCAGTTGCAGAACGGCAGGACATTGAGGTTGCAACTTCCATATGCGCCGCAGAGCCCGTACACCTCACACTGCGTCCGTGGCTGGGACCAGAACAAGATCCAATTCTCCGAGGCTGGTACCCATGTCCACTGCTTGATCTGCCCATTCACATCAATGGTGAACCGCGAGATGATCGAGTCATCCTTCATGGAGTATATGAAGTAGCTCTCCGAGACATTGTTAATGAACCGGAAGTTGTAGTTGTAGCCGGCCGTCATCTCGGGCACAAGACTGAAGATATTACCGTTCCAAGGGCCGCTGGTCCAGTAAGTGATGGAGTCGTTCCACTGGATGAAGTACTGCGTTGTGCCGTTGGGATCCAGCTCAAGGGAGAACAGCCCAGGGGACGGGTTTGCATTGTTCCTCCATGGCACAAGCCGCTGGCTCACACCAGTGGTCTTGTTCAGCCCCAGCTTGCCGCCCGGAAGCCAGGTGTTTGTCGGATGATCTATGCTCCTCCAGTAGACTATGGATGAATTGGTGGCATCCATGAGGTCGAGGCTACCGCCGTCCTGGATGACGGCAACGGTGGAGTTGGAGGCCACACTTACGTTGGTCGACCACAGCTGCCTGTTCTTGGATTGATCAAGGAGGACAAGATTGCCATCGCTGCCGATGGACAAGGATGCGGTGGTCGGGTCAGACACCGGCACGTCGCTGTTGGCCGTCCACACCGTCGTCTGCAACGGTATGTTGTTGTACCATATAGCTATGTAGTAGTTGCCGGTGCCGGAGGCGGTGTTGTTACCTTGTGGCGGGGTGTAGAATCCAAGGGCGAACCTGCCGCCCTTGGAGACGATCTTCTGCGTCCCGGACAGCGGCGTGGTGGAGTTGATGGTGTCCACTGCGGTGCAGAGAAAGATTTGGCTGAAGAGGAGGAGGAAGAAGACAGGAGCCATGGATGGATCTTGGCAGAGCAGCCAGGGCTGAGAACCTGGGACGAATGGAAGCTGAGCTTGGCCTTTGGAGTAATTTGATTATGGTGGTTGGAACCTGAGAGGAAGGTAAGCTTGGTCTTATAACTCATATGGACAGCAAGGCTCCACTTCACGAGATATTGCAGAATGAACGCTCTTTGACCTGGCACAGTAGAGGGTTCTGTGGAAAAGGTACATACCCGAAGACCTGGTGTTTGTTTATAGAAGAATAATCAATATGAAATGTAATATTCTGTTTAAAGTTGTGGTGAATTATTAAATGGTGGGTTTTATTTTGTTTTTTTGCAGGAGGGGTGCAGAAAATTGGTTCTACAGTTTTGCTTGCGAAATAGTACTGTTCCTAGTATTAATTAATTTTGCTGCCTGTTCAACTAATCAACTTGTGTTCTAGGATTGAAGATATTCGTGTCCCCTCTTAGTAATTTATTAGTATTCACATTTGTGAACAGAGACGCCAACATCTGCTATGATGCTATCCTCTTAGTAATTTATTCTGTTGCGAAATAAATTTAAAAACTAAGAATAGTGTGAAGTCAAAGAAAGGTGTTTTGGACTTGTGGCTTGCTGGTGGCAGCAAAAGCTCCGGGGGCTCTGCGTTGACTTGGCCTTAGTTTAACGTGGCCGGTCGTTCAGAGAAACTCTTTTAAGACTTGCTAGTATTATATTTTGCTGAGGTTTCAAAATTCTCTGTGCTAATAATTTCAAACTTTGATCAGGACCAGACCATCTCCCTTTGAAGATGACCAAAATCTTGAAGTTGGCTGCCCTGTTTTCTCTCATGTGGGTTTCTAGAGACCGGGTAAGAAATGTTGCTGCAAGAAAATTAGCTGGTCATGTTGATCGGCGAATAGCACTGTCAGTGTTAGAATTGCCTGCTGATCTGTTGAAATGTTGAGTGTTACCAAGACTAACAGTATTTATAATTTTGGTTCATGGATATCTGTTCTTTCCGTAAATAACTTTCGTGTTTCTCATTGCGATCAATATAGAAAAAGCTTCTGCTGAACAGCTGGTGTGAACGTTGTCTTCCTACACGTCTGTCTGCTGTTTTTTCTTCCCGTCAGATTTTTGTTCTGCTTTGTTTTTGTCATATTCTAGTTTTTGTACACATCTATTCCTTCCTGATTGCAAATTTATCAAATTAGTTGGTCAGTCCACATTTTGAAGGGCTAATCTGGTATGATATAAATCCTATGTTTCAGAAAATTGGGTGATATAAATCCCAAATCTGGGTTAAACACTCGTTGCCATGTTTTTTTATAATACTGTTGTTGCCATGTTTGAGAACAGGATTTGTTGTCGAACTTAGTGGCCCAAGCTTGACGATGACTTGACCAATGACCAGTTTCCTTCCTTAGTTCCTGTGTCGAAGCATGTCTCAGCATGTTAAATGCTCACTCATTCATTTATGACCAGTTCTCTGATATGATGCTGATATGGACCGAGAGCATTGAAGTGGCATTGATGGAGAGCAGATGGATGAACACTGATCACCATAGTGTGGAGGGGAGAGGGCCACAGACGCAACAAGGAGATACAATCATACAGATAATGGTGATTGAATCTCATGAAGACGAAGACAAAGACGAAGATAAAGATTAAGTGTTTCACGCAAAATAAGGTGGTAATAACGTGTGATTAATTAAGTTTGAATTATTACAAACTTGAAAAATAGATTAATCTTATATTTTAAAACAACTTTTATATAAAAAGTTTTCACACGAAACACACCGTTTAGCAGTTTAAAAAACATGTCATTTTTATCCAAAAGTTTATCCAATATTTGTTGGAGAAAAGAACATGGCAATATTAATCTTATAATACTAGTAGTTGGATTTTTCATCAACACGCGAAAAAGGGAGTACATGAGAGGTGGTGCGGTGCCTTGCCAGTTGCCATGCCACTGGCAAATTGCAAATTGTAAGGACGCATTCATGTGTGTCACTGCCGGTGTCCATGTGCATCGCACAAGGAGAGTGGCCTGAAGAATTTCTTGTTGATTGTTGAACATGTTGATCTGTCCTGCAGTAAAAAAGATGGTCCAGGTCTGAGTTAGGACGAGTTTGCTCAAAACTCGCACCATATTGACCGTTGGCTTTTTTAAGAAACGGCATTGATATCTGATCTGTATGAACAAATAGCAAGACTTGCATGGCCATAACCCATCCAACATGATAGATTTGAAAAATACAATGTTTTTTTTTCATTCTTAAATTGCCCCGGCAAAAATGCCAAAATGGTAAAAAAAATCATATTGTAATGTTTTTTTTGCATCTCTAGAGTAGACAGATAGAGAGGACCAGATAAGGTAGGAGACTACATGTAGTATACATAGTGTTGATCAACGACCTGCATTTAGTTCTTCCATAATATAGTCATAAGGTTTTCGGGTACATGGGCCAAGGGCCAAGGAACGTGGTATGCTTCTTACGAGAGATTTTTATAAGGTTGGGATAAAAATATCCCCATATTCCTGTGATTGGAATGATTTCTTCAATCGAGGAATACTACCTTCGACTATTTCTTGATATGCTCACCTTTCTTCTTAAATTATTGACACTAAACTCCTTAGATTTTCTTTGAACCAACCTGTTTACTTCTATTTTTATTTTACCCTCCATCGAGCACAACTCTTCATCTTTCCTAGTCCCGTCTCACCACAACCCAAATCCTAGTGCCTTCCTCTAGTCCCCCTTCCTCTTCCTCACCAGCAAGCTATTGGTAAAGAGGGGAAAGAGACCCACCCATCCAGTAGATCTAGTTGCTTAGGTTTTCAGCCAAATAAAGTTACCATCTTTCCTTGCCGTCGTCGTCAACAACGGTAGCCATCTACCTCCGTGGTTTCTTCCATGAGGGTATGATTGGCTATAAATTTCATGTTCATGATGACATTCTTTAGAATCGAATCCTCCGGCTCTCTTTGTTTCACCGGTGGTCCATTTGCCACTGGTGAGGAGCTTGTGAGGGTTGTGGTTATATTGATGGATGGTGGCCTGAGAGCATATTTGGTTCAAGCTCGGGGCAAGGCCTTGCCGTTGTTTATTTAGCAGTTCTATAGATCCGTTGTTCGAGATGAAAAATTATTTAAAAGCCAATGTGTAATTCGTATTCATCCAAATTTCTCTTGGTTCTCTGTGTATTCTCTCTTCCAATGATATCTCTGAGAGTCCATAAATATATTTTTCCAAGGCCATTATTGCGCCCATGGCGACGACGGGTGCAAGTTAGTACTGAGTACCTTACCAGGTATTGGATGAAATGCTATACTCGCAATTATCTAAGAAAGAAGACTCAGAAATAATCATATTATGGTTTTGTTAGTTATGCTTCAGCAACGCTTCTTAAGTAAACTGGTTGTCTATGAGGTAAACATATTATATTATATTCTCTCTGTCCCATAATATAAGACGCGGTCAAAATTGACACGGTCTCCAAAGCTAATCTTTAACTTATATTTTCTCATATACAATAAGAAGATTTGTAGCAACAAAATTATAACCATATGAAAGTAAATTTAAATTTCAATATAATAATATAATTTTTAACAAATAAAATTTATTCCATATTATAAGTGTTGGTTAAATGTTTTAAAGTTTAAATCTTGAAATACGCGCGCCTTATATTATGGTATGGAGGGAGTAGGAAATATTCCCCGATTGCTCAGCAGGCTTGTTGACAGGTACGAGACACACCTCTTCTCAAACTCGTTAACTGGTTTTATACTCAAATCAATTAACAGTGACATGAACAGCACAAAAATCTCAAGTCTTGTCCTGTGTTGCACCATGGCAGATCATTATGTCTACTTGATTGATAAATTGGTCGATATTGCACTCTGCCGAGGAGTTGAGGATCTGGATCTGACAACAAAACTAGACCAAATATATCAAAGATCTGACATAGCTTGGTACAAATTTCCTTTATCCTTGTTCACCAATGGCAAGGGATTATCTCTGTTGAAACTCAAACTTGGCCAATGCACCCTTAGTATTCCCACTGGTTTTGATGGATTCAAATGCACATTTCTGATGACATGATTCAGACACTTCTTGAAAATTGCCCAAAATTGAAGAGCTTTCACCTGAACCATTTTTGGGGTATTTGGAGCTCAGGGACATGATGATATGTCATTGCTTTCATATCAAATGTATCGAGCTTGTTGCTCCCAAGTTGCAGAAGTCCAGATATGCAGGGCGATGCATAACAATGGTGTTTGCCTCAATCCCGTCCATTGAGCATGCCTGGCTGGATTTTCATGATCACGAGTATGCTGGCTCTTTTGAGTACTTCATCCGTCCTAAAATATAATAATCTAGAACCGGATAAGATATTTTCTAACACTATGAATTTAGACATTTTCTGCTGTGTTATTAGCTCAATGAAACTTTGTTTGAGGGTTTTGGTGTAACTATTGGCTTTCTGTTATGGAAATGCTATCACGTCAGAATTAGGGAAAACGGCACTCCGTTTCGTACTATTTTTCTGTTTTTGAGAAACAATGTTTACCCTCTAGTTGTAACTTGGATGATTGCATCTCGAGTGGACCTAGGGGTGAAAGCAGTACATAAATTTACGAGATTTCCGGTTGACTTTTTCAGTTTGCACCGACCGTTTCAGTCTGTATCGGTAACTAACGGTGGTGGAAATGAAAACGGTAATATCTTCCGAAAATGGTAGCGGAAATGGGATGGAGGTTTTTCCAACCGTTTTGTCGGTAACCATATTTGTACGATAATTTCCGTCAAAATTTCGAAAGTTTCCTAGGAGCTCAGCTAGCCTAACCCATCAGAAGCCCATGAAAGAAGAAAGCCTGGTAGGCTTGCAGCCCATAAAAAAAGAGAAGTGACTAGGTAAAATGGTATTAACCCTATGATGTGGCATGTGGATTTTGCTGAACTTTGGTCTCCTTAACTTATCGATGTTGAAGTATTGTTGAACTTTGTTTATATTGGTCATCAAACTTATTATCATACCATTAATCATCATGTAACAGTGTTATGTGGAGTGTGATGATGTAAGAATAAAGTTAAAAAGTCATCTTCGTGCATAGTTAAATGTGTGCTATGCCATACTCTGCTGATTCTGTTGACTTCCGACCAATATCGGTATATTCTGTTCCGACGGTCCCGTTTTCAATATACCGATATCATTACAGTTTTCGGGTCTACCGTGCCGATTCCGTTTTCTATAAAAAAAAATGAAAATGAAAATGGTATAGGTTTTCCTGACCGTTTTCATCCCTAAGTGGACCTATCCTTTTGTCAATTATTTTTTTCCTGTGGTGTTTTTTTTCCTGGGTACACTTTTTTCTTGTCGTTTTTAATTTTCGACTTCCAAGTTCTAACCCTGTACTGTTAGGTTTGCTTGTAACTTTCGTATTTACGCGTTTAACTATAGTGTTTTATTTCCATAGATTTTGTTTCATTTAAGGCCCCATTTTAATTAAGATGTAAATTTTTACTCGGTTTTCGTTAGTACAATTTTTAAACTACTAACCGATGTATTTCGCGTGAAAACTTTTTATATAGAAATTACTTTTAAAAATCAAATATTTTTTTAATATGTAATAATTAAAACTCAATTAACCACGTACTCATAGCTTTATTTCGTTTTACATGTTCTAACTTTACCGACATCTTATATTAATTAGAAACAAACACCACCTTATTTCAGTGACATGGTTGGTGGTTACCAGAGTCCAGACTCCAGAATGGATGGCGAAGTGATAGGAAGCTCGGACAAAGTCATGAGAACTGACAATTAATTTACCGTTAAAAAAAAATGTCGTCAGCTTATTCAGCTCGCGGGTCAACCGTGCCATATCTGCACCAATCCAAGAACAAGAAGACGCCTCAAACATTGGAGCTATAAAAAAAAATGCTAACCTCGCGTCACAACTTGTGGGGGTGGGTTAGTACGACGTTGTCGTCATCTATTATCTACTCCGGCTTAGCCGCCGCGAGTCACCTCGCCAACACTGCATCCATGCACCTGAACCTCATCGCCACCGTCCATGTCTCCACCAACGGCCGCCGATCTTCGCCGGTCTCCATGCGCCAGCGCCCCTCCGGTCCATGTGCTTTTCGTCACACGCGACGCCTAAAAAGAAAATGTTATCTCCGTTTTTAAGAGAAGAAACATGTTTTATCATTCGTTTTTATTTAAATTTTTTTCTACATAATTATTATTTATAAACATTTAAAGATGGTTTTATATCTTACGTATTGGTTTAAATGTTTTAAATAAGACGTATAATTAAACGTGTGTAAAGCCAGCAACATCATGTATTATATGTAAAATGGAAGAGTATAAACGGAGTCGCAACTCGCAAGGCCGGCAAGGCAAGCAAAAGCTGCTGACACAGCACTCCTATCTGCTCAACCACTTGCTTGGCTTCCTCTGCTCCGGCGACCGGGCGGCCGGCCGGCCGGCGGCGAGAGGTAGCGCCAGGTGATCCATCCATCCATCCATCCATCTCCTCCCCCCTTCTTGTGATCAACCGTTAATCAGCCGCCATGGCCCATGGGTTTGAGTTGATGATCGATGGAGCTAGCTTCCCAGATTCTTGCAGACTTTTGTGTTCTCGCCTCTGCCTCCTTAACATAGATGATGGCTGGGCAGTGGTATCAAGTAGCTCAAGTTTGTGATGAATTCTGTGTGAGATGCTGAAATGATTATAGCAAGTTCTAGCTATGCAGAAATTGTATTGACTCTCCATATTTATGGGAAATTTTTTGCTGTGGCATGCACGTTGACTTTTTCGTCATGTACTGTACTGCATGAACTTGATGTCCTTGCACAAAGAAAACGCCTCTTTGAAATATGCTAGCTGGGTTATGTTGATTTTGTTTTTTAAAAAAATTATGCCTAGTTGAATTGGGATCTTGAGAGATGTATTCACCTTCTGCTTTCAGGGGCACAGGGCTGCAATTGGAACCTGAACTTGAAAGCAAGTTGTGCAAGAGGACAGAAAAGAATCAGTCTGAATATGGCTGCCTCAAAGCTTCAGGCCTTTTGGAACCATCCTGCTGGCCCCAAAACAAGTCAGTGGCAACCCTGTTTGCCTTAATTTTAGTGTAAAATGGCAATTGATATTCCCATAGACATGATTAGGGAACAGAAGCTAGCTTACACATGTCATTACACAGTGAGAACTACTTCCCAGCTTGTCAATTATTAACAGATGACATGATTAGGGAACAGGCTGATGCTGATGGTTCCAGCTTACAGTTCAGAATAGTATGTGAAATCAGACAGCCTGGTTTGATCACAAGCCAGTTTACAAAATACTAAATTACTGAAACCGTCAGAACATAAAAACAACAGTGTTTAAGACTCCCTCCTTCAGATAGCTGATGTGCTTCATTCTTCAATTGTCTGATGATCCATTTGGTTTCTAATTTCTAGTAGTAGCCAAGTTCCATCTTCTCCTCTTCTTCTGATCTGATGGATGTCTATTGGATGAAACATTTAACATATTCAATCACTGTCATCTGAACTGTTGAGGCTTCCATCTGATCTTTGTTGCAGTTCATTTCTGGGCCCCAACATTCAAATGGGGTATCAGTATTGCCAATGTTGCTGACTTTGCCAAACCTCCTGAAATGATATCCTACCCTCAGCAAGTTGGTAGGTTTAGTTGTCAGTTAATCTTATTCCTGACATCAGTTTATCATCAATTCATGTATAATGTTGTTGTGCTTACTCTGATGTATGATGTATGATGTATGATGTGCAGTTGTGGCTTGCAGTGGAGTAATTTGGGCACGGTGGGGCATGGTCATCACACCTGTAAGCCCCTGATATTTAGCCATACATACAATCGTTTCTCGTTATTATGGAAAAATATTTGGAATTTTGGATTGTATATCTCATTTGAATGCAGTCTAAACAGCAACTTTTTTGCGCAATGTCTAGTACGATTCTCTAGTGTAGGTTAGTGCGGTGTACTGTAAAGGAGTAACTGTTTTGAAACTGAATCAAGCCAAAGACCTGTTTTATGACTGTTGTACTTGGATAGACTGATTCAGATATCTGTTTTATGACTGTTGTATTGTTGCAGATAAACTGGAACCTCTCCAGCGTGAATGCTGCAATGGCCGTGACAGGCGTGTGCCAGCTTTCCCGTAAGATAAGGTCTGTTACTGCAAAACCAATCCTCAGCTTGCTGATTTATAATTCCAGATGTGATTTCTGATAAATTAGCAACTTTCGTGTTGATCTCTTACGATTCGATATGTGATTTCTGACAAGTTAACAACTTTCGTGTTGATCTCTTCTTTTACAGGCACGATTACTTCTCTGATGAGAAGAGTGCTACTGCGTCGCTGGAAGGATGATAGGAAGAAGAAGAAATTGTTGTCATGGAATGGAACACTAATTTCATTATCAGTCGACCAGCACAGTGTTCACTGTGAATGTGTCCGCTTCCATGATAACAAATTAACAATCCCATGTGTGTGTATGATCATTATGAATTGGGCTATGGGTATGAAATGTTTTTATACCCTTTGGTATACAGATAGTAAGCGAGTCTGAACTTAACTGAAACGGACTTGGTTTGAGTTCAGCTCGAAGTACACTCGAATTAAACTTAACTCGAACGGCCTTAACTGAAACGAGAGAGCTCCCTTCCTCTGTGCCATACAATATGTTTGCAATTTCGGTTTGAAATTCCCGAAATTTCATTTCGGACTTCCGGCACGAAACTATTTCGCCTGAAATTATATTTTCTTTCTGAATTTGGTCAAATTTTATTCAAGTTCGGCTAAAATTTCTTCAAATTTCAAAAAAAAAAAACTATTCAACCGAGAAAAAAAGCTCCTGGAAGAAGGACCAACAGGGAGAGGCACAAAAGCGGTGAACCAGAGCACGTAACTTACTCCACAAATACCTAACCAATGTTCCATTCTTCCTCTCATCTTGATTTTATAACTTTTAGACCTAACAAACATTATTCATTAACCAACGCTGCGTGTTGCTTTGCCCTCTGAAACTACTGGAACGGCAAATAGCAGCAATTGCCTCCTTCTTCTTCTTTTTTTTCCCCCTCCTAACAACACGGGGAAAATGCAAACGCTTTGCCCGGAAAACTCATCATAACTGATAGCGGAGAGCTGCGAATATATGCCATCGCGTTAGCTTTTTCCACCGGAGTTGTTTTTTTCTGACTCCTCTCGCGGCGAAAGACGATGCCATCTGATTTCAGTCGCTGCAGGCCTTCCTGCCAAGTAGTAGCTTTTGTTGCGTTTTTCCTATCAAACGGCAGTAAATTAAGTAAAAGGCTGGTAATTATTAATTAACGTGAGGCGGCAAGACTTTGTTGTGCAAAAGCAAAGCGGCAGAATGTTAACTTTGGGTAAGTTTCGAAGTAAAATCGTGGGGGCATCGATCTACAGGGAGCTGGAATAAAAGACCATGGAAATGATGGAAAAGTTGGAAGGCAGCAGCACATGATCAGATGATCTGTTTGAAATTGAGAAGCAGGTGTTCCCCGATTTCCACCCATGATCTGTGTACAGTACGTATGCGCAAGTTCCGTTAATTTCTCACGCATCAGTTACAGCCTCATCTTTTCGCTTATACTTATATACTTATCAACCAAAAGTTAAATTTTCAATCTTAAATTTAGACTTGATTTTGAGATTTTTTTTCATCGAAGTTTATTTTTCAGCTTTTACTTTTATATCGCTAAGAACACGTATATAAAAGCTTTATTCATAAATTATTTTTCGTTTGCATATATGTCGTTTGGCTTATTCCATCGATAAGCCAAATGATGGATGAGGCTCAAAATGATCCACTTAGATGGATGAGACTCCTCTCACATAAAGTTAGAGGGACATGGCTACTGACATATGGGCCCATGAAGGTGGGCCCCATATGTCAGGGACTCATGTCCCTCTGACTTTATGTTAGAGGAGCTTGCTCCCACTTAGATAGCTAGTTTGGTAAATAGGAAAACATGCAATCCATGAAATACAGATAGATACTCCCTTTAGACTCCAGTCATAAATATTTTAACGTTTAAAATAAGATTTGATATATGAAACTTTAATAGTCAATAGTTTCTCAAGTGCTGAGCAAAATGGTATATGCAAGGGCGGATCTAGGAAAAATTAATAGAAGAGGCCGAATAAACCATACAAAGTTATAGCCCCATCTTCTAATAAATGTATGACATAAAATTTTAGTGGGGGCTTCATAGGGGCTCTTATGGTTGTAACATCGGTAGTGAGGCTTGAGACCCCAAAGCCCTCATGGTAGATCCGCCCTTGGGTATATGTAGATTTGCCTTCGAAAATACTATTATAATATTATTATAAACATATTAAATTTTATGAACTTGTTCTAATATAAAATTAGTAGTTAGAATTTTAAAAGAGATTGTCTAATTCTCAGTTGCATGAAAATAAAAATTAATCCAATTTTGGACTGCTCATATTGTAGCGAGATTTGTGCATGAACAGTAAAAATTATCTCTTTCACCCCGCTTCATTCTTCTATTGTAACACACAATCTCCTCTCGTTCTCTCCGTATCACAAGCACCAAGCCACCGCCGCTCCAATCCCTAGCGCGTTGCTTCAACCACCTATCCACTTCGGATCTAACGCCCCCACTGCTAAAACCTTGCGTAGCACAAGCACCAAGCCACCGCCACTCTAATCCCTAGCGTGTTGCTTCAACCACCTATCCACTTTGGATATAACGCCCCCACTGCTAAAACCTTGCCTGCCGCTCCCCTCCAACCCCACTACTCCGGTGGAGGGTCCACCACCTCGTCACATGACTATGTCCGCCACTGGTCTTACTAACACCCTGCAACTATCCCTCTAAGTTTGAGAAAACCCTCTTCTTCCCCTCCCTCAAGGCTCCCTCCTACATCAACCACAACCCTAAACTTTAATTCATATATCTTTCACCCGAGTTGGAGTGTCGCTAGCACCGCAGAAGACAGACATCGTCACCATTGTCGTTAAGTTACCTCTCCTTGTCCCTCCTCCCTACCGTAAAGAAGATTGTTAGGTTGAAGATGACTGAAATCCCTAGCAATTTTCAGTGACATGAGATATATCAATCCCCTTACAAATTTTCCTCAACGTTACTACATATTTATGACGGGATTCCTGCGATTCATGGCACTGTGAATCTGTGATGGCAACGCTGTTCCAAGACATGAAACTCGCGTGCCAAATACTGAGCATAATAATTAAAGCTAGAGCGTCTGTCAATCGGGTCTGACCGGCGCCTCTTTATTATATTATTCCATTATTGTTAACCTCCAAAAGCCGCGGAATCGATCATGTTTTGCAATTTTGCAAACCGAGTAAGGCCACGTACGCGTTCCGGTCTACTTAACCAGATCCCGCCAAGTCAACCAAACCACAAGTACTACGTCCCCACCACACCACGTACGTACGCGACAGCGCGCGAAACAGCATCCGTCCGTCTCGCGGTCGCGCCGTTTCGCCTGTCCTGTGGCTCGCTCGCGGCCTCACTCCCAATCTCCGACTCGATTCCCACTCCCACTCGCGACGTATATAAATTCCCCCACGCGCCCGCGCTCTCCGACCCATACACCGCCACACGCCGCGCCATCTCTTCGAACCAACGCGACACGACGCGACACCGGCAGCAGCTAGCCGCGGTGATCGCTACGACGATGAGGTTCGCGTGCTTCAGCGCCGCGGCCGTGGCCGACGAGGCGGAGGCCGGGGCTCGCCACCACCACCACCGGAGCGGCGGCGGTGGCGGCCGGCGGCATCGGGGGACGTCGTCGTCGCTGCGGAGCAAGTTGTTTGGCGGTAGGACGACGAAGGCGGGCAGCAAGAAGTACTCTTCGGCGGCGGCGCTGGACGATGTCTACGACGCGGCGGAGTGGTCGTCGTCGTCGGTGCCGTGGTCCTCGACGTCGGCGCTGTCGCTGGACTCGGCGCGCTCGTCGTCGTCGTCGTCGTCGACGACGACGACGGCGCCTTGCTCCCGCTCCCGCTCCTTGTCGTCGCTGTCGGACGCGCTGTCTCCGCCTGCTGCGAGGCGCGCGCCGGAGAGGAGGGGGAGGACGCCGCGGCCGGCGGCGGGCGTGGCCGCGGTGATCGTGTGCCTCGTGATGGTGATGCTCTGCGGCAGGGTCGGAGCCACGGCGCTCGTCTCGGCGGCGTTCTACCTTTTCCCGCGGCGGTGGCGGCCGGTGGGTGCCATCGAGGCGGCGGAGAGCGCGGCGGCGTCACCGGAGCATGACTGGCCGTCGTCGGCGACGGATCAGGAGACGACGACGAAGAGGAAGGTGGTTAAGGAGGGGTTCTTGGCGCGGAACTGCAAGAAGTGATCCATCCTTTTTTTTTCCTCTCCTTTTTTTTTGAAGAGAAAGAACACTAATTTCCTTCAAATTTTTTACCTCGAGAGTTGTTGTAATTATAGAATTCCAGACACAAATCAAATAATCAATCATCAAAGTATCAAACTGATCAAACATAATTGCCTTGTAGTGCGATGTATTTTTGCCCAAGGGAAAGATTTGGAGATATAATAATATCTTAGCTTGTCTCAGTGACGCAAAGTTTCCTTCTTGAGTTTACCACAGTGAGAGATAGAGAGGTCAAGAAAGCAACTGATGGTCTTCTCGATTTTTTTATTTTTTTTAAAAAAAAAGAGGAACAAAGAAAAAAAGCAACGCATGCATCGTGCATGCACATTTCCATTGCGGGCGCCAACAAATTCCTTCATGCGTACGTGCTGTATCCATGGTTAGCTAATTAAGCTAGTGGATCGAGATGGAACTTTATCCAACTTTGCAATAATGCAAGAACCTAAATAGTCTATATTACTCCTATATGTAAGAGTAACTTTGGGGCAGCTTACAAATGATTGGCACTTTAAATCATTATTGTATTCATCTTGTATGTTATATAGTCTGTATGTCGACAGAGGTCACAGTTGTAAACCATTTTCATTATTAAAAAGAGTCCAAATCACCCCTTTGAACTATTGAGTGAGTACAAATTACCCTCATGGACCCGAAAACTAGATATCTTTAACCCTCGACTATTAATACCGGACAAAGAACCCCCTACCCCCAAGCATTGTTCTGAAGCGGTTTTGACCTGAGATTGCACACATGGCGTCAGCGTGGCAATCCAATCAGCTAAAAAATAGAAAGGAAATCCATGGACGCACTTGTCATCTCTCTCCCTCTATATATCCCCTCCCCTGCCTTCTCTCCCCTGGTCTCTCTCTCTCTCTCTCTCTCTCTCTCTCTCTCTCTCTCTCTCTCTCGGGGAGGCATACCCGGAGGTGGGGGAGCCGGGAGGCATTCGCGGCAGCCGGGGAGCTGGGAGGCATCCGCTAGCTTGAGCTCCTCCGCCTCTGCCGCTCGAGTTACGCCCCGCCCTGTCGTTGTGCAAAGGCGCGTGCGTCCGATGCTCGCCTCTGCCATCGAGATCCTATCCTCCCCGCTACTAGAGCTTTGCCGCCCCCAACCGCCTCCGCCATCAAGATCTTCCTCCCTCCCACTCGAGCTTCATCGCCCTATCGCTGTGCCCCATCAAGATCCTCTGGTGGTCGCCGCCCACAACCGTCTTTGCCATCGAGCTCGTCCACCCCGCCTCTCGACGCTCCGACGCTCTGCTGCTGTCGTTGCCTCCGCCCCCACCCTCGCCCGCCGCCTACTCGGCTCGCCCTCCTCCGCCGCCTCTCTGTTGATAGAGAGAGATGGAGGTGAGGGGATGGAGAAGAGAGAGGAAGTGATGAGAGGGAGAAGAGAGGATGAGAGACTGACAGGTCGAGCCCACCAATTTAAAAGAAATTGTAGACCAGATTACTATGTACGATCAAAACTATTATGGATCGAGTCAGTGGGATAATTCATCTGGTTTTAATAGTTAGGGGTGAAAGATATCTGGTTTTTGGTATGAATGGGGTAATTCGTACTCACTCAATAGTTCAGGAGGGTAATTCAGACTTTTCCCTAAAAAATATAGTTCGTGTTTGCCTTGTGATATCTTTTTTTTTTTGCAAAGATATATATAATGGATTATTCGAAATGATAGGTAGTCCCTAATCATGGTAAAATCATGTTGAAAGAAAAAAGAAAGGCAACTTATTTTTGTGTGTGTGTGTGGAAAAAGAAAAGGGCATATGTTCTCCCCTTTGTTCATTTGTCCAGACAATATTGAACGGGAGGCTTTTTATTATAAATATAAATAAACAGACCCCTTTAAATCTTGCTACCTTTTTCTAGAGGAAAATAATAAATCTTGCTATTTTCACAAGTTGGTTTGTTAATTTAATCATGTACTTATGTTATTGTGGCGCGCACCGAATGATGTGATGTTGATTGTATGCTCTATGATTTTGGAACATGTTGTATTTCGGCTACCAGCCTAGTGGTAGGAGTATCAATATATTCTTGAAAGTAAATTGTTGAGTTAAATCGTTAGCTTGTTGATTTAACAGCTACCGCCAAAATTTCAATTTTAAAAGTTAGATTTTGAGTTTTATTCATCGTAGTTTATTTTCTAGCATTAGTTTTTAAATCGCTAGAAAAATATCGATGTAAAATTTTTATCCAAATATTATTTTGTTGCTTCGTTCATTTTTTTCACAAGCCGAGGAGAGAACGATGAGAGGTTCGTTTGCTGATAATACATAACTCCGATAGTCCGATCTATACATTTTCTTGTTATATCTGAATAAGATGGGACTACACACCTCTTATAAAAATAAACGTGAAATTTGCCTCGCTGTAACGGTACAAGACTAGATTTGGCACAGGTGTTTCATATTTATGGCTAATTACTTTTTCAGCAGTAAATGATGTATTCGTCGACGGCGAGACGTATGTGGTGATTTTGTTAACCTCAAAATTTACCGATCCAGTTTTCGAAGATATTGTGTGCATGTATATGTTTATTGGGGTGAGTGTACATGCACGCGCTTATATGAGCTTTCATGTTTGTACTATATATGTTTAAAAAACAAGGCAATTAAACAATATATATATATATATATATATATATATATGTATTTATGTCTAATTTGGATTTAAATTGGCACCGGCAGACGCCAGTCCAAAGCAGGGTTAGATGTGGGTTCTCATGAACCTAGTACGTACGTAGCTTCATGCCTTCATACACAAAGAAAATAATAGTATACACACTGAGTCCTTGTTGATAGCTATGAGGTTTTGGAAAGTGGCCATCTCCATTTTCATAGCTGAAAAGCTGCTTTATTGCTTGGGCAATGATACCAGGAGGCAGCATTATAGCTGTTATAACCGTAGCTTCGTTACTAAGAAATGGAGCAGAGGTTGGATTGCATTGTTAAACCCTAAAAGCCATGGCCCTCGAAGTATTAAACTAAAGCCGTTGTTTTCTGAGCTTCAGCATCCATCCATCCATGTGATTATTTATAGATTGCCAAAGTTAGAATATACCTGATGAGCATGATCAACCGTAAAGATGGATCAGCCTCGTGGAATGCATGCCGTACAGCTAACTAGCATGATCGTTTACTTATGGGTTGAGATGTTCCAAACATGCATGATTCTCACGTGATCAATAGTCACAAATATACCTAAGCATCTTGCAGGTTTGTCAAGCATGTCCTATCTCAAAAATGAAAGGTAGTCAACTAATTCAGCTTGGTTGGATCTACAGCTGTATTCAGATGCAATATATACCTGGACTAATTAGACTCAAGTCGTGGTTTTGCCCATGATGCGGAACAAGCAACATTAATTTCTTCATCTGAATCGCATCTCTTCATGAATTGTAGAGAATTCTAGCGGAATTGGTGGCATGCATGTTTTGTGTAACATTTGTTCTAAAACTTAGGGCATCTTTTTAACGCAGGAATTTTACGAAATTTACACATGAGTGATTCAAATTCCTATAAAATTCCACAGGTCTTAACAATTTTTTGAATTTACTGCTATGAAAGAAAGCAAAAGTGAGACTAATTAACATTAGGCTGATCATGAGAAAGTGCTACTAGTTAATAGGATGATTGATAATTCACATCAGGAAGCAAAGGTGACTTTAGAACCAAAGGTACAATCAAGCCGTGGACACACGACAAGCACACACATATGCAGCCGTTCGAGTGCGAGCACAAGACAAGCACATCCCACGCATGATTGATTGTTTGGTAAAGGGTGAAACCCTAGTGCAAAGGCCTAGAGTGAGGTGTCCTCCAATCCTTATCCCAGACAGAGAATTATAGTAACTCAAAAGCTCATCCCACATGGAGGAGAAAGGCAAAAAAAAAATAAAATAAAAAGATCTTGCATTGGCTTAGGAGCCTTAGGAGGCAGCAGGGCCCTGCATTATTGCAGCTTTGTTTTGCAACCTTTATTTAGTAGCCTTAATAATCCTTTTGCTGGTTGTACTAATAGTCTAGTGCATCTGCTAGTCTTATTGAGTCTTGAGTGATGACAAAGTCCAGGACATGCTGGGAACTCCAGCAGGTGTACTGTGGATGGAAATCATAAGTCAGATTAGTTATAGTGCAATTGTACTTGTTTCTGACAGCCGAATGCAGAAGTTTGAATCCCCTCAGAAATTTTCGGCATTTAAATGTTTGCTTTTTCCCCCCCTTTTGTTTATGTATTTTATGTTAGAAAACTAATTATAACTTGAAGAAAATAAGAGTAACAATATGTTTAACCAAGAGGTTAATTAGCAATTTTTTAGCTGAAACATCACTCAAGACAGTAAAACCAACATCAATTGAGGATTGAGCACGTTCTGTTTCCATTCATGAGAAGGACCTAACAACAGTTGATGACATTTCATTTGATTCATGTCAATTTGTCCCTGAAAGTTGGAAGTTGAAACACTATGTAACAGCCAGAAAAATTTACACTTGGATTCATCATAAGCCTTGAGCATCATGATATAATATAGATACCGACTTGAGACTAAATAAAACCAAATACACGATGAGAACTATCACCTAAGTTTACAACAACCCAGTTGCACTTGCACCTATCACCCACATATGGTTGCTGCCAGCGCCAATACAAATTTTCAGGCTTGATACAACAAACAGGCCTGTAATTGCAGTACAGATTATTTTCTTGCCGGACAGTCCACCAATTCTCTTGAGAATTTTCACCATTTCAATTCGAATTTGTGCAAAAGGGTATATGCAATACAACTGCCAACTGCTATTATCCTACTGCTCTGGTAGATCTGATGGGACGAGTGGTTCATGCTCATTAGCACCATTTGATGTTCTGTCCATGCCACACACCTCAGGAGATTTTATAGGCACAAAAGAGGACTTGTGTAGAGCAGCAAAAGCCTTATTTCCTTCACCGTTGCTTCCTAAACAAATGGTATCACCCCGCCCATGCCAGACACCGCACTGGACATTATTTATCTCCAACGTCCGAGCCTCCTGTTCATTCAATGCTAGAAACTGTTAGATCAATAGGTCAAAAAAACAAGTAACGCATGTTGAACTGGGACTTCAGAGGGGTTTCAAGATATATAACCTGGCATAGCGTACAGCAAGGACAAATGAGATGGAGAACACAGTCATCTAGACTGCTATCAGTGCCCTGTATCAGGAAAAAAAAAGTCAAGGAAAAGAAACGAAGGTGCACAATCAGCTTAATCACAAAAAAAGACAGTCAATGAGATGGCTGGATTTTCTCCAAACTTTGTGCTTGGCAATTCCTAAATTGAAGTGCTCATATTTATATCTACCCGTATGTTGACAACATAACTATGGCAGGTATTCCAAAGTCCAAACTATCAAGACCAGCAGGATTTAGTTTTCATTTGTTTGAGTTAAGCATTCATAGCCATACTGTGTGATGCAAATGAAAAGAAGAGACAACCAACTGCATTAAGCAGTTAAGCACTAATACTAGGCTGCACAATAACAACCTGTTTCAATGCTTTAAATGAAAAATGGTAATGCCAAGAAATACGTACCCTGATATTGAACTGCTTCCTGATTCTTCTTCGGAAGTAACCAGTATAGATTGCTATCAAGAGAACAGAGCTAAGTCCCATATACAAATATATATTATGCCTTGTGACAGAAAAGGCGATTAGGCTAACCAGAATAGCCACTAAAGAAATTAAGTAAACCATGGCCTGAAACAATTTTAATCTTCTGTCAGATTTATGAACAAAGGATAATTTCAAGAAAATTGATGCACATATGTAATATAGAGTGATGCAATAAATTCCAATAACATTTTTTACATAAGAACTGAGATAGCAATTTATATTTAGTATTTCAAGACTGAAATGGCTATTAAATGAGTAAAATATTGGCAAGTCCAACGTGCAGTCTGATTCACAGTACCATATAATATAAGTAAAGAACATCTCACTAGAACTTATCCTATACAGAATGAATCACAATTTGAAATAAAAAAAGCATGATGCTTATCAGGCTGACTAGGTTTAAGACATGCCACAGACATACATAATTGTGTAAGCAAATGTAGCACACATTGACAAGTCAAACATGTCCTGCATTAACAACTCAAGGATAGGACTATGGAAAGGACGACTTTGCTGATAAGGGCCCGCATTTCAAGAAACTGTCAGTGGTATAACAAGAGAAATTACAACATAAACCTATGGCTTGTAGATTACATGTAAACTAAAGAAAGAAGCAAGAAGGTAAAAATACAGAAATGCACAGTTCAAAATACACAAGTACACAACAAACATTTTTTTCTCAGCCCTAATAGGCAATACATCAGTGATGAAAAAATCTATTCGGTGTAATAATATTCACCAGTGGTAATGGTACATTCTAAAATTGACTCAAAGCATGTTCCAAATAGGAGGTTTTCCTAGTTCCTATCAATAGCAATAGCAAGTAACCTCAGGTGGTTTTACATGTTTACCTCGAGAGCAGTTTTTGACCAGAATCTTTTCAAAGAAAAAGTACAGGTAGAAATGGACGAATATGGACATATGATGGTGAGAGTGTTATCCTTACCTGAAGGAAGCAAGATCCAAGATTGGCTCTCCGCATGTTCTTGCCGAACCTGTAGCATGGGCAGCTGCAGATGGTCGCAAGCAAACGACTTCAAAAACATCGCTCACGCAAAGTTTAATGGTAAATATTTAAATGTACAGCATAAAAGAAAAAATGAAATATTTTGCAGAAATTAGATCAGAACCACAGAATAGGCAGGATGCCTCATTTTTGGGGAATGTTCCCTGACAATTTATCATCCCAAATATGCCTGATTCCGAGTTTCCAACTACAGATGTGCCTAAGATTTTTTTTTTCAACAGAGTTAAAATTCACCAAACTGTGACGCTGGTTTCTAATTCAAATTAATCGAAACTGAAACTAGAGAGAAAAAGTAAGACTTCAAGCAAAAAATTTCCTCCTTCATCTCCATGAACCTTACAACTCCAACGGGAAAAGCCCACCAAATTAGAGACAAGGAATCGGATTTGAAGCTCTGTCAAATTTGAATAGTGCGATTTCCAGCACCGGGCTCCCCTTCCTTCTTTTTTTTTTATGCATTCCGAACAAAGGCAGCGACCTTTCTTTCCCAAATCCGCACAAAAATCAGTCAATCGACATGAAAAATTCCCGCTAAAACACTAAATCCCAAGCTTCCCCGTCGCGCCCAGCAAAAACCAGATTCCAATCAAACAACAGATTCACGAAAACGAGGAGGAAAATAGTCACAGCTCCACCTACCACGCGGCCTCGAGCGCGATTCGCCTGTCCTCCAAGCAATCCAGCACCACGTCCCCTTCCCACATCCTCTGCACCCCTCCTCCTCCTCCTCCGCCTCCTCCACCACCGGCCTCCACCGTGGCCGCCGCCGCCGCGGCCGAATCCTTCCTCCTCTCCGCCGCCAGCGCCACCGAGGCGCACAGCATGTCGAAGTCCAGCACCGCCATCACCTCCTCCTCCTCCCCCTCGCTCTCCTGCCGGCTCCTCGCCGCCGTCGACGCCTCCTCCTCCTCCCGCGCCGCCGCGGCCATTCTCTCTCCCTCTCTCTCTCTCTCTCTCTCCTTTCTCTCTCTAAAGCCGCTTCCGTTTCGTATTTGCCTCGGGTTTTTAACGTCTTAAGCGCCTCCGATTAGGAGGAGAAGCGAAGGGAGGGAAGGGAAGAGATATAACACAATTCGATTAATTAATTAATTGATTGATTAATAATTAATCACGGGTGCGCGTTAGAATTTTTTAACTAACTGATTACATGACAGGTGGGCCATAGGAAAGCGTGGTTCGCGCGAGGCTGCCACTGCGGGGCCCACGAGACAGTGAGATAAGGTGGGGAATACGTGGGTACGCGTAGGTCGGGCTGCCTTAGCAATCGGTGGTTAAACCGGGTAATTAGTACTAGTAGTAATTATGAATAATTAACACGAGGGGGATCGCTAATAATAATGGCGCGTGATTGGGTGGTTTATTAGTGGTTGGATCGGGCGGCCAAGCCCACCCGCCAGGGCCAGACTGGTGGTGGGCCATGTGGGCCCACGTGGCAGTGGGAGTAGGTGGCGGCGTTCCTATCCATCGGCTCGCCGGCGCTCCGGGGCACCAAACGTGTACCTGAGAATTTGCGTCATGAAAGGCACGTTTGTTTTTTTTAAGTTCAGCCGACATGTTTTGCTTGCGTATCCTGAACAAGAAGTTAGTTCTTCTGCCAAATCAACCGGAAATGAATGTTCTTCTATCTTGGAGGTATCTTTGTTTCGTGGTTTTTTGCATGTTCATGTGATTAATAGTATGCGTATTAGATTTTTCACCGAAAAAGCTGTTTTGGTCTGTAGATTACTAAAACTACAAGGGCTGTGTTTAGTTACTTTCTAACTTTCAAAATTTCTTCACATCAAATATTTGAACACATGCATAAAGCATTAAATGTGGACGAAAAAACCAATTACATAGTTTGCATGTAAATTGCGAGAAGAATCTTTTGAGCCTAATTACGTCATGATTTAACAATGTGGTGCTACAGTAAATATTTACTAATGACAGATTAATTTGGTTTAAAAAATTCGTCTCGCAGTTTACAGGCGGAATCTGTAATTTTTTTTGTTATTAGTATATGTTTAATACTTTAAATGTGTGTCCGTATACGTCAAAAAAAATTTGGAGGAGGAACTAAACACGGCCAAAGGATGTTGCTTTTGCAGCTTGCCTTGTTAATTATTAGTTTTATTGTTAGAAGGTCCATTCTGCCAATCATATCTTGACACTGAATTATTGGTTCAACCCCCCCTCCCCCCCCCCCCAACCCCGAAAAGAAAAAAAAAGATGACTTTAATTTGATACTGCATCATTGAAGTCTAATGTATGGTTCAGAGCGATACAAGTTCCTGTCTGTATGATCGACCCGTAAAAAGTGAGATATGATTTGCCACGATCTTTAAAATTTTTTAGGGTTATGCTTTCAAAGTTGAAATTCGGCCATTAATAACTCATAGTGCAATATATTACTATAATTAAAACCATGATTATTTGAAAATTTCACCCAAAAAAAATCTTCCTATATGTTGCCTACCAAGCTATTGATACAAAACATAGAGGTGTGTTGCATGCTGGAAGACACTTGGGGCTTATATATTCAGACAGGGCATATTACGTACCGTGATTAGAGGAAGTACAATAACAGATTATAAAAGTAAGCTATAAACACATATTGAGAAGATAACAGATTTGTAGCGAACTACAGTACAGACTCTAAAACACAATGTGTGTATGATAGGTGGAACAATATATTAATAATGTAATATATGTTTATAGGAAACTATTGTATAAATTGACTATTAAATTAACTTTAGATGATTTAAAGCTAATAGTTAGCTATACTATTAAAATTGCTCTTACTCCAATTTTATTATGGAAGTAATGACTCAAGCATAAGGGCAGTCACAACCCTCCACCTAGGATGGTGTCTATAGCATTAACTATATTGCCATATAGGACTTTTAGCTTATGTGGTACTATATTAATTAAGAGAGAGAGAGTGAATAGAGGAAGAAACTGGGGCCCTGTTTGGAAGATTAGCCCAGGGCTAATTTTAAGAGCTAATGTTTAGTCATGAATTGGTAGGCTAAACATTAGTCTAGGGTGGTATGTTTGGATCCATGGGCTAATTCAAGGCTAAAAGGTGGAGAGAGAGAGGAGAGAGAAGGAGAGAAAGAGCTGCTTTTTGATGGTCCCCGCACAAAATTAGCCCCATTAGCACCCCTTGGAGGGGCTAATGTTTTGAGGGGGGCTAATTCACATTAGCTTAAAATTAGCCCACCTGTTTGGATTCTTGAGAGCTAATTTGAGGCTAAAAGGTGAGGGCTAAACATTAGCCCATGAAATCAAACAGGGCCTGGGTCTCATGCAAGACACAACTTCAACACGAGAACCTATGCACTGAACACTATCAAGTTTTGTATTGGGAGATAATAGTGTCTTCATAATAGATGAAGAATAAATATGATTGGTAGAGAAGAGAAATGATGTATTTATTAATGGCCCACTTTAAGAAACCATAAGTTGTAAAGTGTAGTTTCTATTATGATGTCTTATTGACATGACACCATAGACACTTTTTATGGATACTATGGATTGTGACTGCTCTGAGCCTCTTGGCTCTTGCACACCGCAAAACGCGCAACGAGAGGTGCACGTAATTAATCAATCAGCTTTAAAACCAAGAGAAAGTAGCACACCCAACGCAACGCTTCTCCCATTTATTTTATTTTTTCACTCCATGGTGTTGCTTGCTTTCGCACGGTATATAATGGTCGGCAAGCGAGAGCACGAGTGGGCGAGCGCGATGCGATACGGGTGAAGCAAAGCAAAGGAAAGCAAAGGGATGTCGTGCGCGTGCCGCACGCCACGAACGGAAAATTATGGGGGCGGAAAGCGACGCCATCCGGTGGATCCTAGCCGTGAGCGCGAAGTGCCTCGCTTCGCTGTGGGCCTGTGGCCTGTGCGCACCATCCGTAGTGCAGCGGCAAGTGGGCCTCGCGCACTTTGGGTTGCGGCTTCCGCTTTGAGCCTTACACGTGCACGGATACGCATCACGCGAGCGAGCTGGCGCAAAGCCGAGAGCCGATCGATCGGTTGCAAACAGGTTGGGAAACCACCTCGGCCGGGGTTACCATGTCCCGGTAATATAAGTAAATTTACCACGTGGTAACTGTGGCAAACCATTTACCGTACAAAGCGTAATAACACGCAGTTACTAGCGGTTTAGGAAACTCTACACTTGCAACAGCCAAAAGAGTTGCAACTTGCAACCTGACAGCTTGTATTTTGCTGGTACTTTCGTTGTACGTAGCAGGCTTCACCATTCCGATAAAAACCGGTTGAATTTCGCGGAAAACCGATGTTTCGATATGGCTCAAAAGTAGAAGCCATATGAAATTTCGACATGGCTTGAAACTTGAAAGTAGAAGCCGTCTTAAATTTGTTCGAAAAATACTGGCTTTCCACTGGATTTCGTGAAAATCATCATACCGTCAGAGCCTGGAACGGAAAGTTATCTCGGAATCGCAAACCCTGGTGTGTAGTATAGGTGAGAAATGCTCGGTCCCAAGTTAAGGGTAATACTCCCTTTTTCTCGTTATAAGTCATTTTTTACTATTTTACTAGTTAAACATTTTAAGTTTATAAAGAAATGCAGTGACATTTTCAATAAAAATAAATATATTTAACGTCATGTTTAATGAAACTAATTTGATTACCTATGTTGTTAAATATTTTTAAAAAACTGATTAAATCTTAAAAAGTTTGACTATGAAAAAAACAGAACGACTTATGATACAGAATTGAGGGAGTATATGATAAGCCTACGTCTCATAATAAACCAACTTAGAATATGAAGATGAAGGAAGCAGTTTGGAACACACTATTTCAATAATATTTTTAGGGATTTTAAGGATTAAATAATTTTATATATAAACCGGAAAAACCGGGTGTTTCGACTTCCAAGCACTTGTTTTGAGTGATAGATGTGAAATTAAACGTGTGCCAAAGGATGTAGGAGTAGGTGTGTATTTGTAGTTGTCTAAAGAGAAAAATGGAGAGCGTTATTGGGCCGAGTTAACTGTAAAGCCCGATGTTCCTTAAAGGGCTGGCCCAGGTGGGCGAAATTAACAAAAATCCATATCTGGTGGCGAGCGTCCGCGCGCTCGCGCGCACGGCGGGGATCCAGTCAGCCGATGGTTTCCGCCGCGGCGTGCGTGGTGCTGTTTTCGCATGGGGCTCGAAAATGCTAGTTCGCGGGCGCTCGCGTGTCCGCAAGTGGGCACTCGCATGCGCGACTGTTGGTGCACGCATTGCTCCGCCTTCTGCTCAACCCGACTAGATACAAGGAGAAGAAGAAGCGGGGAAATAGAAGGGAGGAAGAACAAGGAGAAGTGGAGTTGATAAGTGGGCTCCACCATATTTTCATTTTTACTGCTGTCCCTTACATGTGGGACCCACTTCTATTTTTAATTTCTTTGATGACTAGGCTGACAGCACTTTTGGACCAAGACAATTACAACATTAGCAAAAACGCTTCTCAAACCGCTAAAAGAGTTAATTTGCACCGGTCTTTAAAGTTACGAGAGGCATTATACTCGATTTTGCGGTTGAGACAAGCAATTCAAACTAGGGACGGCAATGGGTCAGGTCGGGCACGAGTAGAGCAAAATCATGCCCGACTCGGCACCCGACCTTGCCCGCCCGAACCCTGCCCAACAGGATTAATGGGCAAAACTCCGTGCCCATACCCATGCCCGACAGGCACGGGTATGCCCGGTGGATATCCATTGGGTATGCCTTCCGCCTTCCGCCTCCCGTCGCCGGTTCGCCGCCCTCGATCGTCGTCATTGTCGCCTGCTGCCGCCGGCTCGTCGCCCTCGGTCGCTGTCACCGGCTCGTCATTGTCGCCCTGAGCCGCCGTCGCCGGCTCACCGCCCTCGTCATCGAGGCCCTAAGCTGTCACCGCCGCCATCGTGGCCCTGAGGAGCCGCCGCCGCCGTCGCCCTGCGAGGTTACGACGCCATCTCGCGCCGCCGCTCCCTGCCGTCGCCTGCCCGCGCCGCCACTGCGCTGTCTCTTGCTTGGGTCGCCGCTGTCGTTGCTAATCCGTGCCGTCATCGCTAGCCTGCGCCGCCGCCGCCGCCATAGGGATTAGAATAGGAGAGGGGAGTGGGGAATACCGGAATAGGAGAGGGGATTGGAATAGGTTAGGGTTTCTATTAGTTGAGTATATATATGTCCATAGTTAGTGGGCCAAATGGGCCAAATAAATGGATATAAGGAATAAGAGATAGGCCAAAATTAGGTCATATATATGTATGAGTCGGGTATGGACTATCCGCGGACAAAAAACAATACCCAATTATTGCCCACGATGTTCTCGGGTTTCGGACGGGCGTGCCCACCGACAAAATATTACACCCATGTCCATACCAATCGGGCTGGGTATCCGTGGATATCTGGACTCGCGGGCAAAATTGCCATCTCTAATTCAAACAAGGGCAAGATATGTGTGAACCAAATAGACTTTTTTTTTACTTGGTCAGTGACTCAGTCCCATGGAGCAAAGGTTAGCTTTGAGTCAAGAGTGTGTTCGGATGCCCCTTTTCTCAACCCCTCTGCCTCGTTTTCTGCGCGTACATTTTTCAAACCGCTAAACAATGCGTTTTTGGTTTTTTTGCGAAAAAATTCTATACGAAAGTTGTTTAAAAAAATCAAATTAATTCTTTTTTTAAAAAAATTAGCTAATACTTAATTAATCACGCGCTAATAAACCTCTCTATTTTTCGTGCGTTACTGTTCCGGTTGGGATATGAGATAGCGAACACAAAGCCTTTTTACTCCACAAACCAAACCAACCACCCTCCCTGGGACTGGGATCCATAAGTCCTAAACCGAATTTCCTATTGCGCGCGTCTGCGCCAGCGAACGAAGTCGCGCGCGGTTCCGGCCCAGCCCACTACACGATTGCGCAGTGTCGCAGTGCAGGAAGGTCAGTAGGTGGGGACACGCACACGTTCACATGCGCAGATAAGATTGGATTAGCGTAATCAGGTTTTGACTAATCACGATCTGAATTATGGTGACCATTCTTTTTTTCTTTTCGCATAAAGGTTGTTTTCTTTTTATTACTACAAATTTCAAAAACTTATACATAATATTTAAATTTTCAAATAAAATTTAAAACCTTCTAAAAAAAGTCATATCCAAAATTTAAAACTTTTAACTTGAAAGTTGAAAATTTTCAACTTAAAATTTAAATGCTTTCTTCTCAAAATTTGAAACTCTCCACTCAAAATTGGAAAACTTCCAACATAAAATTCAAAATTTTCATCTCAAAATCAAAAACTTTCATATTGAAATTCAAAACTTTCAACTCAAATTTTAAAAACTTTTAACTCAAAATTCAAAGTTTTCATCTCAAAATTTAAATACTTTCAACTTAAATTTGAAAACTTTCAAGTCAATATTTAAAAAATTTTAAATTAGATTTTGAAAACTTTCAAATCAATTTTGAAAACTTTCAAATTAGATTTTGAAAACTTTCGACTCGAATTTTTATTGTTGTATTGTGAAATTACTGTAGCGTGTGATTAAATCTAATTACCGTGATTAACGCTAATCTCCGTGATTAACGATGGGATCGCGACAGGGTTCGTTCTGCAGCTGAACACGTGGAAGTGCGCGCGAGTAACTGAACCGGCGCGTACGCGCGAATTAGTAATCCCCGTCCTAAACCTCCTTCCCCCGGCTGGCGGCTGCACCGATGGCCGGCGACGAAATGGCCTCGCCGTCGCCGCCGGTGGCGGCGCTCACCAACGACCTCATCGCGGAGATCTTCCTCCGCCTACCCACCCCGGAGGACCTCGTCCGCGCCTCCGCGGCATGCGTCTCCTTCCGCCGTCTCGTCACCACCGACCGCTCCTTCCTCCGCCGCTTCCGCTCCCTCCACGCCCCGCCCTTCGTCGGCTTCCTCGACCACAGGGGCTTCCACCCGGCGCTCCCTCCCCACCCCTCCGCTCCCGTCGCCAGGGCGGTGGCCGACGCCGCGGACTTCGCCCTCTCCTTCCTCCCCTCCCCAGCCGGCAGCTGGATGGTCCGCGACGTCCGCGGCGGCCGCGTCCTCGTCGACCGAGATACCAAGGCCGAGACCGGAGGCAGCGAGAAGCCGTTGGTCTTCACGGAGATCGCCGTGTGCGACCCCCTGCGCCGGCGATTCCTCCTCCTTCCCCCGATCCCCGACGACCTCGCCGCTTCGGTGGACCGCCCTGTCCGCGTCCACCTGGACCGCTGGTGCGAGCCCTTCCTCGCTCCCCACATCGAAGAGGAGGAGGACGATACCTCATTCAAGGTGATCTGGATGGCGCAGTGCAAGGCCAAGATTATCGCCTTCGTCTTCAATTCGAGCACCGGTCAATGGCTAGCCGGTGCCTCCCCGAGCACCACCGATCTGTTCAATGGCGCCGGTCTGTCGCCGCCGCCGTCGTCGTCGTCACCGAGCCTAGTGTTTTCGTCACCGGGTCGAGTGTTCTCCAGCCGCCGATACGCGTGCGGCTGCTTCTGCTGGGGGATTTTGAGGACCATGTTGCTGGTGCTCGACACACGACTGATGAAATTCTCCATTGCTGAACCCCCACCAGTCTGCCTTGGGGGACCGACCGCCATTGTTGAGGCAGGGGAAGGCATGACTGGGATCTTTGCTCTCCGGGGGAGCGTTGGTGGCACGTTTGATCTCCACTACAGCATTTGGGGAAAAGAAGGGGCGACTCGTCGCGAGCAGATGGAGAAGATAATCCCACTGGATCATGGCTACCGGTATTACATTAGAGGTGCGATGGAGAAGCACTTGCTGTTAGCCAGGTCGCGAGGGGAAGGCGAAGAAGATACACCAGAGGAGCCAGATTTGGAATGCTTTTCACTGGATGTCAAGACCTTGCAGCTTGAGCCGGTGTGTGTTCTGAAGTACTACAGTTTACGTACTGACATATATACCAACTTCCCGCCTTCGTTGTCGCCAGAAATAATATGAGATGGTAAATTTCCTGTTGTATCCTGATTATGTCTTTATTTTTCGGCATAGTTATCTCGTGGCTTATGATATATATCTGCGTGGATGATGCTTGATTTATTATTGCAATATCTGCTCCTTGTTTAAACAGTTATCATAGCGATTATAGTATGAAACATTTGTGTGGTATGGGGAAAATATATAAAGGAAAGGACATTAGAGAGATTTGCTTGTTTGTTGCGCAATTATATTGTACAAGACCGATTAAGATAATGGGGCAAATGAAGGAGATGATCCTGCTACGAACTGCTTAGTGCTTATCGTGGAATTCAAGTAGCCCTAAGTTATCATTTCTCTTCCTTTTAGTTGCTTTGATTAGGAGTTCGATATACTTATGGCTGATTTATTTTGCCCTTCAACATGAAGCTACTAATTTTGTATGACCTGTGTTTGGTGGTTATTTAATAATTATAATATTCAGCTTTTTTGTCTAGTACTCTAGCTAGGTGTTCCAACTTATATATTGCAAACCACAATGACAAACACATAGCTAGGTGTTCCAACTTCTATATATTGCAAACCACAATAATGAACACGTAGTGGTGAGTGTTTGTCGTGACATGTTTCAATTAAGTTGAGAATGTGAGATTTGATATAATCAATTGGTAAGGGCTAAAATGAGTTCTGAAGGTGGGTTTTTCATTCATTTTATAGATTTATTTTGAATTACTAATAACTATCTCAGCTATCTAACATAACATGTTTTTTCCTCCCCTGATCAATTTATGAAGTGTTACATGTAGCCTATTAATAGTAGTTTGTTCCTTTCTGGTTCATAAGTCTTGAATATGTGCAATCTGGTCTGAAAGGTCTTATTCAATATCTAATTTCTTGGGTTATTTGTGTCAGATTCAGTGTTCACGGTGAAAGAAACACTAGTGGAGAAACCATCTTTGCCCGGTCGACCAAAAACCACAATAGTCTCGGATGCACTAAAAACCAATACTAAAGATGGTTTTTAGTCCCGGTTTATAAGTAGAACGGGAACTACGTGATCTTTAGTCCCGGTTGGTAACACCAACCGGGACTAAAGATGATCTTTAATCCCGGTTCACATGCTGTCAGGTGTTGTCAGGCCCCTCCAGGATCTTTAGTCCCGGTTGGTGTTACGAACCGGGATTAAAGATCAAAACGCACTATATAATCCCTGTTACTTATCCTCTTTTCTCGTCCACTCTTTTCTCATCCACACCCACTCCTCTCTCCCTCCATCTCTAATCTTATCTCTTCCCTTCCTCCTTATCTCTTTTCCTTCTTATCCCTTCCCAACTCCCCTTCCCAACTCGATCCAGTGTGCGCAGCAGGAGGGGGTGGGCGGCCCGGCCAGCGGAGGGCAGCGCGGCGGCGCGGCACGGAGGGCCGCGGGGCGGCGGCGGCCGGGGAGGCCGCAGCCGGCTCAGCCGGCCGGCGGCTTTGCTTAGTTTTTTTTTCTTTTTTTTTCAAAGAATTTGTGATCCATGTGTAGATTGAGATGAAGAATCTGTGGTTCATTGTATGGATTGAGATGTATAATTTTTTTTTGAATCTCATGGTATGGATCTAAGATGTACATGATTTGTGTATGATTTGTATATTTGGGACGTTTCTTTGATTTGGGATGTATAATCTGTAGTGTATATGATTGATTTGTGTATTTGGGATGGTACGCATCCCACCTAATACCCGGGACTAAAGATGGGAGTGGGCAATAGTTTTTTTTTATTTACTTACTATTTAATCTCTAATTTAGTCCCACACCAACTGGGACTAAAGATCGATCTTTAGTCTCGGGTATTTGAACCGGGACTAAAGATAGGGATCTTTAGTCCCGGATTCATAGTCCCGGTATAAAAACCGGGACTATAGGAGGGTTACGAACCGGGACTAAAAACAATTTCTCCACTAGTGAAACATTGCAGTTCTTCGAGCTATAGTGCTTAGCGTGAGCCGTGAGATTGGTGAATGAATTGAGATGGTATGCCAGATTTTCATATTCTCATTGTTATATTGAACTGCAAAGCAATATCGTATTCTTTTGGTAGAATGATAGCTGCTGTGGAGTTTCCAGTTTTAGGGCCCCTTTGAATCACAGGGTTAAAAAAATGGAGGAATAGGAAAAACACAGGATTCTGATAGGAATTGAAGTGTAAAACAGAGGATTGCAAAACACAGGAATGGTCGTTTGATTGGAGCGCAGGAAAAACACAGGAATCGGATGAGAGATAGACTCAAAGGAAATTTTTCAAGAGGTTGGAGCTCTTGCTATATTTCCTCCAAAATCCACATGCAATGTGCCATTCCATAGGAATTTCATGGGATTTGGAAAGCTTCAATCCTTTGAATCAAATGGACAAATAGAAAAATTTTCTATAGGATTTGAATCATATGAAAATCCTACATAAATCCTTTGATTCAAAGGGGCCCTTATTGCATATCTGCTATGGTTATTGAAACTTTGTATAGCTTTGATATTTATGTGTACAAGATATTTAAGCTAATAATTGCATACTCCCTTCGTTCCAAAATAACTCAACCTATAATTGGATGATAGGATTTGACCTATCCTGGAACAACAATTCTGGACAAGCCCTTCCGAGCTAGGTTATATCCTACTCTAGGTGTGTGTTATGGTTCTAAGTTACTCCATTTTGGAACAGATGGAGTATCTGTTATGGTTATTGTTATGGTTATTGAAACTTTGTATGACTTGGATATTTATGTGCACAAGATATTAAGCAAACAATTGTGCAAGGTCTGTACTGTTTCAGCAGTTTGAAATTACTCGGCTGTATGCACCGATGACGCTAGTCATCTTCGACATTCACATATCGCCTCTACCATTTTTTTTAAGTATTCTGATGTTTGTCTACTTACTTGGCTTGAATCGGGATGAGTTCTTAAGTATTCTGATGTTTGTCTACTTGGCTTGAATCGGGATGAGTTCTTAAAATCTACTCTCTCCGTTCCATAAAAGAACTAACTTCTAACTACTCCATCCTTTCAATATTACTAGAAAAATGTCCGTGCATTGCAACGGGTGAATGCTATTTTAATTTTATTATTGTTATACGGTTTAGTTATGTTAAAATTCACTATAAGAATTTGCTTAGATTTTTTTTAAAAATACATGAATTGTAATTCGGAGTCCGACTTTCATCTTAAGTTAGCATGTGGAGTTTTTTAAAAGAGATTTTCTTATACGACTTCTTTTGTAGTTCCAAAAGCAAACGAGCTTAAAATCCAACTCAAACACAGATATGTATTTCCAAAAGCGAACAATCTTAAAAACGTGGGCTTCGGAGCGGTGGGGAGCTGGCTTCGGAGCGGTGGGGAAGTCGGCAGCGGCGGCGAGAGCGCGAGCGATGGGAGCGGAGGGGTGCGGCGGCTGGGCGGGCTCGAAGCCGCCGAGGTGGACGAACCCGAGGAGGAGAGGCGGGTGGTAGACGGAGCGGTAGCAGCGGAGGAAGTGGCGGCCGGCGATGAGTCGGCGGAAGGAGACGTAGGCGGAGGAGGCGCGGGCGAGGTCCGCGGGAGAGCCGATACAGAAGAAGATCTCCTCCAAGAGCTCGTCAGTGAGGGCGGGAAGCTGACGCGGCCATGAAATTAATAGGATGCCACGTCCTCATCCTAGATGGAACAATCACATCATCTCACGGGTGAATCCATTCATCGATAGTATGGTTTTGTGAAACTAAACTAACAAAATATATGTACTTAAGTGCCAAGTGTCAAAATATGTGTGGTTTTCTGCATCTTAAACCATAGAACATGTAGTTTTGTGAAATTTACTCTTTTAAATATGTAGTTCTATGATAACTTTAATATTAAATCTATAGTTTTATAATACATAATATTAAATATGTATTTTTAATAATGTTTTGTGTTATGATATATTCGAGTAGGCAAAATCTAATTCGCGCGCGCTCTCTGTTTTGCCTTATCGCGCGACACGCTCATCAGCCGTCTGATCCCACAAGCACTGGTGCGTCCATACATGGCCTGGTGATTCATGGACGTGGCATCATCCCGAGGAGTCCAAATTGGAAGCCCATACGATGCTCTACGCTACGCAGGCTTCAAAAATAATTTTCTCTTAAACTAATCACCCGATCTACGATTCGATTATACCGTTGTGTTCGTAAGAATTGAATCTTTATAACAAGATCTTACATGATTATATTTTAATGAAAAATTAAAAATTACTTTTATAATATATCTAAATTACTTTTAGATTTCACTAAATTACTTCTTAGACCCATAAAAGTAAATTCAATAAAGCTTAAAAGTAATTTACATATATTATAGGAGTAACTTAGAAAAAAAAGAAAGCAACTTTATCACGACAAAGCAACTTTCTAATTTCAGAAAAGGGCTCATCATTACTTAAACTGTCGTTCTCTTTTCTCAACAGAATAGCGAAAAACTGGCAGTGTGTACTACAACAGGGTGTGTTTGGGAGGATCTCCGGCACGTAAAACAAAGCATACATTAGTACATTATTAAATTACTCCCTCCGTTTTTCAATAGATGACGCCGTTGACTTTTTCTCACATGTTTGACCATTCGTCTTATTCAAAAATTTTATGCAAATGTATAAGATATAAATCACACTTAAAGTACTATGAGTGATAAAACAACTCATAACAAATAAATTATAATTACGTAAATTTTTTGAATGAGACGAATGGCCAAACATGTGAGAAAAAGTCAACAGCGTTATCTATTAAAAAACGGAGGTAGTATTAGCTTAAAAAACTTTAAAAATGAACTAATATGTTTTTAAAATAACTTTCTTATAGATTTTTTTTAACAAAGTGCATTGTTTAGTTGTTTAAAAAGTGTGCAGTGAAAAAAGAAGGATGTGAAGTTCGTAAAGTAGACTTAGGTGGTATTTGGATCCAGGGACTTAACTTTAATCTATGTATTTAGACACTAATTTAGAGTATTAAATATAGACTACTTACAAAACTAATTACATAAACGAAAGCTAATTTATGAGACAAATTTTTTAAGCCTAATTAATCCATAATTAGAGAATGTTTACTGTAGCATCACATAGGCTAATCATGGATTAATTAGACTTAATAGATTCGTCTTGCGAATTAGTCTAAGATTATGGATGGGTTTTATTAATAGTTTACGTTTAATATTTATAATTAGTGTCCAAACATCCGATGTGATAGGGACTTAAAAGTTTTAGTCCCATCTAAACAGGGTCTTAAGAACACAACCCTGATCTGCTACTAGTACACAGCAAGAGGGTTATCCATATAAAAAAAATATCAGCACACTAGCTTATGTGGTCATATGAAAAGGGAACAAACTACCACAAATATGAACATTTAACCAGGAAATGGAAGTAAATATGCTTATTGGATGACCCTTATCGTGTTTAATCAAATTTGTATTAGTTTTTTTTTTGCGGGGAAATTTGTATTAGTTGGCTGTTGGATGGGAAGAATAGATGATTTGCTCAATGCCAATGAGATAATTGATGGATCATTTGTGATTGGGTGATGCACAAAATAAGTTAGCAGGGATACCGTGCTAATTAAGGCATGTATATAGCTTAACAACATCACAGGCTACAATTCGGTGTGGCAAAGTCAGTATAGAAACAGAATGGCAGCATTCCAACATTAAGAGATACTAACACAAATAATGAAATAAGGGCTCGATAGTGTGATGTTGATTGATGGGCATGATGGCCGATTTTAACTATCGCTGGAAGAAACCCTCGCGCGCGCGTTCAAACCCCTTAAACGGCTGAAACCAAATTAAACCGTCTAAACCGGGGGTATCCCTGGGTTTGATCGGTTTGCTGCGGGAACCCGGCCCAAACTGCGTATGAATAGGCTGAATAAAAAGGGCTAAACATAGACTATATTAAAGAGGGATTGTTGATGCAGTTGCAGTAGTACGTTCCTTAGAATGAAAGGTCAAAAAAGACATTGTAAACCTCTAGTAATCCCCTCATAACACAAATTAATTTTCATAGTTCTTGCAAAAAGATATGGCCAGGAAAAGAGCAAGCTTACCGCTTCATATGCTTGGTGATGATAGAGATGGCGGGTAGCCAACATACAGGAATGACAGCGAAGGTGGAACACCACTGATCACCCTACGGACAGACTCAAGATACTTGCAACTTGGGTTTGTGCTGAACTCCAGCGAATAGCACCCGCGCGCGAAACTCGGAGGAACTTTCAAGAACAACTCCCTGCTGGTCGCACCCAGGATGCCGAATTCGTCGAAAGGCACGACCATGGCAGTCTCAAAACTCCATTTGCCGGCAGCAGCTTTCCCTTCATTTTGCATCTTTGCAGAATAGATCTGGAGTGCATAGCCTGCGATGTAATTACGGAAAGCGAACATCCCAATCTTGCCTTCTCCTTCCTCTACGATGGCGCATTCCACAATGTCATGGCCAGGCGCGCTCGATGGGAGCTCGAGAACTGAGAAATCCATCCTACGCATGTCGAGCACAAGCAGATTCTTCACTGAGTCACCCATCATCCAGTAGAAGCAGCCGTATGCGTAGCTGCGCCGCGACATGGAGCGGCAAGCGGGGCGCGAGAATGCAGGGCTCAGATCTCCCCAGCAGACAGATGCAGTGGCTCGCCATTGCCCGGTGACTGAAGAGAAGACGAAGGCGACGAGTTTATCTGCGCACTCCGCAATCCAGATCACCTTGAATGACGTCTCAGCCACCGCCGCCACGCACTCTTCTTCACCGATCGGAGCGAAGAAGGTATCGCCGCGGCGCGATTGACGGAGGGCGGAGGCGGCGGCTAGGTCTTGAGGAATCTGGGGGAGAAGCAAGTGCCGCCGGAACAAGGGGTCGCACACGGCGAGGATCCTCGAGGCGGCGGCGGCGCCTTCTTCCACGACGTCGCGGTCGAGCAGGAAGCGGCCGCCGAGGACGTCACGGACGACCCAGCCGAGGGGATCAGGGGAAGGGAGGAACGAGAAGCCGAAGTCGGCGGCGCGGAGCACGCCGCGGGCCGCGGGGGCGGACGGGTGGGGCGGCTCGGCGGGGTGGAAGTGGAACCCGCCGGCGCCGGGTGAGGCGCCGCAGAACCCGAGGAGCGACGGCGGATGGAGCGCGCGCGCGCGGCGGAGGAAGGCCCGGTCGGTGACGACGCGGCGGAAGGAGGCGCAGGACGCGCAGGCGCGGCCGAGGTCGGCGAGGGACGGGAGGCGGATCAGGACCTCCGCCAGGAGGTCGTCGGGGAGGGCGTCGAGCTGACGGTGCGCCGGCGGCGAGGCCATCGCGACGCTAAGGCTAGCTAGTAGCTACCCACCGGCGGCCGGGTTAATTAGGTTTCCGAGGAACGGCGGGGATTGTGGTGTGGACGTTTGGGTCCTTCACTCCTTCCTTCCGCTTTATTATCCCCACGAGGCCACGTTCTCCACGAAAATAGTCGAAACGTTGCGTTGCGTTGCGTTGCGCCTTGCGCGGCGGAGGACACGAGCGATCTCCACGAAAATAGTCGACGAAACGTTTGTGTTGCTCGGTGGCGGCGGCGGCGGCAGCGCACGTTCTTAAGAGCGAGTATAACAGTAGGCTATAAATCGGCTAAATGATGACGTGGAGAAGAGAAGAGAGGAGAGAGAGGGGAAGCGGGTTGTAAACTTACAGCCAGCTTGGATACTAGAACTAAGAAACTCTGTGAGAGAGACAAGTGGAACATGTATTAATTGTAAAGAGCTAAGAGTATCACCAACAGTCCTCCTATAATCTCCCCCCAAAAATTTGTTTTTAGGTTTCCTAAACTGAAAATAGGAAGTAAAAAAACTCCTCCCTCCAACAGATAGCCTAAATTTAATCCCCGAAAACTAAAAGTGGGTCCTTCTGTTGAACTACCAACAGAAATTTTCGTTTTTCCCCTCCCACGCGCGCACAGAAAGAGATCACTATCTCAGTATCTCCCACACGCAATAGCCGGCCGATTCTCCACTGCGCGCTCCCTGCCGCTACGCCGCCGGCCGATCTCTCCACGCGCGCCGTGCTCATCGCCGATCCCTACACCATCCCTGCCATCTCCCCCTCCTCTATATCCCCCACTGGTGCTGCCCATCTCTCCCTTGATCTACTCGCTTGGCCGCCTCTCCCTACACACCCTCGTCGTGTTAAAGAAAGAGATGAGTCCTCCAGGCAGTCTCGTTAAGATGCTATTGGATGATGAGTCTTCGTCGGATGACGACGATGAATTTATTTTTGAGGCGGTCGAAACAATTTTCGATGATAACAATGAAGAACCAAAGCGAGGAGGGTCTGTCTTTGGACATGCAGTGATTAATCGGGAGAGATTGGCTGGTCATTGGAGACTATACAATGACTATTTCTCAGAAGAGCCTACATACCTTCATGTTCAATTTAGACGCAGGTGGGTAATAGTGAATTGTATTTTTTTTTAATCTTGATTTGAATTAGTGATGCATGTATTAATTTTAATTGCTAATTATTTTTCAGGTTTAGAATGAAAAGGACGCTCTTTTTACGCATAATGAATGCTGTTGAAGCGCATGATGATTATTTTGTTCAGAAGAGAAATGCGGCTGGTATCATTGGGCTATCATGTTTGCAAAAGGTAACAGCAGTGTCACGTATGTTGTGTTATGGAATAGCTGCAGATGCAGTTGATGAATATGTTCGTATTGGAGGTAGTACCGTTATTGAGAGTTTTAGAAGGTTTATCGTAGCTGTACTTGATGAAGTTTTTGGGGAGGAGTACATGAGGACACCAAATGAGAACGATATAGCTAGGTTACTTGCAGTTGGAGAACGTAGAGGATTTCCAGGTATGCTGGGTTCTTTAGATTGTATGCACTGGGAGTGGAAGAACTGCCCGACTGCCTGGCATGGTCAATATAAAGGGAAAGAGGGAGTTCCTACCTCAGTTTTAGAAGCTGTTGCCTCGCATGATCGATGGATTTGGCATGCGTTCTTTGGGTTACCTGGAACTCATAATGATATTAATGTGCTCCAACGATCTCCATTGTTGCTCCTAAAGTTAATTACACCATTAACGGACACAACTACACTATGGGGTATTATCTTGTAGATGCTATTTATCCTTCATGAGCAACACTGGTGAAGAGCATCCAGATGCCACAAGGAAATAAGAGAAAATATTTTCAAAAGCACAAGAATCCGTTAGGAAGGACGTTGAACAGGCATTTGGGGTGTTGCAAGCTCGCTTTGCTATTGTCCGTGGGCCAGTTCGTTTTTGGGATCCGTTGACTATACGTCAAATTATGAGATGTTGTGTAATCTTAAATAACATGATTGTTGAGGATGAGCGTGATGACGAGGAAGATTTACATTATGATGAGATGGGACAACAGGCGGATGGTTCCCATGAACGTACGGCTGAATTTAACGAGTTCCTCGCAAATTACGAAAAAATTAAAGACAAGGCAGTTCACAATCAGCTACAAGAGGACCTCATCGAACATTTAATTGCTAATTGATGGAATTTAAGCTAAATTTATGTTGAAGCCGAACGACGACTTAAAATACTAGTCTTGACACTTTTATAGTACTCTTGCTCCTCGATTGACATCGCACTTGTATCTAGCCTCAGAAGTCTATCTTCTTCTATCATCCTCTTAAAATCCAACTTTTCTTTCTCCAAATTAATCCGTTGTTGTTCAAGTGCAAGTGCAGCTCTGTACCTCTCCTCTCTTTGGCGCTCCTTCTCAGCATCGGCCTCTTTCTTCTTAGCCCATAAATGATCCAAAGCATCAATTTTGGATTGATCTGAGCGTTGACGCTGTTTTTCTCTCTTTCTTCCTCCCTGCAGGTCTTCCCGAAGGCTGCACAGCATCAACTGCAATAGGGTCCTCTTTCTCTTGAGGGACACAGTTCTGAGGACCTGAAGGTGCAGACGTAGCAGGTGTAGACTGCACATTGGTCTTCTGCTTCTTATTTGCATTATTTTGACCTGCCTTGTGAATTCACCAATCAATCCACTTTGGCTGATCCTTCAAATATTTGTAGCAATGCATGAACTGAAAAGTCCTGTTTTTTTCGTCTTCCTTCGTATACAACAGCCCAGCCTGCAAAAGCTGAAAAAAGAATTGCAAAACAAAGTTAGGCTAAAAAGTTAACAAATAAATGATTACTAACAATAACATATAAAATAGATTAATTTTCACCTTGTCCTCAGCATTGGCACCACTTTGAGGTCTATTCTCGATACGACTTACACAACCAGCAAACGTATTGAGACACTCTTGTATAGTGGACCAACGATGCATGAGCGAATTTTGGGAGCGATCTGAACTAAAGTATTTGTTTGCATGAAAAAAATCACAAATACGGTTCCAGTACGCACTCCGAGATTGATCGGCACCTTGAATAGCATCCATACTAACATTGACCCATGCTGACACCAACAAGACATCCTCCTGCATACTAAAATTCTTGGACCTTTTTTGGTTAGGTCTCGCAGATGCTTCCCCTTCCCCACCTTGATGCACTGGATCTTCGGGTAATCGGGTTGGCTACCTTCAGCACTCCAATTGAAAGTATTGCCACCCTCATTCATCAAGTTTGTAAAATACCCATCCTCCATGCTTCCTGTTCATGGCAATTAATTCATCACATTACTCAATATGTACTTCGATTAGAAATATACAATAGAATTTCATGAACAATAGGCACCATGTAATTGCATTGCCAAACATATGCAGATGCATGTGTGGTAAACGATGACACACTGAAATTTTCATTTTCTGAGAGCATGAAGTTATATTAGCCACAATGACAGTATGAAATTATTTTAGCCACAGTGATAGCTGCAACCAAACTGCTGGAGAACTAAAGAAATTTTGTGAGAGTATGAATATTAGTTTGACAGACACAAAGTGAAGGTCATTTGGCAGATTGCTACATTTTCATCAATCAGCATTCTTGGCAAATTAACTCCCAAAAATGTCATAGCAAAATGATTTGTATTTGTAGTTCTGATCAAACATTTAAAAAAATTGCATTAATTTTTCTATACAGCATGTACATTCCAAGAAATTTGCACTAGTTTGTCATCACCAATCATTCTAATATAATACATGGATGCCACACTTTGTAATACTAAACAATACCAGTGATTACTTGCAACAAGAACTCAGGCGATAGAGCATTTCAATGTAATTCACACAAGGACAATTTCATGAACAAGCATACGGTATTAGCTATCAATTACCTTGAGCACTGACAAAATTAGTCACGGGCACACCAAAGTAGCTTCCACGGTTGAACTCCTCTTCACTAGCAGATAATCCGTGGCCCAAATCAACACTGGCCGAGTCGACCTCGACAGGATCCGTCCCATCGGCGTCTGGGATGGTCACCTCCTGCACTTCTTCGTCGATCTGCTCACTGGGTTGACGAGGCGGATGGGTAGGACTTGGAGGCGCAAACCCTACAATGGAGGGAGCCATCACCGGGGGGCACAGAGGAGAGGCCGGCCAGTTCATCCCGTACGGCGGCAGATAAAAACGTGGTGGCGGCGGAATCAGGGAAGAGGAGGAAACAGCTGCCGCCGGACGAGCCGCCGGCGGGCGCGACGCCGCCGGCCGTGACGTCGCCGGCCGCGACGCCGCCGATCGTGATGCCGCCGCGAGGGGCTGCAGGTACAGGCGCCGGCGGGCGAGGCGCCGCTGCCGGGAGAGGCGCTGACGGGCGACGCGACGCCGCCGGGAGAGGCGCAGGCGGGCGCGGGCGCGGAGAATCGCCAGGCGGGAGCATTTCGCCTTCGCGCGGGAACGAGAGGAGAGAGGCGGGAGTGCGAGATTGGGAGCGATATTCGCGAGAAAACTCTCCCCTACATAAGCCGAGCGAGGAATCGGGAGAAGGGAGTTCCAAAACTTTGGCAGGAGAGTAAGGGATCTGTTGGAGCTGTTTTTTAGACTAAAATATCTCAAAATTAGTTTTGGGAATCAGATAGGTGGACTATTGGTGATGCTCTAACTATTACTCCCTTCATTTCAAAATATTTGACACCGTTGACTTTTTAGTACGTGTTTGACCATTCGTCTTATTCAAAAAATTTAAGTAATTATTTATTCTTTTCATATCATTTGATTCATTGTTAAATATACTTTCATGTACACATATAGTTTTATATATTTCATAAAAAATTTTAAATAAGACGAACGGTCAAACATGTAAGTCAACGGTGTCAAACATTTTGAAACTGAGAGAGTATATGAATAGACTAAAAGAAGGCTAACAATAGCCAATAGGTCAGCTGTACTGTTACCCTTACTCTAACTGTGGGATGTGGGCTGCCGATGGTCGTGCTCTCAAAAGGCCCAACTCTTTCCGGAATGGCTGGGTTTTGGGTTGGAGGACGCGCGCGCACGAATGAAATGGTCCGGTGGCTCCGCAGTCCACACGAGTACACGACACGAATAGACAAACTCACCATACATCAACCGTGTGGTGCTTGCCTCTGCTGCTGCTCCTTCCGTAAAAAACACAAAATAACGGAATGTGACCCCCTTACAATGAATGTAATCCAGATTATTTCATAGCTTGATTTTCTTTTAGAATGAAGGAAGTACAATGTAACAACTGATGGACCAAACCTAGGCGGTGGTCATTGAGCAGGGTAGCTTACCTTGATCTACTTTAAACTGACATCTAAGAGCAAGTTTAATAGTATAGCCAACTACTGACTTCAAATCATCTATAGCTAATCTAATACTCCATCCGTTTCTAAATATTTGACGCCGTTGACTTTTTTAAACATGTTCGACCATTCGTCTTATTAAAAAAATTAAGTAATTATTTTTTTTCTATCATTTGATTTATTGTTAAATATACTTTCATGTATACATATAGTTTTATATATTTCGTAAATTTTTGAATAAAACGAATGGTCAAACATGGGCTAAAAAGTTAACGGTGTCAAACATTTAGAAACGGAGGGAGTAGCTCATTCATACAATAGTTAACTATAAAAATATACTACACCATTAATACTCAGTCCTACCTCTCATACGCACATAACGTTTTGGAGTCCGTGCTGCAGCTGGCTATAAATCTGTAGCCCGCTTTCTTCTCTCTCTTCTCTTTTCTTCTCGATATGTGGTTATAGCTAGCTTATAGCCTGCTATTGTACCTACTCTAATGGAAGTACTCTCTCCTTGCTCGTAAAGAAAATCATTTTGGAAAGCGACACGGTCTCCAAAACATAACTTTGACTTATTGTTTCTATAAAAATATTTATTCAAAAGTGATATATGTATAATTTTATGAAAGTATTTTTCAAGACAAATATATTCATATAATTTTTGTATTTTCAAACTTAACAACTTGAGAGTTATTCATAATTTATATTCCTAAGGTTTGACTTAAACATTGTTCTAAACGACTTCCTTTACGAGTATGGGAGAGTACAAAACTAGTTGCAATGATGGTTGGTTTCTAGCCATACTTTATCACCACTTGTCAACAATAATTATGTCAGTTTAAAGTAGACCGAGCTAAGCTGCCCTGCTTAATGATCTCCTAGGTTTGGGTCATAAGGCTCAAGAACTGATATTTATATTATGTCATTCTTTATACTTTGGTATCTAAGTTTAAAAAACACGTGCGTTATATATTTTAAATTGTATGATTTGTATTATTATCATGTTATTGCCGTAGCATTAGCATAGGCGTATTACTAGTTGCAATGTAGTAGCAGAGGCAAGCATCTCATTGTTGATGCACGCGAGTTTGTCTATTTAGTCGTGTGGAGCCACCGGCTGTCGCGCGTGCATGTGCATCAAGTAAACCGCATCTGCCGGGTAAAACTGGCGGCGACCTATGCGGCCCACACGCCCATTTAATTCGCATGCGGGGGTGTCCTCCAGCCGCCAAACCTCGGGGATTTCGGCAGACGATCTCCTTGTGATGGCATCTGCCTTCTCCCACTCAATAACACAACTGTTACTGTATCGCAAGCAGCAAGCGCTAAAAGAGAAACAAGCGGAGCGGTGGCGGGACCTCGGGGGCACTGGCGGATGGTGTCCTCGTGGCGGTGCTGCTCCTTCCTTCGCCATGGCCCGTGTGCGACTAAGGCCGCCGATAGCACGTCACGTTGGAGGGAGATGAAGAGAGGGGAGAGACTGACAAGTGGGTCCCACATCATATTTTACCCAGATCGTTACACATTGGCATGTTACATGGGCAAAAGTGGTAAGTAGTTAAGAAAGTATATCTTTAGAGTGGTAAAAGAAAATATTAAGAGTAAATTAAAAAAAGCATTTAGATAATTGGCCATGCCAAATAGTTAAATTTCCCCACGTATAGTTGTCACGGGCTCTCGGTGCACGGCGCCACCACTGCCTCCTCATAACTAGAGATGGCAACGGGTGCATATCCATCAGTTTCTCTTGCCCCACCCACACCCACGATGGCTAAATATTCTCACTGAAATACGCACACGCACACCTGTTGCGGGTAAAAAATCGTCACCATACCCACACCCGTGCGAGTATCGGGTACCCATACCCATATAATTGACCTGTAGCATTTATAGTTTTGTATTGTAATCAACCATATTAGAAGTATAAACCGTCGATATTTTCTTTTGTAACAATGTTATTAACATTAGCGTTCAAATACGAGTAAGAAAAAATTATACAACCACATTACATAATCAAGAAATCAAATAATAATTTCAGCTTAAGATCTAAAAGAAGTTTTATGTTATGATAAGAGTTAGAATATGAGCAGCAGTAAAAACCTATCGGGTGTTGAATACTTGAATATCGGGTCCCATTACCATCTCTACTCGCAACGCAAAGTTTCGACTATTTTCGTGGAGATCGTGTGGCCTCGTGGGGAGTACTGGAGTGGAAGAACCCAAACGGCCACAAGAAACCGAAACCGGCGGTGGGCAGCGTCGCGATGGCCTCGCCGGCGCGGCGGTCCGGGCACCGTCGGCTCGACGACACCCAGGAGTTGGCCCTCCCCGACGACCTCCTCGCGGAGGTCCTGATCCGCCTCCCGTCCCTCGCCGACCTCGGCCGCGCCTCCGCCGCCTGCGCCTCCTTCCGCCGCGTCGCCACCGACCCGGCCTTCCTCCGCCGCGCGCGCGCGCTCCACCCGCCGTCGCTCCTCGGGTTCTGCGCCTCGCCCGGCGGCTTCCACCCCGCCGAGCCGCCCCACCCGTCCGCGCCCGCCGCCCGAGCCGTGCTCCGCGCCGCCGACTTCGGCTTCTCGTTCCTCCCGTCCCCGCTCAGCTGGGTCGTCCGTGACGTCCTCGACGGCCGCTTCCTGCTCGACCGCGACGGCGGGGAAGGCGGCGCCGCCCTGAGGATCCTCGCCGTGTGCGACCCCCTGTTCCGGCGGTACTCGCTGCTCCCCCAGATTCCTGAAGACCTAGCCGCCTCCGTCCGCCGGCGACCGCGCCGCGGCGTGGCTCCCAACGGCAGATTCGATACCTTCTTCGCTCCGATCGGCGAAGAGGAGCGCGCCGCGGCGGCGGTGGCTGAGACGTCATTCAAGGTGATCTGGATTGCGCAGTGCCCAGATAAGCTTGTGGCCTTTGTCTTCTCTTCAGTCACTGGACAGTGGCGAGCCACTGCATCTCCCTGCTGGGGCGATCTGAGCCCTGCCTTCTCGCGCCCCGCTTGCCGCTCCCTGTTGCGCCGCAGCTACGCATACGGCTGCTTCTACTGGATGATGGGTGACTCAGGGAATCTGCTTGTGCTCGACATGTGTAAGATGAATTTCTCCATTGTCAAGCTCCCATCGAGCCCGCCTGGTCGTGACATTGTGGAATGCGCCATCGTAGAGGCAGGAGAAGGCAAGATTGGGATGTTTGCTTTCTGTAATTGCATCGACATTTATGCACTCGAGCTCTATTCTACAACCATGCAAAATGAAGGAAGAGTTGCCAGCAAGTGGAGTTTTGAGAGTGCAATTTTAATGCCTTCTCGGGATGGATTTCGCGTGCTAGGTGTGACTGGCAAGGAATTGTGCTTACAAGTTTCTCCTATTTGTGTGAGCGGATGTTATTTGCTGGAGTTCAGTACAAATCCAAGTTGCAAGAAACTTGAGTTTGTCCGGAGGGTGATCAGGGGTGTTCGAACTTCTCTGCCATTCCTGTATGTCGGCTACCCACCATCTCTATCATCACCAAGCATATGAAGCGGTAAGCTTGCTCTTTTCCTGCTCAGCTTTTTGCAAGAACTGTGAAAATTTGTGTTATGATGGTAATACTAGAGGTTTACAATGTCTTTATAGATCTTCTGTTCTAGGAAACGACTTAATGCAACTGCATCAACAATCCCTCTTTAATATAGTCAAATATTTAGCCTTTTTTTTCCTTTCCTGGCTTGACAGTTAATACTAAGTAATTAGTGCTATATGTAACTCTTCTCCAGAATAGATTTTTGGTAGTGTTAAAAAGCTACATCCTTTCTTTCTGTGTTAACTGTTAAGTACTGAACAACGTGACCATACTTTCTACATACTTTCTACATTGTAAGCTTTTGTGTCCTGGTCAAAGAGTGTTCTGAGGCTGTTCACCAGGGAGGGGGAACTAGGACTCTAATCTCTAGAGGGGATGTCACCTTATTCACATATATATTCCTTAGATGTAATGTACTCCCTCCGTTTCATATTATAAGATTTTCTAGCATTGCCCACATTCATGTCTAGATTCATTAACATCTATATGAATGTGGGCAATGCTAGAAAGTCTTATAATATGAAACGGAGGAAGTATATAGTTATGAAAGGAAAATTTTGATATATGCCACTCCAAAACTTGCAATCTTTTCAAAATTCTGAAAATGATGTAGGAGTAACTACATAAATTATTGTGTTATATAGCACTGTACACAAAAAAGAATCATGCCAAACTTCTATATATCAGTGAAAAACGAAAAAAAAAGATAAATTTTGCTGCGAATTGTGCAGGACAATGCAGATCTTTTGTTTTTTCTCAAACACTGTGGGATGGTTTGTATCTATTGTGTAACGTTGTCTAATTTTTCCATAACTTTTCATAACTATTTACATTACTTTTTCGCAATGAGGGAACATCCCCTTAGGGGTTTGAAACATTTTCCCCAGGGAGGGGTTACATTCACATGCAAAATTGATTTCAACTACTAGTTTACTAGCTACGAAATACTTCCAGGTCTGGTTATTCGAGTATCTGGGAGTTATGTGATTATTCATTTTTGTAGTTAAGCTTCTGTGGTTATTGAACTTCCGTTCATTGTTGTTGTGGGCTTATGGTATTCAACTTCTGTTCATTTTTTGCTGTGGGCTTATAGCTATTGTCCTGGTTGTTGCTTGCAAATAGCATCATGGCCATAAGTCATGTATCTTGCAGAGTACTGAGGGGATCACTATGCCCAGCACTCAACATCACACAGCTTGACAATGTCGCAGGCTACAATTTGTTTTGGGGCAAAGTCAGCAGAAACAAAGCGGCAGCATTCCTGAGTAGCAGCATTCTTGTTTCTGCTGACTTTGCCACACATGGAATTGTAGCCTGTGACAATGTTAAGATATTACATGCCTTAGCACAGTATCCCTGCTAACTCATTTTGTGCATCACCCAATCACAAACAATTTAGCAATAATCCCTCATTGACATTGAATCAATCATCCGTTCTTCCCATCCAACAGGCAACTAATACAATTTTGATTAAATCCTTCAAACGATAAGGGTCACTCAATAAGCATCTTTTACTTCCATTTCCTAGTTAAATGTTCATATTTTTGGTAGGTTCATTCCCTTTTCATATGGCCACATAAGGCAGTGTGCTGATATTTTTATAGAAGACTAGTAGTAAACACTGCCTGTTTTTCACTGTTCTGTTTAGAAATGAGAATGACGGTTTAAGTAATGATGAGCCCTTTTTTAAATAAGAAAGTTGCTTATCATGAGCCCTGACTTCAACTATCATGTTGCTTAAGTGAAGTGTAAAGATGGGGTTCTATCCAAACCAAAAACAACTCGTTACTACAGATGACTACAGAATACACGTCAGCAATTGCCACAGCAACTTGTTTGCTATCTATAGTATCAACTCTGTTGCTGCTTGGATGGAAAACGATTAATTCCTTCCATCATGTGTAGCTATCATTTTTATGATTGCATAGTAGGTTCAACTAACTGGAACTGCAAATTTGGGCACAATCAGATATTCAAAGATAGCATTGAATTAGGTGTTATATGACATTAATATTTTTTTTGCAACGTATAACACTGCATCATGCTTAATTATTTGATCTATGAGAAAAGATATTTGAAAATCAAAATTAAGATACCACAGTCACAAGAATCTATCAGACAAGAAACGTAAGATAATATTGTAGAAAGTCCGAGTACTCTTACATTACATGCAATTTATATAGGTGAATAGTTGTGATGACTTGAATATTCATGTTTGTAGTACTTTGTTGACATGGTTATGCAGTAATGCTTGTTCCAACATGTTTGCCACACCTTTGAACTGAAGTGTATGCTCAACTTCCAGCATAATGATTTTCCAGATAGTCTGAAAGTGAACGTTTATATTGCAGGCAACAGCAGTACGTCTTCGTTTCAGTGGTTAGTCGACTATGAGCCTCTCTTTTGTGCCATGCAGCTGGTGCAAGGTAGTACTCTCTAGTGTTAGGGTAGCTATCTGTTTCGTCGGCATTTTTTTGATGATATGCATATCATGATATCGAACACCGATTGGCCTTCCTGTTTTGTTGAACGCCGCAAGTACTATGTATTCAAGGATCTTTGTTACCAAGCTTTTGCCCTTGGAAATGCGCTGGTGCTTCGTTGGTTTTTCACTGTGGCTGCACTGGAGCAAGTGTTCGGACGAGCTGGTAACCTATTGCTCCAGGTGCACAGTGCGCTACTTAAGTAGCGGCAGAGTATAAAATCATACTCCTACAGTTTGAAGTAGACCAAGCTGCCCATATTTAGTCCAGTGCGTTGCAGTTTACGGCTTCATATTGTCGCTTATGCTTATACTTATCAGCTAAAATTTTAATTTTCAACATTAAATTTAAAGCTAATTATAGGGTTTTTTCATTGAAGCCTATTTTTTAGCCTTTGCTTTTAGATTATTAAGAATACGTATATAAAAGTTTTATTACAAATTACTTTTCGTTTACAAATATGCTGTCTAGCTTGTTCCTTGAATAAGCGAAACAATGGAGCCGTTACTTGTAGTAGCGTAGTAGCAGCCATACAGGAGTCCAAGTTCGCCCGCGAACCGCGGGGCAGCGGGCGAAGCGGAGGCCTCTGGCTCCCGCCGTGGCGGCGTCCCAATGTCCCACCCACGTAGCCGTGCATGTGGATGACTCGTGTTGCGCCTTGTGTGGTCACACGGTTGCAAGAGTCTACATTTTAACATGTTTTTTTTAAAAGAATTGCTGCAGTTTGAATTTGTGAAGACATCTCATAAGAGCAAGGATAATTGGCAGAGTTCTTATCCTAGTTTTTCCAACTCACTTATCTCGTTTTCCGCGCACACGTTTTTTATTCCGCTGTGGCGGCGTCCCAATGTCCCACCCACGTAGCCATGCATGTGGATGACTCGTGTTGCGCCTTGTGCGGTCACCCGGTTGCGAGAGTCTACACTTGTAACATGTTTTTTTTTAAAGAATTGCTGCAGTTTGTATTTGTGAGGACATCTCATAAGAGCAATGACAATTGGTTGAGTTCTTATCCTAGGGGTGTTTAGATGGGGCTAAAACTTTTTAGCCCATGTCACATCGGATGTTTGGATGCTAATTTGGAGTATTAAATATAGACTAATAAAAAAACTAATTTCATAAATGAGAGCTAATCCGCGAGACGAATTTTTTAAGCCTAATTAATCTATAATTATAAAAAGTTTACTGTAGCATCACATTGTCAAAATCATGACATAATTAGACTCAAAAGATTCGTCTTGTGAATTAGTCCAATGAATTAGTCCAAGGATATGGAATGTGTTTTGTAATTAGTGTATGTTTAATACTCCAAATTAGTATCCAAACATCCGATGTGACATGGACTTGGAATAAGTCCCTGGAAACCAAACAGGCCCCTAGTTTTTCCAATTCACGTCTCTCGTTTTTCGCGCGCACGCTTTTCAAACTGCTAAACAATTAATATTTTTGTAAAAATACTATATGAAAGTTGTTTTAAAAAAATGTATTAATCTATTTTAAAAAAATAATTAATACTTAATTAATTATGCAATAATAACTGTTTCGTTTTGCGGCCGGCTCCTCTCGTTCCAGGGATGCATGATCATTTGATTCGTTTGCCAATGACACGCGGGCCCTTGAGCGCTAGGATATTTAATAAAAAATAAGTACAAAACCCACCGCCATGGCGTCGCCGGCGTGGCAGCCGCCGCACCGCCTCCAACCTCCCCCGCCGGCGCAGCTGGACCTCACCGACGAGCTCCTCGAGGAGGTCTTCGTCCGCCTCCCCACCGCCGCGGACCTCGCTCGCGCATCCACGGCCTTCGCCTCCTTCCGCCGCCTCATCACCGGCCACGCCTTCCTCCGCCGCTTCCGCCGCCTCCACCCGCCTCCCGTCCTCGGCATCCTCGCCGCGGGATTCCTCGCGGCGCAGCCGCCCCATCCGTCGGCCGCCGCGGCCCGCGCCCTCGCCGACCCCGACGCGGCCGACTTCTCTTGCTCCTTCCTCCCCTCCCGCGACCGCTGGTGTCTCCGCCACTTCTCCGACGGCAGGTACCTCCTCTCCGCCATCCCGGAACGCAGCGACCCGGCTCCCGACCACCGCGCCTTGGTCAGGGAATTCGCTGTCTGCGACCCCTTGTACCGGCGCTACCTGCTGCTCCCACCCATCCCCGATGACCTAGCCTCAGTAGTAAATCAATCAGAGATTGTGAATTTCGAGCCCTTCCTTTGTCCTGCTACTGAAGATGAAGAGGACACAATGTTCAGGGTGATCTGCTTGGCTCAGTGCGAGGCCAAACTGGTCGCCTTCACCTACTCTAGGTGTTCTGGGCAATGGCATGCTGTGGAGTTCGATGGCTGGAGAGATTTGACCAGGGGGACTAGCAATCCGTTTCCATCCGGTGAGCCTAGTTGTCCGGACGGTACTACGCGCACGGATGCTTCTGCTGGGTGATGCATTGGGTGAACAAGTTGCTTGTGCTCGATGCCCGCAGCTTCGAGTTCAGCTCTATCGACCTCCCACCTGGGCCCTCATCACGTCGGATGGTCATTGTGGAGGCTCTGGAAGGGAAGCTGGGGCTCTTTACTCTCTGCAATGACAATGCCTTATACTATTTCCTATGGTATGACATCTTGGAAAATGATGATGAGGGCGCGCTTCAGTGGTGCATGAAGGAGATTATACCACTACATGAAAATTTTAACTATAACATCTTGGGTGTTGCTGGGGGATACTTACTCCTACAAGGGTTTCCTCATGACTTTAGGCCAAAGAAACTCTGTTTTCACTGAATCTCAGGACATTCAAGCTTGAGTGGTTTTGTGGGACTACATATGCCATCATATCTCCGGACATGTACGCTGGTTTTCCACCAACCTTGTCACCACCAGCTATTTGAAGTGGGTATGGTTGCTTTCCATCTTTGTTTATTTGTGGAAGAATTGCATCTATTCCACCATATCATATTTTGCACACAATAGGACACTGATATGATGCAGATAGGACACTAATTGAACTTCATTTTGTTTTTGGTAAGTATGTTTATGTTCTTTCTAGTTGATCACACCATTGCAGTAGTCAGTAACTCAGTACCTTTGTAAATTTTCATTGCCATGTCCATATAAACTCCTTTATTGAGAAACGCCTAGGGATCTTCCGGTTAGCTCCACAAGGTGGTGGACTGGTGGGCTAGACGACCTGGGTTCGAAGCCTCACTCCTTCTAATTATTTGATATTAGGTCCTTCCGTAATATTCGTGCTTTTTTTTATATAAACTCCTTTCTTGAGGTAGAAAATGCAAGATGCATGTCTTTTTCCCCCTTCTGAACAGTTGTTTGAGTAATGATGGGCATTACTATGGATACAACCTAATTATCTTCTTCCAGCAGTCACACCTTATCGGGTGTCTGTGCCTGGATAATTGATTTGTGTTGCACATTGCTCTAGCTTAGGTGATTTTCAGTTTTTAATTTTTCCATGCTATTTAGAAGCTTGTCAAACTCGAGAAATGAACAATGATGTGCTCTTGTCTGCATCTTTTTGTGTGTTTACTTGTTTCGGTTTTGTGGCAATTCTGTTCATGGTAGAACGCATCATTTTCATCTCCAAGTACCAACATAACACTTCCAGTGAATCTGAGTAAATGTGTCTATCCTATCAAGAAGTATAGTTTCTCACTGCGTCGATTTGCAGGTGGTTAATCTGCACGCAGTTGAGGCTTCGTCTACGTCATGCGCTGGTGGGGCTTCGTCGCTTTGAGTTACAAGGATGGCTGGCTATGGTGGTTCACCTCTTCTATGCTAGTTTAGTTCGGTCGGTTATGTACCTATCAATGATGATTGATGTCAAGCAATATATATCGTCCTCCTTGATGCATAGATAACTCTAGCACTACATATCTATTTGGTTTTTGAGACGTACTCTTAAGTGTACTTACTAAAGTCTTATGTTGCAATATCCAGTTTGAAATCAAACTTAGTGATTGGATGATGTCAAATGTCTGATGCTAGCTGCTCGCAAAAGGCAAATGATGGTTCCAAGCCCTCATTTCATACCAATTTCTGGCCTGCATCCCCTCTTCACTTCCCATGCGAATGCATTTTATATACAGGAAGAGAAACAGAATGTCGTGGAGACCAACGGGTTGGGTGGCCGAACTTCGGTATTTTACGGCGTGCCCCCATCTGTTCCACGGTGGAACTTCCACCCCATTGATCCATCATCCATGGTTATGCGAAATTTACTCCAATTAAAAATCAGTTGATTCATAATGGCATGTTTCCAATTTAACGAATAGTAGTGGCATTTCTCAAAAGCGGCAAAGTTATAATGGCATAGATCCAATTAACCCATTAAAAATCTTATACTATCAATATACTCCAGCATAGCACAGCACCTTCCTTTGATCAACTAATGTCCTTCTCTTCTATTGTTCAAAAAAAAAAAACTTCTCTTCTACAAGAAAAAAGGTTAACTTATGAACGGATGGACAGCATGGTAGCATAAATCTGATACTAATTGGCACACCTCGACCTAACAATCCACAACTATCCAATAATTACGAGAATATCAAGACCGAAATTCCAATCTTGCACCAAAAGTGTTGCAAGCTTCGAGCCGACGAGTGATGGCAGATTGCTGCCCGGTGCTCCAGTCATGGTAGGCTTCCACATACTGAGTGATCCAATTCGGAGGGTTATGAACAAATCCACGGAAAAACGACATGGTCTGCAGCAACGGGGCTCTCGCCAGAAGCAACCCTGCCAACGCAACGTCACCCTGCCTCATCCTGAAGCGGTAGAACTTCACCTGCCTCAGACGATGGTGCTCGAAGTCTGATGGCTCCCACAGCACGCCGCCTGGGTGCTCTCGTTTCTTGTTGGAAATGAGCTGCATTTGTAAAAACACAAGATTCATTCAAGGTGAATTAGTATAGTATTATAAAGATTTACTTATGATAACATTTATCTTGGAATTAGGACTTGTTTCATTTTGCAGTTTAACTGATGTCACATGTGACCTTGTAGGCGAAACATCAAGCATCCTTTTGGGCAATGAGAGCAAAAGGAGTGCATGCGAGTAAATTTATAGTTCTTATATCGAACTGACCTAAGTTATCAACGAAAAAAATATTAACTAAAAGGTAATAATACAGAATGAAACTACTAGAGCAGAGTTCATCATACTTCTATCTGAAAACTTTCGAGGGCAGGTGCCACCTCCAACAGCATAGTTGCCCAAGCAAGGTCGTCGTTAGAGTGCATTGTCACTCTCAGCATGAGACTTCTCAGGTTCTTAAATGCTGTGGGAAGGCCTCCAGGAATTACTGGATTCTGCAGAAACATTGTAAATCAGAATGTTCAAGTAACTCATGTGACCAACAACTAATGAAAACTAAAAGAAAAAAGAGAGTATTTTTTCACACCTTCAACTCGTAAGTGTCAAAATCTATGCTTAAGCTTGTAAGTAGGGGAAAGTCTTGAGACAACTTTCCTAAAATGTACTTGACAGATTCACCATCCCTGCTATCTTCGTAGTGTAGACAGGCATGCTCAATGGAGGGCACTGAGCCAAGCATCATTGATATGGATGGACCTCTGTATCTGAACTGATGCAATTTAGGTGCAACAAGCTCCATGTGTGTGATCTGTTCGCAACTGTTTACCATAATGTCTCTGAGCTGCAAATCATGTGATGCAATCTTGAGATGGTTAGCACCCGGCCCGGCGAAAAGATGGTTAGCACCCCAGCAATGGTTGAGGTGAAAGCACTCCAGTTTCAGACAATTTTCAAAAAGTGTGTGAATCATGTCTTCAGAGATAGGCATTCGAGTTAATGATAGCTTGACCAAAGATTTGAACCCATCGAGTCCTATGGGAATATTGAGGGTGCACTCGCAAAGTTTTAGTTCTGTTAGAGATAATCCCTTGCCGTCAGTGAACAAGGATAAAGGGAATTCATACGGAGTGGTGCTACGTCTTTGACCATCGTAATAAAAACTCGTTGTCAGATTCAGATCTTCAACTCCTCGGCAGACTGCAATGCTGACCAATTTGTCAACCAGGTTGACATAACGATCCTCCATGGTGCAAGACAAGAAAAGGCTCGAGATTTTTGTGTTGTTCTTGTCGCCAGCATTTGATTTGTGTAGGAAGCCAGTTAATGAGCTAGAGAATATGCGTGTTCTATACATGTCAGTAAGCCTGTCAAGCAATCAGCAAATATTATTGTCATATCACCATTTAGCCCATAGACTACTTTACTAAAGAGATTTATGTTGTCAGATAAAGCCAGGTTTAGCATTTCAATATCATACCTGATACGACGGTCTAAATTAACTCGGACCCGCCGCTTCCATGAGCACAATGACGGCTTGAAGAAAACGTATTCGTGGGCTCTCAAGAAACGAGATAGCTCTGTTTGTGGCACTATGTCATGCTGTGAGAATCGAAGCTTTGGGACGCTCTTCCACAAGTGTTGCCACCTTCTTGACAGCACGCTTGTTGCTGCTGATGATCTTGTGTCCAGGTGACCTAAAATTGTGATCAAGAGGTCATCAGGTAGTTCGCTTATCCTATCTTCGAATGTGCTTCCATGCTGCTTTCGTAGCTGTGCTGCAGGAGAAGAGGTTATTGTTACTTTGCTACACACCACGTTCCAAATACTCTCTGTTAACATTGGATTAACTCGGTGGTCAAAATCTAGATTAGTAAAATATATTACGACCAAAATATTTTACCTACAAAAAAAAAACAGTTGCATTGGATCAAAGTGCGTAAAAGCAGGGTTAAACTGAACTAGAAGGGGCAGAGGATTTATTGGACTGGATAAAACAAAATTCAGAACTAGCAGTAACAGATTAGATGCTTTTTTGCGTGTAATTTTACCTTGGCGACACCGGGGTGCTGCTCGCGAGCCCTCTTTCGTGCTCCCGCGGCTTTGCCTAACCCGCGCTTACGCTTTCGCCTCGGTAGAGCCGCCATCGCTGGCTGCGGGCGCTGTGCCGGCGGGCGGCGGCGGCGGCGGCGGAGCTGGGTGCGCGACGGTGTGGGCGGAAAATTAATTGGAGAATTCAGCGTGGGCGAGATGATTGGGGGAAGACAAGGATAAGCAGTGGAGTCCTTCGGAAATTTGAAGTGCTCCTCAAACGCGAACGGGAGAGTCCGGTTTTGGTCGTTTTGGGCTCTTTCCGTCCTTGCCACGCACGAATTTGTTAGTAGCAGATTTTTTTTTTCTATATGAAAATAGTTTAATCCTCTCAGGATTTATTTAATTAATTATGGTATCTCTGATTTTTTTTACATGAAATCGAATTCCCTTAATTTAAATATCGTGTCTTCTAAATGAGGCACTATTGCTCCTGATTTTTTTAAGTAAATTCCATGAAACTACAGATATTTTTTTTAATCAAACTATAGCAAAACTACGAATTTAAGGCGTTGTATCACAAAACTACATATTTAGCATCATATTTATCACAAAACTATATATTTAAGTTAAGTATCACAAAATTGCATGTTTGGATGCTATACTAAGTTTGCCACCATTCACCATACTTTTGTGCCACACTTGTCTAAGGCCCTGTTTGGGGGAGATTGTCCCAACTGCAGCTTTTCTCAAAAGCTGCTTCTGCTAGAAGCTGCCCCAAACAGTCCACAGCTTTTGAGAATCTGTAGTTACAGATTCTGAAAAATGAACTAAGAAGCCAGAAGCTGGAGAAGCTGGGTTTCAGAGCTTTTCTAGATTCTCAGAAGTTGGCTACCAAACAGCTGCTTCTCAGAATCTAAAGCTCCCCAAATAGGCCCTAAGTTGTGGCTTACAAAAAATGAGCCACACCTTAGCTAGCAAAATTGGATTGTGTCACATTTTACTAAGTTGATGACATGTGGGGGCCTAAATAGATGAGAAGGAATCTTGCCACAAGTGTGCCTATGAACCAAACAATAGGCTAACTTGGTCAAACTTGACTAACATGAGGTGTGGCAACCTTTGGCAAACTTTGGGAGCCAACCAAACAACCCCTTAATATTAAAATTATCATAAAACTACAACATTAGAGTTTAAATCCCTAGCACCATTATTATACTGGAGCTATAAATATTATTGTTTTGTAACTAAATTAGTTCTAAACTTGTAGTTTTATGATAATTTAGTTACTAAACATATAGTTTTGTGATACTTCATCTTAAATATCTAGTTTTGTGATAAATTTGGTGTTAAATGTGTAGTTTTATGATACACCGAATTAAATCTGTAGTTTTGTGATAATTTAATTATAGCATCTGTAGTTTTGTAAAATTTACTCTATTTTTTTCCATAGTTTAGATAGGAAGAGAAACGGAATGGTCACGCAGCGAGGAGCTGGTGCAGTGCAGCACCAACACGAATTTAACTTATATATAATACATTATTTATATATAATACCGGCCTCTGCATTCAAACGGCACATACTATAGTATGTGAAATCGTATATCTGATAATTAGCACATATCTCGACGTAAAGACAACCCAACCATAAACGAAGAAATAATGACGCAAAATTATACAACTAGACTACTAAGTTATTATATATGTTCTAAAGTATAACAATATATCCGAGTATTATAAATCTAAACAACAATGATATATAGATTCATATTATATTAGGATGTGCCATTTCCTAAACATCTACTCTATCCAGTTTTTTTTATATGACATTGGCTAGTTCAAATTTATACTAGCCAACCTTATACATATATGCATTGAGGTAGTGTATTTTAGGACGGGGATCCAACATCATGACCGGAATTCCAATCTTGCACCAAAAGCATTGCATGTCTCAAGCCGCCGTGTGATAGCAGATCGCTGCTCCGCGGTCCAGTCGGCGGCGGCCTCAACGTACTGAGCGGTCTGACCGGGAGAGCGATGAACAGATCCACGGGAAAACGTCATGGTCTGCAGCAATGGGGCTCTTGCCAGAAGCAACCCTGCCAGCGCAACATCAGCCTGTCTCATCCTGAAGCGGTAGAACTTCACCTGCCTCAGATGACGGTGCGCGTTGTCTGATGGCTCCCACAGAACGCCGCCTGGGTGTTCTCGTTTCTCGTTGGTAAGAAGCTGCACTTGCAAAACATGGGTTAGTTCCATGGTGAATTAGTGATATACATTGTTCTCGCTGCACTTCAATATATATGCATAACTTCCCAGAAAAAAATATATGACAAGGGTTAGTACGTCCAGAGTGTTACGAGAAATTAGGGAAAATACACCATTTTGCTATCCAAGCTAATAAATGAATTTCAAAGCAAAAAAAAACTAAGGTATATACATGTATAAAACTATTATGTTTTCTTTGGTTATAAAATCACACTGCTAAGCAAGGTCTGGTAGTATTTTTCCTAAAAAAACACTAAGGTCTTCAAACATGAAATTGAGCTAGAGCGAGCGGACATATGAGACTGAGGCTCTGTTTAGTTCGCAAAATGAAAATTTTTAGATGTCACATCGGACGTTTGACCGGATGTTGGAAGGAGTTTTCGGACACGAATGAAAAAACTAATTTCATAGCTTGCCTGGAACCGCGAGACGAATTTTTGAGCCTAATTAATTTGTCATTAGCACATGTGGGTTACTGTAGCACTTATGGCTAATTATGCTCAAAAGATTCGTCTCGCGATTTCTATCATAACTATGTAATTAGTTTTTTTCATCTAAATTTAATGCTTCATGCATATGTCTAAAACTTTGATGTGATGTTTTTAGAAAATACTTTTTTGGGAACTAAAGAGGCCTGAGCTACCACAAGCTGTTAGTTTTGTATTTGTTTACTTGGTGATTCAGAATACTTGTAGCTAACTGTTTCAGGCATTATGTATCATGAATCAAGACCCTAGTAAAAATGTACAAGAAATATTTAAAATATAAGCAAAAGGAGTACACATGCATGTAAATTTATAACTCTTATCGAACTAATCGACTGTCAATGAAAATAGATAGTAATTCAAACTAATAAATGCAATCACTAGTAAAGCGAAGTTTTCATCATACTTCTATCTGAAAACTTTCAAGGACAGGTGCCACCTCCAGCAGCATAGTTACCCAACCAATGTCATCGTTACAGTGCATTATCGCACCCAGCGTGAGACTTTTGAGGTTCTTAAATGGCGTGGGAACAACTTCTGGAATTACTGGATTCTGCAGAAACAGCATTAGTGTAAATCAGAATGTTCAAGTAACTCGTGTGACCAACAACCACAATGAACACTAAAAAGAAGAGCAAATATATCTCCACACCTTCAACCGATAAGTGTTAAGCACAATGCTTAAGCTTGTAAGTAGGGAAAAGTCTTGAGACAACTTCCCTAAAATATACTTGACAGATTCACCGTCCCTTCTACCTTCGTAATCCAGGCACGCATGCTCCATCAAGGGCACAGAGGAAAGAACCATTGATATGCATGGCCCTCTGTATGTAAATTGCTGCAACTTAGGTGCAAAAAGCTCCATGTGTGTAATCTGAAGGCAACTCTTTACCATGATTTCTCTGAGCTGCAAATGAGGCGATGCAATCTTGAGATGTCTAGCACCACTGCAAAGTCTAAGACGGAAGCATTCCAGATTTGGGCAATTTTCAATAAGTGTCTGAATCATGTCTTCAGAAATATGCATTTCAGTAAACGATAGCTCAACCAGAGATTTGAACCCAGCAAAGCCGACAGGAATACTGAGGGTGCACTCGGCAAGTATGAGTTTCGTTACAGATAATCCCTTACCATCAGCGAACAAGGATAAAGGAAACTTGTACGGAGCTGGGCTAGGTCTTTGATCATTAGCAGAATACAAGTATGTTTCCAGATTCAGATGTTCAACTCCTCGGCAGATTGCAATGCTGATCAATTTGTCAATCAAGTTGGCATAAAAATCCTCCATGGTGCAACACAAGACAAGGCTTGAGATTTTTGTGCCGTTCTTGTCACCAGCATTTGATTTGTGTAGATAGCCAGTTAACAAACTCAAGAATATACGTGTTCTATACCTGCCAACTAGCCTGCCAAGTAATCAGTGAATAGTAATGTTATATCACCGTTTAGTTTCATACATACTGCCTACCTTACTTAAGTATTGCTGAAACATAATAAAACAAAATATGATTTGCCTCATTTCAAGATCGCTGACAGATGGTACCAAGTTTAGCTTCAATTTTATACTCCCTCCATACTCATAAAGGAAGTCGTTTAAGACAATGTTTAAGTCAAACCTTGGGAATATAAATCATAAATAACTTTCAAGTTGTTGAGTTTGAAAATATAAAAATTATATGAATAGATTTGTCTTGAAAAATACTTTCATAAAAGTATACCTATATTATTTCTCAATAAATATTTTTATAGAAAAAAGAAGTCAAAGTTGTGTTTTAGAGATCGTGTCGTTGTCTTAAACGACTTCCTTTACAAGTATGGAGGGAGTACCTGATAAGGCGCTCTGGATTAGCTCGTACCCGCCGCTTCCATGGGCACAGCGATGGCTTGAAAAAAACATATTCATGGGCCCTCAGAAAATGAGATAGTTCTGTTTGTGGCAATATGTCATGTTGTGAGAATCGAAGCTTTGGGACGCTTTTCCGTAAGTGTTGCCACCTTCTTGAGAGCACACTTGTTGCAGCTGATGTCCTTGTGTCCAAATGGCCCAAAATGGTGGTCAAGAGGTCATCGGGTAGTTCACTTATCCTATCGTGGCATGTGCTTTCATGCTGTTTTCGTAGCTGCGTGGTAGGAAAAAAAACATCTGTTACTATTCTCTCTATTTCATATTATAAGTAGTTTCACCTTTTTTCTTACTAAGTTTTTTTAGGTTTGACAATGTTGTAAGTTTGCCTGCGTTAAAAAAAACAATGTTGTCAAGTTAATTTCACCAAATTCAACATTGAATATATTTTGATAATATGTTTATTTTCTATTTAAAATGTTACCATATTTTTTTATAACTTTGATCAACTTAAATAATTTTGACTAATAAAAAGTTAAACAACTTATAATATGAAACATAGGGAGTACTTGTTACCCATAGAGTTAAGTTAAGACAAGAAGCCAAAATATAGACATTTGAATTCGTTTTTGTAACTCGGAACCCCCAACCCCTCCCGCTGACTATTCCAACATGTTGCACCGCCTATCGTGTGCCACCTATCACTCCGGCCAAAGCATCTTGGCCTGCCGACGCTTGTCAGCGTCAGCCCAATCGCCGCCCTCCCTACTGACTGCATGTGTAGAGTCGAAGTGGTGAAATGTAGTGGAAGAAGGAGTTGAATGGATATTTGGATGTACACGGTAGGGAGAAGGGGCTATATGCTTTCCTTTTTTGTCACCGCGGTTTTCAGAGGAGGTTGAATGCAAAGTTTTGGCTATCGTGGACAACCACGTGGGCACTTAAGATCGGTCAACACTTTCGACCCATTATGATATTTTAAGCTAGAATTATATATATCTAAATATGCAATTTATTTGATCACGGACCTAAGTAACAAACCAGTTCAAGTTTAAAGACCGGCTACGAATTTCACTCATAAAACAACCATAACAATAAGCCGAACTGATCAACTAATGAACAACATTATGCCGTACTAGGATGTAGGATTAATTGGAGAAGCAAAATTCCCTATTACTAGCATACTCCCTTCGTCCCATAAAAAATCAATCTATTACTGGATGTGATACATCCTAGTACTACTACGAATCTGAAAATGTTCAAATTCGTACTACTAAATTATGTCATATTCGGTTCAAGATTTGTTTTTATGGGATAGAGGGAGTACACCTCAACATGAAAACGACAGGGGATTGGGTTTGTAGTTTTACCTTAACGACGCTGTGCCTGCGAGCCCTCTTTCGTGCTCCCGCGGCTCCGGCTGACCTACGCTTCCGCTTTCGATTCGAAGGAGCCGCCATCTCAACGCCGAGACTGCCACCGGTGCCGGAGTTGGGACGACACTGAGTCCGGCGACGGCGTCGAGCCGTCCACTCAGCGGCCACCAAGACGATGAGGAAGAGAAGGACAAGCGGAGGAGTCCGCTTGCATATTGGACTGCTTCCCCAACGCGCGCCAACGAGATGAATCCGGTTTGGTTTGGACTTTGGACTTCTCCATCCGATCCCAAACTCTGCACGTATACGTGCTCGAGCTTCCAAAGCACAAACACGATTGATCAGGAGAGGCATGATTTCCTTTTTCAATCAGATTTCCTTTTTCAATCAGGGGAGTAAACTTTAAAAATCAGAGTATTTTGTAGCGAGCATTTCTACCCTCCGAATCCAAGAGAAGCTGCAGCATTCTACCGGCGAGGGCTCGGCGGCGGAAGGCAACGAGGAACTGGAGGCCTTCGTATTTGAGTAAATTTTATGTATATCCTTGAAAACTCGCTCAATCCTTTTTATACCGCTAAAATTTATCCGATCCTTTCTATATCTCTGAAATTTTAACTTATCTCTTCCATGCCCCTGCCGACCTGCCATCACATTTTCCTTTATTTAACTGTTAAGTTGATGGCAAATGCCTTTAATGCCCTTGATGATTTAGATTTGAATATAAGCTTGAAAAATGATTGAAAATTTTGCTTGAGTGCACAATATATGCATTTTAGGTAGAAAATGAGACTAAATAATTAGTGCGGAAAATTTTGACATAAATTTTGAAAAGAAAACAAATGTAATAAAGTAAAATTTTTATTTGAAATTTAATATGACAATAGATTTTCTTTATCGGGATCATTCATAAAAAAAATATGGTGAGCATTCGCAGTATTTTTTGTATGAATGCTCCTCATTTTTATGACTTTTAAAATAAAATAAATACATTATTTTTTATTTCATTATCTAAAAATAGTTTTTTTAATAAATAATGTATCACACATCAAACTCATAACCATAATAGTCTAATGCGACAAACTTTTACATTTCCAATAATATAATTCATAAATTTGTATATACATCCAAAGGGTAAAATGGTAATTTTTCTAGAAATTAGACGGTCAACTGACGAGAGGGGGAAGGGATCAAAATTAAATTTTTGGGTATACAAGGAAGTAAACAAAATTCAAGGGCATAGAAGGGATTAGCTTAAATTTTAGGGTACATAAGGAATTTTCTCGATCGCCTTCATTCGTGCGCGTTGCCCCGTCAGTTTTCGAGGGTGCCCACCGCCGGCGCCCAGTAACCGGCAACTGGCACGCAGAGGTCGCCGATCGGCGCTGTCCTCCGCGAGGTAGAGGGAAGCTCCCCACTCTTCGACATGGCACCGTCGCAAGCTCGGCTTCGTGTGGCAGGAAGCCATGGTGAAGAGAGCGCAAAGAGTCCAATTTCACTCAGATAGGAATCTAATTTGAATTCCTAAACCGTAAAACCGGACATATCAACCCTCTAACTATTTAAACCAATGAAGAATAACTCTCCTAGTAGTATTGACGATGATTTTCAGTTGCGTGGCACGTTAACCTGGTTTAGCCGCTAAGTCAACATGTGGGACCACATGTTAGTGACCCTCCTCTCTCTCTTTTCTCTTGCTTTCCCCACTCTCCTTCCTTTCCTCATGTTTGGGGAGACAATGAGCGACTCGTCCGAGTCTAGCCTCGTTGTATAAATTGGATAGGAGCGGCAGAAGGTGGAATAGGAGGCATATCTAGAGTGACGTCAGTGGAGACGGTGAGCGTGGCTGCCACAGCATGGGGGACGACAAATAAACCGGCGTTGAAGAGAATGTCAGCGGCAGCTTAGGAAGATGGCAATCGCAACCACCCGCAGTGTAGGGTATGCTATGCTTATCCATATGGCTTATTAGCTAATAAAAAATAATTTATGAGTAAAAATTTTATATATAGGTCCTTATTGATTAAAAATAAATATTTTAAAATAAATTATTTTTAAAACATATAATCTACTTAAAATTAAGTTTTAAAAATTTAAATTTTGGCACATAAACATGAACAAAACGATTGCATTGATAGACCGTATATATAGTAGGCATTGTGGATTTTTAACTTGTGAGAGTATAGAATTGGATAAACATTACATAGACTCAAACTCAATAATATTGCACAATATTCTCTAAGAATTTGTGTCAAGAGTTCAATTCATGGGGTGTGTATCGGTTGACATTCAATAAATTCTTGTTGATTTGAACAATTTAGGATAAAAACAATTCTAACATGAATGTAATTATAATTTAGGAGTATAAAATAGAGGATTATAAAATACATGATAGACCATTTGATTGGATAGTAGAAAAAAAACAAAAATCGAATAAGAGAGGTAGACTTAAAAAAAATTCAATATATTAGAACTCTTGTTAAGTTTTCTCTAAAATTTCTATATGGTTGTTCATTCCATCGAAACTTCACACAACATGACATGATTTAATATTTTGTTTTAAAAGTTTTCATAGAAAATTATCCAACAGGATTAAAGTGGCGCTTATGCCTTTACCTCTCAAAGATTCCCATAATTCGTTTCATCTTCTCTTGTTTTCAGTCTAAAGTACCCAAAATACCCCTAACCACGTTTGACCTGGTCAGACCCCACTCCCCGTCCTCCCCACTCCTCACTCCCATTCCGCCGCGATGGCCTCGCCGCGCCAAAACCCTGCACCGGCGCCGCCGCCGCCGCCTCCGGTGATCCTCACTGACGACCTCCTGGAAGAGATATTCATCCGCCTCGACACCCCCGCCGACCTCGCCCGCGCGTCCTCCTCCTGCCCGCCCTTCCGCCGCGTCATCACTGACCCCTCCTTCCTCCGCCGCTACCGCGCCCTCTACCCGCCGCCGCTCCTCGGCATCCTCCCCCGGGACGCGGATGCCTTCCTCCCCGCCGAGCCGCCCCACCGCAGCGCCCCCGCCGCCGGCGCCGTCGACCTCTCCTGCGCCTTCCTCCCCGACCGCCACACCTGGCGCCGCCGCGACGTCCGCGACGGCCGCATCCTCTTCTCCCGCGAGGAGGAGTACTACGCCCCCGACGACGACGGCGCGGACGTCCTCCTCATGGATCTCGCGGTCTGCGACCCCTTCTCAGGGCGCTACGCCATCCTCACCGAAATACCGCAAGACCTAATCGACCCCCTCGATCTCGAGGGCCAGAGCTTCCTTTGCTTCGAGCCCTTCCTCGCCCCCGCCACCGCCGCCGACGACGACGAGGACGAGGTCGGCGGCGCCTCGTTCCGGGTGATGTACATGGCGCGCGGCCTGACCAAGCTGATGGCGTTTATCTTCCCTTGGGAAGCTGGGGAATGGCGCGCCGTGGAGTACGATGGTTGGGCTGCTCTGATCAACGGGACATCGACTTGGCTCGCCGAGATGTTCTGGCGATTCCATGTACATGGCAACATCTGCTGGCTTTTGGATTGGGCGAACAAGCTCCTGATCCTGGACACCACAACAAATCAGTTGTCCACAATTGAGATGGTTCCCGGCAGCTGGAAGAAAGACATTGTATTCCTGGAGACAGAGGAAGGTCAGCTTGGGCTGTTCGTTCTCATCAACAATTTTTATACCAGCTTTGACCTCTATTATGCTATTTGGCAAGATAATGATAAGGGAGTGAAGCAATGGCGTGTAATAGAGGCTATCCAGTTGCCCTTAAATTATTGGTATGAAAATCTCCTGGGGATTGATGGGGGTTACGTGCTCCTGCAAGGGATTCCAAAGGGTTCAAAATCATCATGGCAGGCCTCTTCGCGTCAAAATGGATCATCACAGGCCTCAGAATCTTCGTCAGAGGTGCCGGAGCATGTTTGTTTTTCGGTGGAGGTCAAGACTTTTCGGGTTGAGAGGTTTTGTGGGACTAACCATGCCATCAAAACTGCTAACCTGTTTACCAGTTACCCACCATCGTTGTCGCCACCGCGCTTATGAAATGGTATTTTCTTTTGTCTCATAGGCTCATGTTCTTGGTTATTTTTGTTTGGCATATGCTTCATGCAAAGAAGTTATCCTTTGTGATGCAGGTATTAGAATCTAGTCTGTACTGGTACTTAATCTTGTACAGACCTTATTGCAGTTGCAGCAACATTATATATGTATGTTCTGCGCATCATGGCCATCACAGAGCTTGTATGCATTTTACGATGCATTACTGCTTTAGGTTATTTTTAGTTTATGCCAGCCATTAGTGCTTAAATTATTGTGTTGCTGATTGCTTATCAAAGCCCTGAATAGCAGAATACGACAATGACCAATGTCTTGTTGAGTTGTTGAACAATTATACTGGTGTCATCACACTTTGAGTTAATTCGAATGATAAAGTAAATTTGCAAATCATTTAGCCTTCATATAACAGATACGCTGGCAATGTTCTACTAAAAGTTGGGAGTTGGGAGATACTGCAGACATTCATTTTTTGAAAATACATTTTCCTTATTGTTAGCTAGTCCTCATGTAGTTGTATTACACCAAAGGGTGCCTTAACTCTGTGAGTTTTTATAGGCTCTGTTTGTTGTCTGTACTCCCAACAAATTCCCTTAAGCTTGATGTTCTTGTTCTACAAATAGCCAACTGAAGTTTTTATATGAAAGTAAATTTATTCCCAGACCCCCAGAAGTTATTAGTCTCAGAATATTCATCTAAAAAATTGCCATAAGCTTATGTACCTTTTCTTTTCATTATTGTAGGGCAACAGTTGGGCACATATAGGTCATGTTATTGGGAAAATGATTGGCATGATATTATCGTTGAAAGCTTAAGGTAGTGTTCCGATGTTCAGAAAGAAGTCAGTGTTCCCTTTGCAATCCAGGTCCCCCGTTTAAAAATAAATAACCTCCATCATATAGGTCTTGCCATGTTTGCTAAATAACTGGTGCTGTCATCGTGCAGTGTGCATCAGTTCACACAAATACATGTGCTTGTGCATGTAATACTGAAATTATCATACTCCATTTTGGTTTCAAGATTTCAAAAGTATGCAGTGCCGTCCATTTTTTTTTCTATCCTTTTAATACACAGTTTAATGACCTTCAGAAAAAAAAGATTTATAGTTTAACTATAAATCTTGAATGTATGGTTTTTCGGTGAGTATTAAACTGTGAAGATTAATAAATCTGTTATCATGTTCATAACAGTTGTTTCTTACTATATGTATTTGCAGGAATTCTACTATTCTGCTGCTGTTCGTTGGGGAATAGCCGTGATCTGTGGTCCTGCTGCGTCTGCACTCGCGCTAGGCTAGTCTAGTTCACCTTTGCCTGCTTTTGCTAAGTACTTCACGTTACCTGTCAAACACTTGTTAAGCACTAATCCATGGCTAGGTATATTTACCAGACTTATAATACACTTTCGTTGTGTTTCGATCTAAGCTGCTTGCTAGGTACTAGCTAGCTTATTATGTTATCAAACTATTTTCTTTCTTCTGAACGCTGATATGCACTGATGATGCGAATGCTGTGCTGGTATTCGTAGCAGAGCTCTGGTCCATTTCCAAGCTAATGTGCTGCGTGTGGAGCTCAGAGTTTCCATTAGATATCTGGTATCTAACTACCTCACTTCTTTTGGTGAGCAAATCGCTTCCTAGTTTTGTTTTATTGCTTCTTTCTGCTGCAATTAGATGTCTGTGTCCAAATAGGAAATCACGGTTCATCTCTAGAAGAATTTCAGCCAGAAGATGTGTAAATGTTGCTATGATCTTGATCCCACGGCTCGTACAAATTTCTTGATCGGGAGATTCATGTTACACCAGTAATATATGCTTCGTTACATCTGGGGATAAAAAAAAAGAGAGGAGAGATAATACTTACGAGTTTGCATTCCAGAATTCACTTTGGAAGTTGAATTAATCCATATGTAGCAAGCAGCGCGCAACACATAATTCATGTAGATGAGTGCTGGTCACATGAACACATCGTGACAATGGGGATTGATAACATGCATGGTTGTCTGTAAGTTTCTCGGTCTCGTCTGACAAACCAATGCAGCTTCTAGCCACTGACGTCACACTACATCTTGGAGGTTTATAAGAGCTTCAAATTGCTGTGTTATATTATTATACAATGTAGGGTTGATACATCAGATATCTAAATATCTATGCTGCTACGATGATAATACTTATCACTTCTGGAGTGTTTTTAACTTTTATATGTAGCAGTGGTCATCAACTTTGGTTATAGGTGGCAATGGCATGTAGGTAATGACAATAAAATTATCTTAATAGGTTATAAGACTTTCTAGCATTGCCCATATTCATATATATGTTAATGAATCTAGATATATATATGTGTCAAGATTCATTAACATCTATATGAATATGGACAATGATAGAAAGTTTTATAACCTGAAACGGAGGTAGTACTGTATTTTGGGCAGAGGTAGTACTCAATGAAATAGGGATGACAGGTGCTGATGCATGGAATGGCACTCAGTTGAAAATAGAAATGTTCTTTCAGGATAGTTTTCTCTTTTCCAATGAAGATCATGTGAAACACAATATATTGCATTTTCAATTTGTGTTGAGAGAGAGAAAGAGAGAGCGCAAAGTTGATTCCTTAATTTGGATTATGGGTTGAGAACACGTTTTTCACCTCTATATGAATGGAAATAGCCAAATATCCTACTCAACCGTAATCGTGAATATACAACGCCTGCTTCTATATATCTACAAAAGTACAATTGTATATTTTTATAAACCATTATAATCTACGTCCACCATGATCAACAGGCAGCATAAAACTCTCTTGTTTACCTGCTTAATAAGGTAATTTTTTAGTCATTCGAACAAAGTAATACTAGCTCATTTTAGGGCATTTATAATGGTCATTAATAGATGTCTCTTAGTGTTGCTAATTATGAATATTTGTTAATATGGAAGAGAGATAAATAGGAGAGACAAAATACCGTTGCTATATGGTAACAACGGCTCAATAATGACTCATAACCTCTATTGGAAACATGGTTGTATAAGGGTGAAAAAGGAAAGAATAGCAATAGAATAATATTTTTTTGAGTTAATGGTTAGAGTATTTGTTACGTCAATTATTGTAAAAGCACGGTCTTTAAATAATCTAATCTTGTATTGTCTAAGAGATCATACTCATCTCGAACATGTCTTAGTCTTCTCTTTACTTTACTTTGTAGTATAACTGCATATCTAGTTGCTGTGGCACACCGATTAGCCTTATCGTGTGATGGACTCTGACGCCATCTGGCCTCGTGGGCTGTCTCACAGAGCAACTCGGCGAGTCACGCAATGTGAAAACCGAGTGTCCTATTGTCTGGATGGGCACCATCTTGAAGGTTGCCAATTGCATCTAAAGAGACCGCATATGTATGGGCATGAGCTAAAAACATAAGGATATGTGTGCATTGTGAAAATTCTAGCATGATACTAAATCAGACCAAACACACACACATATATATAGATCATACCATTAACCAATCATATATGCAATTATAATGATACATAAATATAACTACGGATAAACACATATAGAAATCTTATATCGTCATAAAGTTAAAGTGTGTGTACAAAGAAACATTGCACGAGAAAGAGATTATAGAAACACATAAATGGTGCTTTTATATGCGGTGAGAAGAAAAGGTGCTTTTGTTGATAAAAACTTATCGGGCACGCAAACTTGGGTTAAGTTGGCATTGCGCGCTAAAGGAGCACGTCACCTACACTAATCATTTATGAAAAAGTAAGGGGTTATTGATTTAGTCCATTTAATGAATGGTGCGTCACACTAAAAGATAGATAGATAGATGAATGGTGAGTCATATCCAAGATAGATAGATAGATAGATAGATAGATAGATAGATAGATAAACGGATAGATAGATGAATGATGATGCATTTGCACTTGTAGGCGTGTGTTTTATGACACATTCTAAGTGGATACGACATAAATTTACGTGATTTTCAATACCACGAGTAATCTAATTCAAACATATAAATTTCATGTTATAAATTATATATGAATATAAGGGTTTCTAACCTTTCGAGTGAATAGAATGCATATTAGCATCAAAGTTCAACCCCTCTTGTAACAATCGGCACCGCCATTTAAAAAGCTCACAAGAAGTTCTAGTGTTGCTAGGTTCTAAAATTATGATTTTACTGGATTCTATCATATCAAATCACATACCTACAAATCTAACACTTTGGCAGCTAACCAGCTGATAAATTTACAAATAAAAATTTGAATATAAATTCATATCCTCAAGTTGAAGAGATCCCAACCCTGAACCAGTGACCGGTTAGGTACTTAGGTTTACTCCCGGTTTCTTTAACATGGCTAGCTGGTTGCACGCAGTGACGTACTACAATAGACACCCCTAGACGCATCCCACACACACCAATCTGTCTAATGGCCAACCTTCAGTTTCTCCTAAAGCGGCTGGCCAAACTGCGGTGCTTCCGCCGCCGCCGCCGCCGAGCGGCCAAGCCCAACGCCGCCACGCCCTCGCCGGCGGCGCGGCCTGCCCCGACGCCTACGCCGACGCCGCCGCCGCTGGCGGTTCTCAGCGACGACGTCCTGAGGGAGATCTTCGTCCGCGTCCCGTCCCCCGCCGACCTCGCCCGCGCCGCCACCGCCTGCGCCGGCTTCCGCCGCGTCATCACCGAGCCCTCCTTCCTCCGCCGCTTCCGCGCCGCCGACAACCAGCCGGCGCTGCTCGGCTTCATCGACGTCGGCGGCGGCTTCGTCCCCGCGGAGCCGCCCCACCCCAGCGCCGCCGCCGCCGCGGGGGCAGCCGCCCGCGACGTCGTCGACTTCGCCTGCCCCTTCCTCCCTTCGTCCCCGGATCCCTGGCGCCGCCGCGACGTCCTCGACGGCCGCGTCCTCTTCTCCCGCGGCGCCGTGGGCGGCGGCGGCGAGGTCGACGGCCAGGACGATGATCCCGGCTTCATGGACCTCGCCGTCTGCGATCCCCTGTCCAGACGCTACGTCCTTCTCCCCGCCGTCCCCGCCGACCTCGCCGCCTCCGCCCAGCTCCACAACCTCCTCGATTTACAGCCCTTCTTCGCTCCGCCACGCGACGACGACGACGACGGCGGCGGCGGCACGTCATTCAGGGTGATGTACATGGCGCGATGCCAGTCCAAGCTAGTCGTGTTCACCTTCTCCTCAGATACCCAACAATGGAGCTCCACCTCCTACGACGGATGGGGGATTTTGGTCGCAGCAACTCCATCTCAGGAAACCGCATTGACCCAACGCCACCATGCTCACGGCTGCATCTTCTGGTTCTTGCGTTGGGCGAAGAAACTACTTGTGCTGGACACCTTCACGATGGAACTATCCACCATCAACCTCCCATCCAGTGAACTGATTGAAATCCAGCAGGTTGCAATCGTGGAGTCAGCGAGAGGCGGGATTGGGATGTTTGCCATGGTTGACGAGATATTGGACAGCACATTCGACATGTTCTATGTGGTTTGGGATCCCGAGGGCGCGAACAAGTGGCCATTGGAGAGGCTGATGAAGTTGCCAGTGGAGTTTCGGTACAACCTGGTGGGAGCAGCTGGGGGTTACCTCCTTGTTCAGGGGATTTCAGTGCAGGGGCCTGTGCAAGATCAGGTGTGCTTTACGGTGGAGCTCAAGACTTTCAAGGTTGAGATGTTCTGTGAAACTAGGCGTACCTTGATAGGTGCTGATCTGTTTGCTGGATTCGCCCCATCTTTGTCGCCACCAAGCGTATGAAATGGTAAGCTTTTCTTTGTAATCTTTGCTTCGTCTAGTTGTCTGCCATGTTCTTTTGTGAGGGAGAAAATCTCCATTGTTATGCTTATGCATTGCATTAGGCCATGATCAGCTTGTTGTTATTGTATTAAGCATTCATTATATTCTGCCCAGCATGGTTATCATGTAAATCGGATGCATTTGACAAATTGTTAAGGCTTTAGGTTATTATTGTTGTCCATGATAGCTTTCATTGCTTAGATTTATCTATTGTTAGATACCTTATGAAAGTCAGGAAATCAAGAAGATAATGTCAGGTTCAGGACTTTGTATGCATGTCAGCAATTAGAAAACTACTTCGGTTTACAACTTGTATGTTTGTTTGTTATGCTGATGCCCTGTAAATCTGTAATCTCTAGATCCATCTGATTGGCTTAGTGGTCCCTGAATTTTGAATGTTAGCCATCCGAGCTAAACTGCACTTTTTAGTTATGAACACAATGACTAAGTAAAGAGAAGATTGAGCACTTAGTATTTATCTTGAGCTGCCTGAGCTCAAGTGTTGAACTTCAAATATGAACATCGGAACTTGGAAGTATGAATGGAGAATGAACACACAAGTGTTATCTTAACTGTCTGAACTAAACTACACTTTCTGATTAAATCAGACTGATTTCGAACATGGTATCTTGAAACTAAGGAGTAAATATTTTTGTTGCATCCATCATAGTGACATCTAATTAACTGAGTGCATTTTCAGGGACAGATGGACGCTGGCCTTTCTCTGGATCATCCTTCTGGAGTTCTGGTGTTGGTGAAGGGACCATGATGGTGTATTGGTGTTGTACTTTTGTTCGGCTACAATGCTAGCAGGCAGAGCCTCCATCAAACTTGTTTCCTGAGTGCGTGTAATCAAAACAAGCTGTCGCTAAACCCAGTCTTTGTCAAATTAGAGTTGGGCGCCTCGGGAAAAAGAAAGAATGAGAGTGTTGGGTAAAACCGAGTGTGTCGGATAGTGTTGGGCGGTACCCAGTCCGTCGGTTAAGTGTTGGCCCGAACCAATGTCGGAATAAGTGTTGTCTGTCAGAGTAAGTGTTGGCTGAAGTTGTGGTCTTGTGGACCATGTCGATTGAATAAGCATTGGAATTTGCATTTTGTGTTTTGTTTGCAGCAATCATGCAAGTTCGCTTTCCATAAATGAAAGATTCAGGTGGGGTCGCAGTCCGCCGACGGCAAGTGTTGAAACGGCAGGAGCTCCTTGTAAGCCAGCTCCACGCGCTGCCTCCGCACCTCCCAGTACAGCCCGCCGACCTCGCCGCTCGTGCGGCCGCCGCCGCCGCCGACGGATGCAGCGGCGCATACCGAGCCGTCCGTCGCATTGGCCAGGCACTCGCACCAGGCGCCGCTCTGGATTTGGAGGTTGGAGGTGTTGAGGAGCACCAGAGTGGGAACGAGGATGAGAGGTGGAGCACGACGAGGTAGAGCATGGTGGAGTTGACGCGGAGGAAGCCGAGGGCGAAGGTGCCGGTGAGGGCAATTCTGTCTTATGACTCGACATTCTAGCGAAAATAATTTTGAAAACACACAAAGTGGTCAAAATGGAAAAAGTGACGGTGAATGCGCGTTAAATATGCTGAAGCGCGTTACATATTGTCATTTTAGCGAAACGTGTTTTTGGATGGTATTCCAGCCAAACCGCCATTTGAAGGTGGCAAAATATCAGTTTTCTCCACACCCACAGTTCAGCTGCCAGGTGGGCCCGAAGTCTAAACCCTACTATTCCCAGATTCCCACCGGCCTCCGAGGCTCCGATTCCTTCTCTTGCACACCACACTCCCCTCCGCCCAAAACCCCAAGAAACCCCCCATCGATCCCCTTCCATCATCAACCTCCGGCGATTCGCCTGCCATGGCCTCGCCGTCGCCGTCGCCGTCGCCATCGAGCGCCAGCAATCAGCGCCGCTCCCTGCCGCCCTCACCAGCGGCGGCCTCCTCGGTGGGATCCTCGCCCGCATTCCCACCCCGCAAGAGGCGCCGGTCGGGGCGCCCGCCTCCCTTCCTCGGGTTGGCCTGCTACGACGGCTTCTACCCGGCCACGGAGCCCCACCCTTCCGCCGAGCGCGCCATCGCCCTCGCTCGCAAGGCCGATTTCGAGTACGGCTTCGTGCCGTGGGTGCCGGAGGAGGAGGCCTGGGGCTGGTTCCCCCTCGACGCCCGCGACGGCCGCGTCCTCATCCAGTCCAAGTACTTCCCCGATGACCCCGACGGCGGCGACTTCCCCCGCCCCCGCTTCATGAACTACGCCGTGTGCGATCCCCTGTTCAAGAGATACGTGATGCTCCCACCCGTACCCGACGACCTAACCGCCAATGAGGGGAGCCTTGTTGATTTCGGGCTCTGCCTTGCCCCCTCCCAAGAGGATGAGGCGGATACATCGTTCAGGGTGATATGCGTGGCACGGTACAACACCAATCTGGTCGCGTTCGTCTTCTCTTCCGTCACTAGGCAATGGGGAATCGGTTCGTCTTCCACCTGGAGTTCTTTGGGCACAGAAGAGCCCCCTAACCGCCATGGCCTGAGTTGCTTCGACTGTGTTGATGGCTGCTTCTACTGGACAGTGCCTTCGGCGGACAAGATTCTTGTGCTTGATGCCATCAAGATGGAGTTCTCTGTTATCAACTATGCTCATCGTGTGGAGGACGGCTTTCGGGCTTGCATTGCAGTTGATACAGAAGGAACCCCTGGGATGCTGACTGTTGGTGAATACTTGGGGAATAGAGAGTTTCGCTTCTCTCGCATCGCGAAACAAAGTGACCGTGAATCTCCCAATGAACGCCTGTCGGAGAATATTATACAATTGCCCAGCAACTGCAATAAGTACTTCACCTTAGGTGCAGCTGAGGGATTTATTTTCCTTAGAGGCATTCCAGAAGAAGAGAAAGTAGAAGACTCTTCATCAGAGGATCTTTACATGGATCCTGAAGAAATAGAATATTATTCGCTCAATGTCAAGACTGTTGAATTTGAGATGGTCTGCGCGATGGACATGGACAAGTGCTACTTTCATGTTTGCCCGTACTTCCGCTTTTCACCACCATCGGCAAAACCATGTGTTTGAAGTGGTAAGCTTGTTGTCATAGCAGTTATCAATGTGGGGTTGTTTTATATTTATTTTGTTTATGCTAGCAGTAGTTTGCTGTCTAGTAGTTCAGGTAGAGGTAAGCTTCTTATTTTTGGGCACTCAGTTTATCTCATCCTCAATGTTGCAATGTAGCTTGTATGCTGCCACCTGTCTGGGAATTTGTCAGTGATATATGTTATGTGTATTTAGATGGTCTTGTAGGATCTAGCTCTTAATCATCCTGTTATGTTCTGAAGGTAGTGATGGTTTGGTTCTGTCTGGCATAGCATCCAGTTGCCATGCATGATCATGCTCTGGCAACCAGGCAAATAGATGACACCAATTTCGTTTTAGGATATATCATTTATCCATTCTCTGCTGTGGGATAACTTGCTTCCAACTTTAAGAATTAACTAGAGAATGAATATTGTGTATCCAGAAAATGCGTAAGTTATACCTGTCATTAATGTTCTGATGGACCTGAACCCGGATCTTCATCTGGGAAACTTTGTTCCTGTCAAGTAGAACAAACAGAAAACTTCATCACTGCTTGCTGTTCAGCACCTGCCTCTTTTATAAATAGACTACAATGTACTAGGAAATTTATCTTAGGTCGCAATTCCATTCCATTCCCAAACCCCCAAATAATCTCTTCCTTTCAGATTATAGCATGTACAGCCATTTTCTACTTATCCCATTTCATTTTGGTGTATCTTTTGTTGTTGTTTGTTCTATAGACCTTTTACCTTCTATATTTTATGAGCACCACATTTTGTCCAATTGATCCCGTCCTATGGTTATCTCGATAGAAAATAATTTTATTAGAAGTAATGGCGCAAGAGATCTGTTGGTTTATTTGTTTAAAGAGTTGGTGTCCATACTTGTATAGGCTTCTATCTTACCAATTTCAAGTTTGTTGTGACTCATGCTCATATTCTGCTTATTACCAATTCTTACTTTTCTTACTATTGATTAGTGGCGAGCAGAAAAACATGTCATTCCATGGCTCATATTGAGCATTCCAAGTCAATCTTCATCTTACCTCGAGCTGAAGCTCAGGCTGATATCCTTGCTGATGATCCTATCCTACTAACCCCATAACATTTTTGTTCGAGGGGTCATCATAATTTTGTGTTGGGACTGTTACGAGGTTTCCTGTAAAAATTTGGCAACACATTGGAAAAATATATAGGACATGTATGGTGTGGTCGGGTGGAATATCAGGCATTAGGTGAAGATGTGAATATGGTAAAAAAAAATCCTTTTGCATTCACAGTAGGTGTCTGTAAAATCTAATTAAATTTATCTGCAGGGATGAAGCCGTGCTTTTGAGCCCATACTCGTGCCATGCATCCGTACTGCTTGGAAGTGCAGGAGGTTCAAAATGGTGCTGCCATTCTGTTGACCCGGATGTTCTTGAGCCTTGGGTTATATTTATCACAAAGTAGTCACTAATGTAGTTTAATAGACCGTATTAAGTTAATGTAAGCAAGACTTGCTGCTGGCAACCTTATTCTCGAACAGTAATCTGTTAGTGGCTTAGTGCCGTACTGTTATTCTGTGCTGGACTTCATCAATGTGCAAGACTGTGCAACGCTCTGAGATGGGAATGTGCTGGAGAATTGGAATGCAGTGTGGACGGGGTATAGTATATATGCAATGGTGAGATTCACAGCTTGCTGGTTTCCATCGAGAAGCTAGTGCCGGTGGCTGTCCCCGAGCGATCGTCGTAATCTTTGGAGGAGGACCATGCAAAACTAGGCAATTTGCCACTACAAAACTTTGTTCGTTTGCTGTGTTCATGTAGAAAATTCCTTGAAACGCCGTTCGCCAACATGGGCCACCTAGTCCAAGCAAACGGGTCGATGGGCCCTAACTCAGAAAGGCCCCAAGTACGGCCCCCTAGTTCTACCATGATTACCTTTCTCTCCTTTTTTAATTACCATCATCACTCAGGCCCAGGTCTGTCTCCAACTGCAATACCGCAATTCTCGCCTGCTTCCACCAAAATTCACCGGTCCTAAACCCCAACTCGTTTCCAACTCCATCTAAAAGATTGAATCCTCTCCGTATCAAAACACCAATATTAGAAACACACTTGCTACAGTGTTTTGCCCCCGCGCACGCTTTTCAAACTACTACACGGTGTACTTTTTTGTAAAAAGTTTCTATACAAAAGTTGCTTAAAAAATCAAATTAATCCATTTTTTTAAAAAAATTAGCTAATACTTAATTAATCACGTGTTAATGAACCGTTCCGTTTTCCGTGTTACTGTAGCGCGCTGGGAAAACGTCCAAACGAACACAGCCTTAGAAACACACAGGAACAGAAGAGAACTCGGCTGACGCCTGCGAATCCTACTCGTTCGTACCGAACACGATCATCGCGGTTGCTGCCAGATATAAAACGCAACCCACACCCGTTTTGCCGAGTCGAGTCGAGTCGACTAGTCTCCCGTCCCGAGCGCACGCACGCACGCACACGCCTCGCAACCAGGCGAGCGAAGCGGGCGGCCGCGCGAGCCAACGCCAGCCATCCAATTCCGCCTGATCTGTCCTCCTTGACCGCTCAAGGTTCGCTCCCCTTTTTTTCCCCTACTTTTTTCCCCTAAATCCCAAAAAACTAACACCAATAATATAAAACAACAATAATTTAGATTCAATCGAATTTTAGAGATAAAAGATGAGATAAAAAATAAAAAATAATTCTGTTATTATTCAGTACAGTAGTAGAAGGACAAGTCCCAGACTATATCTGTTTTTTTCTCTCTCTCTCTTTCTTTTTCATTGCCCTGTTTGGTTTCGTATCGTATGCAGCTAGACTACTACTAGAAGCCCCCGACCCCTCCCTCTTCTCTTTCGCTTCGCCCCCACTCTTCACTCCCCTCCCCACCCCCACCCATCAATTTCTTCGTCCGTCTCGTGTTAAGCCGCCCCTCCACTGGCGACAACCAAACCCTAGGCCGCCGCCGCCCCGGGAGGCCACCAGGTAAAGCGCTCGTTCGTCCATCCCCTCCGGCGAGGGCCGCTCTCTTTGCGCGGCGGCGGGATTAGGGTTCGGTTTGGTGTTGTTTTTTTGCTTTGTATGCGGATTGGATTTCGGGGCGGCGATTTATTTGGGTGTTTGGTGTTTGGTTTGGATCAGGGGGAGGAAAAAGGAAGAGGAGGAGATCGGAAGTGGGAGAGGGATTTATGTCCCAGCGAGGGGACAGGGGCGAGGGGCACGCGAGGAGACCCGGCCGGTCCAGCAGCTTCGGCGGCGGCCACCGCGGAGGCGGAGGAGTCGGCGGCGCGGGCAAGGGCGGCGGGGGCTCCTCCGGCCAGCCTCCCCTCGCAACTAACCGCAGGTAACGATTGATTGATTGATTGATGGATTGGATGCCCCCCCATGATTTGATCTGGGGACGAGCGGGCTCCGAGGAAAAGCTAGGGTTTTTTACTGGACTTTTGGATCCGATTGCAGCTTCAGGAAGTCCGGCAATGGCCATGGCGGGCACCAGAGGGCTGTGAGCCAACCCGACACGCACGGCTTCCAGCCTGCACCTGCCCCGACCGCTCTGCAGACGCCGCCGCTGCGCCCGCCGGCACCTCAGAATGCGCCGGCGCATGTCCCTGTTCCCGCACCACGTCCTCAGCACCATGGTGATTTATCGGCCTGTTCCCTTATGTTGGATTACAAATTAGAACAATGTGAAAAAGGCGTCTTTTGATGTATTGGTTTTGGTGATCGCATGCATTTCTTGAATGAGCAGATCCGTCTGGAGCGCGAGCACCCACCCTACCACCTTCCAGCGAGAACACGGCCAATGCGCCACCACTGAAAGGTATTCCTCATGCCGCTCCAAGGGCACCATCAAGGATTTCAAGCACGTCCACTTCACAAGGAGCACCAAAAGGTTTGGTCCTCGTAGGGGGGTTGTTTGCACCTTGTAATTGATATCCATGGTATACTACTTTGTTAACTGCCTGCTGCCACTCTTCTTTACAGGTGGAGCATATAATCTTCAGTTTGGCAGTTTCCCAATGAATGGTGGAACTGGTGGTAGCACAATGGTACGCTCTTCAACCCTGTTCTTGCAGCTTGCAGTTCTTATTTCAATTTGGTCTAGTTTCTGGTTCTTTTTTTCACCTTTTTTCTAATTTCCAAATACTTTTGCATAGCAATTCCCTGCCAGGACAAGCTCAGCTCCTCCTAATTTGGATGAGCAAAAACGCATGCAGGTATTTTCTCCTTCCCTTGGCCTTTACCATTATTGTTTCTCTGCTTTATGTTAGTTTAATTTGGTGGTATTGGCTATGATTTTTAGTGCGCTTTTGTTAGATATATCGATAACAGTATGTTGTCAACAAATGCACCAAATAATTTATGCTCCTATGTATAATATGCTTTCAGGAGATTTGAGCAAGTCATGCCTTTTTTTGCTTCTATTGTTGATATTGTATTGATAGGTGTTATTAATTTTCAATATTCTAAAAGAATGTATTATTGTGTTATCTTTCTTTGGTGTTTAGGCCCTCCCTGAAGGTCATAAGGTTGTACCTTCTGGGCTTGTTCCACAAGCTCCAAAACATCAGCAGCAACAGCAGCCGTTGCAGCAGCAGAAGCAACAGCCGCAGTCACAGCCACCACTGCAGCAAACAAGAAAGGATGTTGTTAGTTCTAATCATTCATCGAAACCTATCAACCCTCACATTCCTTCCCAAGTTAAGAGCTCTGTGCATGTCTCACCATCCGTGCCCAATGTTGCACCACCAAGACCCCCTGTTCAGCAGATACCTGGGATGCCCATGTCAATGCCATTTCACCACCAGGCACCCTTGCAGTTTGGCGGTCACAACCCACAAATTCCACCACAGGGAGTTGTGCCCAGTTCACTACAAATGTCTATGGGATTGCATGGCGCCAACGCACCCCAGGTTGCACAGCAAATGTACATCCCTACCATTCAGCACCATCATCAACTGCAACCGCCAACAATGATGCATCAAGCAGCAGGTATACCTTATGGTCCAGCTGCTCATCAACTCACTCAGATGAGTGGTATGATGAATGTGGGGGTGGCACCTCAGTTTACTCCACAACAGCCAAATAAGTATGTTACAGGCCCAACTCGGAAGACCACAGTCAAAATTACTCATCCAGATACTCATGAAGAATTGAAGCTCGATAAGAGGATGGACTCTTCTGGGCAAAGGGGTTTACCTAGTGTACAACAACAATCCCAGCCGGTCAGTACTTATGGATCTCCTATGGGCTTCTACCAGCAAAATTCGTATAACCAGTCAACTATGTTTTACCCCACAACCTCTGGTGTCGGTCAGGTTCCCACTGTATCACAGGGTCCTAGGTTTGTATCCACACAAACAGTTTCATACATCAGCCCATCGATGAACACAGGTCCTGGCAGTAACAAGGACAACCTAGCAGGGTCTACAACATCTGGACACTCCCAAGTCACAGGCAAACCACACCCAGCTGGTTTGCACATGGAGAAATCCGGGGTACAAACGGTCACGATAAGTGCGCCGCCTGGTAAATCAGATGTGAACAAGTTAAAACCAGCTGAAGATGTTGTATCACATCGACAAAAGGATAATGAAGCTGTTTCTGGGGTCCGTAAATCAGGTGAAAATGAGAGCAAAGCTTCACCGATCACGGAGAAGCATCCCACACCAGTGAGCCAACCCTTACAAGCTCTAGCTGCAAATCCAGAAACTACAGCAGCTGCATCTTTTGTTGTGAATTCTGTTCCTGGAGATGATGGAAAAAGCAAAGAATCTATTCAAAGAACTGGATCATTTAAGGATAGCAATAAGAACGCCACTAAGGACACCAGGAATTTATCACAAGAACCACAGGTAGTCCTGTAAAATATTCTATTTTTGCAATTTTCTGTTGTTTTGTACGTTTTGCTCAACAGCTTATATATTGTTTCGTTCAGTCAGCTTCATCTGCTGAAGATTTAAAGGTGCATACTTCTGTAAAGGATGTATGTTGTGGTGTTAGTCTCATGGAATCCAAGGGTGTGAATAAAGAGTCTGAACAGACCAATGCAGCTTCCGCTTCACCGACTGAAATGTTAAAAGGTATATGCATTATGCACTTTGAAAATCAATGCCAAAACAGTTGTATTGTGTTGCTTTGTTTAACATGTTTGCTTTGGCAGCTGCTGATGCTTCTAGCATTGATAGGAGCTCTGCAAGATCGACCTCTGAGAGCACTGAGAATGTTCAAGAAGTAGGAAAATCTGATGTTGCTATTGGTGATTCTGAGAAAAGTGGAATAACTAACAAAGTTTCACCAGATCTTACAAAGGATGATATTTCTTCTGGTTCAACTGGGAATGAATCACATGAAGTTTGCACGCTAGATTTGGCGGAGCAATTACCTGTGGGAGCTTCTAATCCTGATAATTTAGATACTGCAACTTCTGTAACTGACCAGGGACAGCTTCTCAAAGAACCCAGCTCATCAGTATCTGATGAGAATGTTATTATGGACAGATCGCATCAGAGTGCTGAAAAAATGTCAGATTTGGTTGATGACACTGTTGCTTCTGTTGCCAGTTCTGAAACTTTGCCAGAATCTATAATTCAAAATGCCAATGCTAAAGGTAACACAAGTGGTAATCAGGAAACAGGGTCTGCTACATCTAGCAATATTCTTAATGTGTTGCCGGTACCTCATTCAGTGGCATCAGAGGATCCACTGAAACCAGAAAGTATGTTAAAGGATCAATCGAGTAGTGCACCAGCAGCCTCTGCTCGACCAGTTTCAAGGGAAAAACCTAGCGTGGAAATTACCAGAACAAAGTTTACAGCTGTGAAAAAGAAGAAAAGAAGAGAAATGCTTTCAAAAGCTGATGCTGCCGGGAGCTCAGATCTTTATAATGCATACAAGGGACCTGAGGAAAAAGTAGATTTCATTGGTGCCTCAGAGAGTCTTGATAGTTCTTCAATTGCTGATCATGAGCTACCAGACGAGTCCTCCGAAAAGGAGGTTAATATGGGTGAGGACGAGGGAAAGAAAAAGGTTGAGCTTGATGATTGGGAAGACGCTGCAGAAATGTCTACTCCAAAGTTGGAGAGGTCTGATTCCAGCAATCAAACAACCGAAGCTAATGGGAGGAAGAGATATTCACGCGATTTTTTGCTAACTTTAGCACAGAGTTGTACTAATCTTCCTGTTGGTTTCCAGATGATTGAGTACGCCAGCGTTCTGTTCCCTAATTTGGCCGGAAAGTCTTATGTTGTTGATCACCCAAGTCCTGGAAGGGGAGCTGACAGGCCAGCATCTCGTGGTGATCGCCGTGGTGTTGTCATTGAGGATGATAGATGGGGAAAGTCGGGCCATCTTTTTGGTTCTGGTCGTGATATGTCCATGGACAATGGCCCTCCAACTATGAATCACCGTGGTGCTCCAGGAGTTATGAGGAATCCACGAGGTGGGCTTATTAATGTAGGACCGGTTGCACCTCAAATGTCTCGAAGTGGCTCTGATGCAGATAGATGGCAGCAGAAGGGTATATTCCCATCTCCTGTTACACCCATGCAAGTAATGCACAAAGCAGAGAAAAAATATGTCGTTGGCAAAGTTTCTGACGAGGAAGAAGCTAAGCAGAGGCAACTGAAGGCAATACTTAACAAATTGACGCCACAGAATTTTGAAAAGCTTTTTGAAAAAGTTAAAGAGGTGAACATTGACAATGTGGCAACTCTTACTGGGGTCATTTCACAGATATTTGACAAAGCTTTGATGGAACCAACATTCTGTGAAATGTACGCTAATTTTTGTTTCCATTTGGCTGGTGCACTGCCAGATTTTAGTGAGGATAATGAAAAAATTACATTCAAGAGATTGCTTTTGAACAAATGTCAGGAGGAATTTGAGAGGGGTGAAAGAGAAGAAGCTGAAGCAGACAAAACTGAGGAGGAAGGTGAGATTAAGCAAACTAAAGAGGAAAGGGAAGAGAAAAGAATCCGTGCTCGAAGGCGCATGCTTGGGAACATTAGGTTGATTGGGGAATTGTACAAAAAGAGGATGTTGACAGAACGCATCATGCATGAATGCATTAAAAAATTGCTGGGAAATTATCAGAACCCTGATGAAGAGAACATTGAAGCACTGTGCAAATTGATGAGCACAATTGGAGAGATGATAGACCATGCAAAGGCTAAGGAGCATATGGATGCGTACTTTGATATAATGCTGAAGCTTTCAACAAGTCAGCAATTATCTTCCCGTGTTAGGTTCATGCTGAGAGATTCAATTGATCTCAGGAAAAATAAATGGCAGCAAAGGCGTAAGGTGGAAGGCCCAAAGAAAATTGATGAGGTGCACAGGGATGCAGCTCAGGAACGACATGCTCAGTCGAGTAGGTTAGCTCGTGGCTCAGTTGTTGGTTCTGGTCCAAGGCGAGGAGCTGCACCTATGGATTATGGTCCTCGTGGCTCAGCAGCAGCATTGGCTTCTCCAAGTTCTCAGCAAGTTGGCCATAGAGGAATGCCTTCGCATTCCCGAGGGTTTGGTACCCAAGATATCCGGTTTGAAGAAAGGAGTCCTTTGGACCATAGAACAACTGTCCTTCCTCCGCGTAAGGATGAAGCCATCACTCTTGGGCCACAAGGTGGCCTAGCAAGGGGTATGTCTATAAGAGGGCAGCCACTGATATCAAATGCTGAGCTTTCTTCTGCTGATAGTCGCAGGATGGTATCTGGTCCCAACGGGTATAATTCTGCTTCAACTGCAAGAGAGGAACCTGGCTCGAGAATTCCTGATCGCTCTGGAAGAATAGCACCAAATACACAGTTTGCTGGACCATCGAACAGGCCTGCCAGCCAAGAGGGCCGTTCAGGGAATAAATTATACTCTGAGGATGATTTAAGAGAGAAATCTATTTCCGCCATCCGGGAATATTACAGGTAATATTTTGTAGCCTCTGAATTTTCATACAAACTATTTCTTCATTTTTTTGCCAATAACTATTATGTTTGTTACAAATTTTGATTATAATAATGACTTACTGTCTTCTTTTGGCAACTGCTAGTTTCTTAGGGTGTGTTCTTTACCAACTCTTCCCAACTAGACTCTCATTTTCTACGCGCACGCTTTCTAAACTGCTAAACGGTGTTTTTTTTTTTTTGGAAAAAAAAACTCTACAGGAAAGTTGTTTTAAAAAATCATATTAATCTATTTTTCGAGTTTATTTTAGCTAATGCTTAATTAATTATGTGCTAATGGATCAGTCCGTTTTGCGTGCGGGGAGGTGAAGTTTGCAATCTCCACCTCCGAACACAACCCTGTTTCGCAATTATTTTAGGCAACTACTAGTGCTTTCTAGTTTAAATTTGTCACTTCTCATTATGTGGATTTCAAGTCTGCTGAGGTACCCTTGTTTCTGACGTTGGAGTACTGGGGGTTTATGAATGCTGGAATTCAAACTTAAGACTTAAGGGATAGACAACATTCTTGTAACGTTGAGCCAGTCACAAGATTGGAGGGCAATTACAACTTCTTTTCCAATTAATTTTAATCTTGAGATATCTATTACTGTGTACTTTATTTAGGAAGCTAGGGTGTTGTTCTTGGATTTCAGTTTTTATTGAGTAACATTTTGTTACTATTACTAAAAAATTTAGAGGACCACAAGAACAGTTTATTGTGGTCCTCTAAATTTTTTAGTAATATATATGAGTCCTCTGCATTGTGTGCTAACATATATACAACTATTTCGGCAGTGCAAAAGATGAGAAAGAGGTTGCTTTGTGTATTGAGGAGTTGAATGCTCCAAGTTTCTATCCCTCTGTCGTATCACTGTGGGTAAATGATTCTTTTGAGAGGAAAGATATGGAAAGAGAGTTGTTGACAAAGCTTTTCGTTAGTCTTTGCAACAGTCGAAATAATTTATTGAGCAAGTCTCATCTCACTGCAGGGTAATTGTTTCTCTTCTTTTCACTCCTATTGACTCTACTTTTGTTTTTTACATTTTACTGTATACTGAACACATGGTTACTTCCAGACTTGCGACTGTCCTTGGTTCATTGGAAGATGCTCTAAGTGATGCTCCAAGAGCTGCAGAGTATCTTGGACGGCTTCTTGCAAGGTTTGTGGTAGAAAGCATATTGTCCTTGCAGGAGGTGGGTACATTGATTGAAAAAGGTGGAGAAGAACCTGGAGAGCTTGTACATCATGGCATTGGAGCTGATGTCCTTGGTGCAGTTCTAGAGTCGATCAAAGTAGAAAAGGGGGATTCATTCTTGAATGAGGCCAAGGCAAGCTCCAACCTCAAGTTGGAGGATTTTAGACCACAGCATCTCAAGAGATCGAAGTTGGATGCCTTCATGAAAGCATAAAGAAGCTTTGTTACTAGGTAAGTCGGGTGTTCTATAATGGCTCATCCATAGTATGATTTAGATCTATATGTCAATCAGTGCTTTATTGAGATTGTAAAATCCTCAAGTTCTAATATACTGTTTTGGCTGAACAGCTTACCGATTCATGGGTGTTGGCACCATGGAGTTTTTGGCATCAGACCAGCCTTTTTTTTATTGACAACTGGAAAGGCCCATCAGATGCTGCCCCTACTTGGCATGCACCCATTAATTCTTCCAGGAGCTCATGCTGTGTGAATTTTCTTCATCCTGTTCAGAGTTGGTTCTGATGGTAAATTATGGAATTGTCCTCGATGTTTGTTGCCAATAGTTAGTCCCATTTCGAGTCGGCCGTAGCGAGTATCAGGGTTATTTTTTTGTGATCACAGGGGGGAGAAGTCTTTCTAACCAATGTTTGTTGGGAGTAGGGAGAATTCTAGGTTCACAGCTTGATGCCTCCCGTGGCTTCTGACCAATATTTCATTGTGATAAGACTTTGTAGTTGCTTATAACTTATCGGCATTTTCCTGATAGCCAAATGTTTCACATGACTCACCTACCACTGCCTTTTGTTTAAATCTTGCTGTACGTATTTCTGTCGCTCTTTTACTTGGTATATATGTTTGTGTGTATTTCTTGGACCTGACGTCCATCCGATCATCTTGTCTGACGTGTAAACGGGCCTCGTTTGATTTATGTGGTGTAGAATTGTTGCTGTCCCTTGGCAAATTAGAGGTGATCTCTGTGTCTCCTTTGCGTGGATCGCACTATTTCTGATGCTCCAACGCGAAGGGAACGGGTGCTTACACAGTTTGAGGTATTGGTGGAATCGTAGATTATTTCCGAAGGATCGTTGTTGGGTCATCTTCTCACTCTGTGTACTCGTGAATTGGCATCCTTGGAGGTACTTACTCCGTTAACTTATTTTGTGATGATGTATGGCTGAGACTTCATTTCTAAATCCATGGGGGTATGATAAGGTTTTCTGTTTTCTCCAATTCTTGTGATGTTATTATGGTATGGGTGTGTTTAGTTCACGTCAAAATTGAAAGTTTGGTTGAAATTGGAACGATGTGATAGAAAAGTTGGAAGTTTATGTGTGTAAAGTTTTGATGTGATGGAAAAGTTAGAAGTTTGAAGAAAAAGTTTGTATCTAAACACGGTCTGGTCTATATAAATACGACTATATAGGTGCATCTTGTAGACTTTTATGGTTGCTTTAGCCCCATGTACCGCCTCGATCACTCTCCCACCTAATAAGACATGGCTAAATTTAACACGGTCTAAAATTAATATATGTGACTTTAAATTTTTTATACACTATAATATTGATATAAAGTCATAATCATACAAAAGAAATCCAAGTGTTAATCTAATGATGTACTCCCTTCATCTATTTTTGATAGTAATATTTCTAAATCTGAAAATTTTATTTTTGATAGACATATTTTAATCCAACAACTTATCATCTTAATGACTTTCTCGGATTTAATGCGTGACTCTTCATTCTTTCACATAAAATTGGCTACATGAGCATTGAGGATTATAAATATTAATGAATCGCTTGTTTACGAGAAATGACTAGTAGCATGTTTAAATGGATGATAAATAGACTTACTTATCCTTGGTCTGTGTGCCAAGATGAAATATGACTATCAAAAGTAGATGGAGGGAGTAGTTGTCATCTAATAAAATTTAATTTATCACAAAACAATTATTGATTAATAAACATTAAAGCTCCCATCGGATGGCCTATTCAGCCAAAGAAAAAGCCAAAATTTGAATTTTCAAACTTAATTTTGACATTGATTTTGAGATATTTTCAACGTAGTTTCTTTTTCAGCATTGGCTTTTAAATCACCGAGAACACATATATATTACCTCCGTCCCAAAATAAGTGCAGCCGTAGATATCCGTGCCCAACGTTTGACCGTCCGTCTTATTTGAAAAATTTGTGAAAAATTTGAAAATATTTAGTCACACATAAAGTACTATTCATGTTTTATCATCTAATAGCAATAAAAATACTAATCATAAAAAATTTTCAAATAAGACGAACGGTCAAACGTTGAACGTGAATAGTGCAAAACTGCACTTATTTTGGGACGGAGGGAGTAAAAGTTTTACCTAAAAATTCATTTTTATTCTCTAATAAGCCGTTTTGGCTTATTAAAAAAAAGCCAAACGATGAGGCCCTAGGACCTTACTCAATGGAATACACCCTCCGTCCCTAAATACTCCCTCTTCTTTTGATAGTAATATTTTATCTTGACACAATGATCAACAATAAGTAATTCTACTTATCATCCATTTAAATATGCTACTAGTTATTCCTCGTAAATAAGCAATTCATTAATATTTACATTTCTCATGTAGCCAATCTTGTGTGGAAGAATAGAAAGTCACGTATTAAATCTGAGAAAGTCATTAAGAAGATAGGTGGTTGAATTAAAATATGCCTATCAAAAGTAAATTTTTTAGATTTGAAAATATGACTATTAAAAATAAATGGAGTAGATGGAGGGAGTATAAGGGATTTTGGTTAGATTCACATACTAGTATTGTATTTAGGGCCCGAGGGAGTATTATAAGTTGTTTTAACTTTTTTTTTTAAGTTGGGGGCTTTATCTGGGTTTATCTGGGTCATATTAACTACTCCGTACATCACTTGCCCATCCGCCTCACTCCTGCCCAGTCCCCCTACTGCTCTCGCCGCCCCGACCACCGGCGGCCGCCGACACGATGTCCTCGCCGGAGCAGGAGCCGATCTACGACCTACCTCAACTCGCCGACGAGCTCCTCGAGGAGATCTTCCTCCGCATCGCCTCGCCCGCCGACCTCGCACGGGCCTCCGCCGCCTCGTCACCGGCCGCTCCTTCCTCCGCCGCTACCGCTCCCTCCACAAGCCGGCTCCCCTCCTGGGACTACTCGGCCACGACGGCTTCCACCCCGCCGAGCCGCCCCACCCCTCCGCCGCCGCCGCCGCCCGAGCCCTCGCTCAGGCCGCCGACTTCACCTTCTCGTTCCTCCCGTCCCCCTGCCGCTGGATTCAACAGGATTGCCGGGATGGCCGCGTCCTCCTCGAACGCAGCCTATCCGACAACGACGACGCCGGTGAAGGGGAACTCGTCCCGTTCGACACCAGGAACATGGCGGATCTCGCCGTCTGTGACCCCGTATCCAGGCGTTACGTCATCCTCCCCCCAATCCCCGACGACCTGATCACCTCCGGTGAGCAGGAGGGCCTCCTCGTTTTCGAGACCTTCCTCGCTCCCGCCGCCAAGGAGGAGGAGGAGATGGTGGGCACGACGTCATTCAGAGTGGTGGCGAGGGCGAACTACGAAAGCAAGGTGGTCATCTTCGTCTTCTCTTCACTCACCGAGGAATGGCACAGCTCCAGATCTGTCAGTTGGTCTCTCTTGACCGCCGATCCCTGGTTGTCGTCGACAGCTCAGGCGCATCTATGGTTTTTCCCGCGTTACTACGCGCACTTCGTCTACTGGGTGATGCATCTGGTGGATATGTTGCTCGTGCTTGACACATCCAAGATGGCGTTCTTCACCATCAACTTCCAGTGGGATCGAGACTTTGCTATTCTGGAGACAGAGGAAGACATGATTGGAGCATTCTGCCTGAAGGGAGACTTATCCGGAAGAACTCACCTCTGTTATGGGACTAGGCGAATCGATGCTGATTTTGCCGATAGTCCACCGTTGAACTTAGACAAGACAATCCCCTTGCCCTTGCCCTTGGATCATTGCTATCACATTATAAATGCAACCCAGGATACTTGCTCTTGCAAGGGCGGCGACTACACTCGTCCAGACGCACTACGGAGGAGGATGATACAGATATGCTATATTTCACATTGGAGCCCAAAACAATGCTTCTCGAGAAGGTTTGCGGAATGAGTAGACCAAATGTCACTGCAAAGATATATACCAGTTTCCCACCATCCTTGTCACTGCCAAGTCTGAATACTGAATATGGTAAGCTTTTTATTATAGCATCAGTAACATCTTGCCAAGTCTGGCCTTGGGGATCAGCTCTTGTGATGTGGATTCAATGTTGATAAAGTGTTTACCTTCCTGGTTGTTCCCGGATTGCTGGTTTTTGCTGTGCCAAAATGACCTCATATGTGCTTGTGCATTCTTAACCATTGTCACCATTTTGATTGTATATTGTTTGACAATTTCCTAGAGTTGCAGGCTCACCGAAACTATTATCTGTTGTTTGAAAGGTTTTTTAAATTGAAGAAATAAGAAATGTGATCATTGAAACTTCAGAAAGCACATTTAACTCTTATCTAAGGCTCTGAGCTACATGCAATTTTTTCCCCGTTTTATAGTCGTTCTGACATAAATGGAACCTATTCGTGCAGTGTGGTTACTCTGGGCATATCCAAATTAGCTCATCCCTAGATCTCCACAATTGCCCCAATTCATTTCTTCTGCCCCTTAGCCATTTATTATAGTTGTGTCTTCATCCGAGTTGTTTCGTGGTGGTGCTTGAATGGCTAGTCATACTTGGGAGTAGGGAATGCAGCCGTGATGATTTGCAGTGTTGCTCTACAAATTAGCAGCAAACTTAGTTTTGCACAAAATGGTTTCTGGTATGGAACAGCACTGGCACTATTAGATTGCAGACCATTGCTACCTACATGGCAGATATGTATAAAAAGATATGAATGTGATATATCATATGAATATAATTTAATGATTACCCATAGCCTCACATATATGAACCAATAGTGGGTTCAGTTATACTGGAACCAATATAACTGACTTTTACCATTTTGTTAGCTTCGATGCTTCTTGTCATACACAAGCACAACCTAGGTCAAGGAACAAGCAATCAACAAGATAGACCAGGAATGGGAACATTGGACTTACTTTTAGGTCTGTGGCTTTGCTTACCAGATTTATAGTCTATGTCATGTTTTATCTGAAAATACATTCAAAGTGATTTTTTTCAAAATGAATTGGCCATCATGGTTTTTGTATCTGGTTTTGCATGTACCATGTACACCCTTGGTCCCAAAAAAAAAAAAAACCAATCCTAGCTAGAATTGGTTTTTTATGGGAAGGAGGGAGTAGCTATCATTTATAGAGTATAATCACGTTATCCTCCGGCATGATGAATATCTGGTTTTTTTCTGTATGACTGTATGTAGGCTTGTTTGGTTCAATGAGAAGGAGTGCTCAGGAGCCAGGAAGGAATATCTTGGTAGACATGAAGCTACAACTGACGGTGGTGGCATCTATCAGTATTAGTTTGTTCAAACGTTGTCTAGTTTGTTTAGGTAGTCCTATTCCACTTTTAGCCCTTGTGATGTATTTTTGTATTTGGTTGCAAGTCAAGTCAGGCAGATCGTGGCTTTTGGAGCTTTTCAGGTTTGTCCAATAGAATCCTGTGAAATTAAGGTGGATGGAATCTATTAAATGTTTGGAACCATGTTTTGTCTGTCATCTTGAGCATAAACTTCTTTCTAACCTTATGCAATTGCTCGGATAAATTCTGTTGAGTTCTTTAACCCACTGGCAAATTCTTAATTGTCATATTGTGATATTGTTTCTGAACATTGATAGTGTGAACTGAAGTGTACTTTGGGGCGTGAGGTCTCACATTTAGAATATGATTCACTGATATTTGATGTGGTAGCTTGCTATAAAGCTGTATGCAGGGAAACTAAAGTTCACTGTGTTTCAAGATCGAGCTGATTTAAGGCGATTTACCTAGCGGTAAACGCAAAACGAGGTGTTCTGCAAAACGCCAAAAATAGGGGGCTGTTTACAAAAATCCCACTACACGGCCACAAATTGACCGGTGAGGATTGTATGCGCTACTGTGCAGTAGCGGACATTGACGGGCCGGCCCGGCACCTCCTTGGGCCGTGCTTGGGCTGAGGCCTTGGCACGTGGGCCGGAACGGCACGGCCCGCTACAGTTACCACCAGCGGGCCCGTGCCGTGCTGGGCCGGGCCGCCCATTTGGCCTGCTATAGGCCATGAATTCACCGCTCTCCAGTCTCCAGTGCTCTCGAGTCTCGACGCTCGCCTCTGATCCCCTCCCCCTTCGATCGAGCCGTCGATCTCGCCGCCGCCGCCGCCGCCGCCGCCGCCTCCGATGTCCTCGCCGGAGCAGCCGGTCGACCCTACCTCGCTCTATACGGAGAATATTTTGCCACCCGACGAGCTCCTGGAGGAGATCCTCCTCCGCGTCGGCTCGCCCGCCGACCTCGCGCGGGTCTCCACCGCCTGCGCCGCCTTCCGCCGCATCGTCACCAGCCGCTCCTTCCTCCGCTGATTCCGCTCCTTCCACCACCCGCCTCCCCTGCTGGGGCTACTCTGCGACGACTTCTACCCGGCCGACCCCGCCGCCGCCGCCCGAGCCCTCGCCCATGCCGCCGACTTCACCTTCTCGTTCCTCCCTACCCCTGACCACTGGTGGCGCTGGATGCCCCTGGACTGGCGGGACGGCCGAGTCCTCGCCGCCCTCGTCCCCATGACCAAGATCATCACCCACGAAGGCGACGAAGGGGAGTTCGTTCCGTTCCCCAGGAGGGACGACGTCACGGACCTCGCCGTCTGCGACCCCATATCCAGGCGTTACGTCATCATCCCCGCGATCCCCGGCGACCTAATAACCTCCGGTGAGCAGCGAGATTGCCTGTTCGATTTCAACGCCTTCCTCGCTCCCGCCACCGAAGAGGAGATGGCGGATTCGTCGTTCAGGGTGGTGGCTACAGCGCAGTGCAAAAGCAAGTTGTTTGTGTTCGTCTTCTCTTCACGCTCCGAAGAATGGCGTAAGCTTTCAATTCGACAGTGGGAGCATCTTCGCCGCGGATGTGAACTCGTCGGTGCTGGTTCAGGCAGATTTCTTCTTGGCCCCGCGCTACTATGCACATTGCCGCTTGTACTGGGTGCTGAAGGAGATGGACAAGTTGCTCGTTCTTGACACTTGTGAGATGGTGTTCTTCACCATTGACCTCGAGAGGGATGAACACATGTCAAACATTGCCATTCTGGAGGAGGCAGAGGAAGATATGGTTGGAGTTTTCTCTCTCAGGACAGACTTAGGCTTCACTACAAGAACTCAGCTCTGTTATACAATTAGGCAAGTCGAAGCTGATGCTGCCAATGGGCCACCATTGAATTTTGACAAAATAATCCCCTTGCCCTTGCCCATGGAGTATATGTTTCGCATCATAGATGCAGCTGACGGATACTTGCTCTTGGAAGGGAGGCTACTGGACTGGTTCGAATGCTCTTTGAAGGAGGGCAGGCCAGATACATTATATTTCTCACTGGAGCCCAAAACATTGGTTCTCAAGAGGATTTGCGTGTTGGAACGTCCAATTACCGCTGCAAAGATATATACCGGTTTTCCGCCATCCTTATCACCGTCAAGTCTATGAATATGGTAAGCTTATTAGAATTGCATTGCTATTTGTGTTTTACTGGCCTTGGGGATCAGCTATTATGATGTGGATTCTATGTTGAGGAACATAAATTCTGTGTGATTGTTTTTCAAAATGATTTGGCCATTATGTGGGTTTCTTGTTTTGATGGAATCTCTCGGTAATTGTAATACTACATAATTCTGTATACAGGCTTTTTGGCATGATGATAGGGACATCGAAAGGGGACAGAGCAGCACTGGTTATCAATATTGCTCTCATTGCTCAGGAACGCCGTTGACTACATCAAGCTACAACTGATAGTGGTGGCATCTATGTAATTTTTCAACAGTAATCTAGTTTGTTTCTGTAGTATTGTTCCACTTTTAAGTTTTAGCCCTTATGATGATGCATTCTTGGCTATTTGGTTGCAAGTCAGGAGGCTCTTTCTGATGTAAGCTGTATTATACTTGACTAGTGGCTAGTGGAGCTTTGCAGGTTTGTCCAATAGAATCTGGTAAAAATTTCTGATGAAAGTTGATGGAATCTGTTAGTGCAGTTTATAAGCAGTTTTTCTCTAAGTCATCTTGAACTTGAACTGCTGTTTCAAACCCCACTATCAGTAGTTTGTTCAACTGTTATCTATAGTTTGTTAGAGTAATCTTGTTCCCGCTTTTAGCCTTATGACGTACTACTATTCTTGAACTATTTGGTTGCAAGTCAAGTCAATGAGGCCCTTTCAAACGAACTCTCTCCGTCCCAAAATAAACCAACTCGTACGGGATGTGACACATCCTAGTACGATGAATCTAGACGGTACGAGATTGATTTATTTTGAGACGGAGGGAGTATGCTATTAAATCATATGGAGGACATATTCCAGCCATAAAAGACACGTCCCAAACAGATAGGCGATGCAAAATAGGCTTATTCTAGCACGATGGGCTGGTCGTGGTTTCGGGCCGGCACGGCAAGGCCCACATCTTATTGGGTCGTGCCTAGGCCGTAGGTACAACCTGTGGGCTGGCCCAGCACAGCACGAAGAGTATCCGGGCCATGCTGGGTGTCCCATTTAGCTATCTATACCAAAGGATGGAATTTTTTTCGGTTTTAGATTTTTTTTAAAAAATATTTACAGAAATAATCTATCGGCCAAAAAAAATTACAAAAATAGACCCTGCCGCCCACCTCTGGGGCGGCAAGCTGACGTGGCAAACGGGGGAGGAACGGGCGGTGACGGAGGGAGGGTTTTTTGCAGGAAAACCCTTGCCGCCCTCTGGTGGGGCGGCAAGGGGCCCGAATGCAAAAAAGCCAGTCGGGGCCGGCTATTTTGCAGGCGGCCCCTTGCCGCCCTCTGGCCGGGCGACAGGCCTCGCTGCCTATAAAAGGCCTGCTGCTCAGCCCCCAGCCCTCATTCTTCTCTCCTCAATTCCAGTGAAAAAAAAGAAGAGAGGGGAGGAGAAGAGAAGAAGGGGCGAAGCCCTGCCGGATTCAGACGCCGATTTCAGGTAATATTCATAGATCCTATATGTGACTATTGAGTTAAATAGTGTGTATTCTTTAAAAATTTGTTTGAATAAATGCATTATATTTTTAGGGTTTTAGTTGTACTAATCTAGAAGTGTGTATTGTAGATATCGGTAACTACATAGATCTGCTAGTTTGGAATCAATACATTACCGTTGCATTGGCTTACACAAGAAGATATTACGTTGTAGATGTTTATTGCATGAAAGAGTAATATGATCTAGTTATTTCGTTGACAGATATGTCGAACAAACAAATATTCCAAGTTTACCATGGACCAGGAAACGTCCGTTACGGGCCAACTGGGGTAGATCTATCAGATTTTATTGTATCAGAAAGGGGAATTGATAAACCGGCTGAGAGGAGTGTACCTTCTATAAAAGGATGGTTAATGAGGGGCTTGAGAGTTGATCCACAGACAAGTGACATAACAATCAATGTTATAGTAAGTCGGGCAACTGAGGGTTTTTATTGGGAACTAATGCCAGTTCAAAACTCTCGAGTGTGGAGATGGTATTTGGAAAATGCATTGCAACACGGGTGGCCTCTAGCTTTGGTTCCGTTTGTTCACCCGAAGGATCCAGGTGTGCAGATGAACATGGATGATGGCGAGGGACCAAGTGCTGAAGTAAACGAGACTTCTGTGGAGGAGGTCAACGCACGAGAGGACGGGGGCGTAGTAGCTCCAGTGGGCATTCAACCAGGTGGAGTGGCCGACGAGGGGGAGACTGTCGGTGCCATTGTGGATGAAATGGAGAGGGAGGATTCTGACAACGAGCGTGTAGAGGAAGGTGATTCGTCAGATGATGAGACGGATATTAATCCAGCAGAATGGGCTAGTGAGGATTTTTTTGGGCTGATCGTCTCTGAAGAGGATAGTGTGAGATGGGAGTACAAAGAAAATGAGGTTATTCAGGGAGCGATTTATAGTAGAGCAGAAGATATGAAGGAGGCGGTAAAACATTTTGCAGTGTCACTTCATAGAGAGTTTAGGGTTGCCAAGTCGAACCGGTCGCAATATGAAGTTCGGTGTGTTAAGGAAAAAGATGGTTGTCCCTGGAGAGTGCACGCGTATAAGGGGAAATGGAAGGATTATTGGACAGTGTCAGTCGTTACCAAGCATACATGTTTTCTACCTGGTAATGTTATGTTATATTATTGAACTCTACATATATGTTAAATTGCACGTCATCGTTATGTACCATTAGTAACGTTTGCTATATTTAAATAGCTTGTACTCTTGTTGTACATAATTAATCTCATGATTTTATTACTATTTCATAATTTTGCAAGTTATCTTTTGTTTTACATTACTATTTTTTGAATTGTTCTAACACGAAACACTATATTTTTCAGAGATGGCACGTCAGGATACACCTCAGTTGTTGGACCCGGCGATAGATCACCGACACCGGTCTCACCTTACTGCGGTGCAGGGGGCTCAGCTTGGAACGTTCCGGGCACGGACGTGCGGTGAGCTACTCACGGTTCACGACTCCTTTGTCGAGAGGTACGAACAGTGTTTTACTATAAGTTAGTTGCACTGTAATATTTTTTATAATGACATATTAATTTGTTATTGCAGGCTACGTGAGGCCGGCCTCCTACCGATGTGTCGGCTGGTGGAGGCTGCGGCCGGTGACGCGGACCCAGCTAGACGATGGACTGTGGACAGGTCCCTCCTAGCAGCTTTGGTCGATCGATGGAGGCCAGAGACGCACACTTTTCACTTGCCGTGCGGTGAGGTAGCCCCTACCCTACAGGACGTATCGTACTTGTTGGGGCTACCGCTCGCGGGAGACGCTGTTAGGCCAGTGACCACGGCTGTGGACTGGCAGGACGATCTGACGGCACGTTTCGCACTAGTACAGCGCGCACCGCACCTCCCGCTCAAGCCGTTGGCACACCACCGCAACACCGGACCTACGAAGAGGTGACTGCTTCAGTTCACCGTGAGTGTTTTTGTACCGAAATGACAATCGTATTACATATTTAGTCCGCAGTTAAGGTGCCTAACATTTTATCGACTGCTTGCAGGTTGAGCAGCTACAGGCGGAGGCCGACGAGTACTCCTACAGCCGATGTTTGGAGGCGTACTTGCTCTGGCTTTTTGGCTGGGTGATGTTCTGTGGCGGTCACGGGCACGCGGTCGACAAGGGACTCGTGCACTACGCCAGGACAAGGGACTCTGGCTTTCAGAACTCAGTCACATTCAGTACTCTCTTCCCCACTTGCTTCATTACAAATCCGACCGGCTTTCGTCAATGGCTAGACGCCGGGGTGTTGAGGATCCAAACTGGCGTAGCGATCCTTGTGTATATCTACTACCACCTTGGTGCCAGCGTCCTCTCTGCCTATGCGGTGATCGATGCCAACTAATGGCTTCGAGGAATCCTGATATTCGAGGAAGGCGCTTTTTTAGGTGCCCTAACTATGACCGTGAGGTATTTTATTATCTGCATATGCTTATTCATTCCGTATGGGCAATCGCTTTATTCTTCGTAACACTACTCTATTCGGCAGACCCGCACTACGGCTTGCGCATACATCGAGTGGGTCGATACAGAAAATCTCGTTCTCGACCTAACTACTTGTTTACAAGAAGGTCGCTGGTATTTCGCATCCGAAAGTAATGAGCAATACTTACAGAGAAAAGCGGTTTATGAACGACAATGTCATGAACAACAGAGCGACTGGCGGGTGCTAACTACGGCACTCCCTCCATGGGAAGCCCGTCCAAGATGCAGGTGTGGTGATCGTTGTCAGGTTCTTCGTTCCATAAATCCTACAACATTGGGTCGAAGGTTCTTTGTTTGTCCAAATATTCTTGACGACGATTTCATGGTAAGAATATTTTGATTACATGAATCCTTATTTTCTCACAACATTTACTAACTTTGCTTGCTTTACATCTATTCTTTCCTCCCAGGAACCACCAAGGAGATGTCAATACAGAGAATGGATAGACACCAGAAGGGTTCTAACTCCACCTAGCCGTGTTGTGCAGCTTGAACTAACAGAGCAATACAGGGTTACTAAAGCGCGGTTTGAGAGAGGAGAGGGATCCTCACGTAGGGGTTAGCTATTATCGGACAACTTGGCATATTGAAATTTCTACTGTCATGCTTCCTTGTCCCATTACTACATCGTCGTTGTGTTCAACTATTGCACTACCTCCCTCCTAGTTCGAATCTAATATCATCTATGTAACCGCAATGCAAATAGTCGTATCATGTTCAAATTGTACTACTATTTCTTCATGTTACATAATTCTCCTTGTTTAAGTCCATATAATGTTTCTACGACCCAGACTGCGATAGGCCTATCTAAATTATCCGAGTACTAATACGTCGAATAAGGTACAAAATAATACCTCACTTAACATATGAAATTGCGCAACAACCAACTTCAATACATTTTTATAACAATATTAACAAGTTTTACCAATAAATACTTCTTTATTTATTATTAACATAACATAGAAAAATCTTTTGGCCGTACTTTTTTCATCTGGGTCCCTTGCCGCCCTCTATTGGGGCGGCAAGAGACGCAGATGAAAAAGTACGGTCGCAAGCTCTTTATGGGCGGCCAAAATTGCAATTAGCCCCTTGCCGCCCTCTGTATGGGCGGCAAGGGCCTAATCGCAATTTTGGCCGACGGCGGCAGACGGCGCGGTCGACCCACCGTCTACCACGTCAGCTTGCCGCCCACCATTAGGGCGGCAGGGGCTATTTCTGCAATTTTTTTGTCGATAGATTAATTCTGTAAATATTAAAAAAAAATCTAAAAACGAAAAAAACTCCCAAAGGATGCAGATAGGTTGGAAACTGCCATTCTGGAGGCAGATGAAATCAACTGATATATAGTACGATTTGTCGGCTGATGGTGCCAATGGGGCAACACTTGGATTTGCACAATACAATCTCTTTATCATTGCCCTTAGATTATAGCTTTAGCATCCTAGGTGCAGCTCAGGGATACTTAATCTTGCGAGGATGTCACGTCACTCCTTGTCCATAGACTCTTTGGAGGACATGCTAAGGTGCAGCTCAGG